TTTGTATGCAATCAATGGGATTCTCATGAAGTTAGTATTTTAACTCTGTGTTTTACAGGTCTGTAAAACCAGCCAAGGAAAAGTCAGACCCCATTAAAGAAAAGACCGCTGAATGGGTACGGAAGCTTCCAGAATCTCAGCCAAGGGATGAAGATGATGTCGTGGTCCTAGACAGTGATGACGATGATGAAAGAGGAGAAGGGTCCAGCCAGTCAGATGAATTACCTGATTTAGAACCTTCAAGCACACCTGTGCTAGGTAGGAAAATAGGTGGTGACTCAAGCCACGGGAAGAGTTCAGAGAGACCCAAAAATTCTTCAGGAAAGAAAATAAGGATGAGAGAAGGTGAGGAAATTTCTACTGAGGTAGTATTTGTTTGGTGATATACATGATAGGGAAGAAAATAAGACACTGTGGAAAGAGTTATGAAGGTGTTTTACTGTCTTTCCAGTATGCCCATGCAATATCTTGTATGTAAGAGGTAACAGTTTTTAAGAGGATTTATTTATAAAACACAATCCAAAGAGGAAATTTTGTAATTGATTTCATAATATCTCACTGAAAAGTCTTTTCAGAACAGATCTTATAAATATGCGTTTTCTGATATATTGGAGTTGTATCAGAGGTTGATTATGACAAAATTAGTGGACTGTAATAACCACAAATTTTTATAGACTTTCCAAAAATATTATAGACTCTCCCATTGCAACAGATGTCACAGACTGGGATGACACAGAAGAAGAACAACCAGCTAAGCAGTTCAATACAGGTAAATGTACGATGTGTGCCTGTGAAACTCGAGAGTAGAAGAAAAATGTCTTTTTTTATTTATTATTTTTTATTAACATGATTTAAAAGTTCCACAAAGTTGAACACTTAAAAAAGCACAAGTAAAATATATATATATATATATATATATATATATATATATATATATATATATATATATATATATATATATATATATATATATTTAATTTTACCTTTAAGAAGTTTATTATTATTACTTATACCCTTGAGCAAAGTCACAAATTTTACTGGAGTAGTAGTACATGTTTTTTTTTTACACAAGATGGGTATTGCATCTGCATTTATATCATAATGCATGGAGACATATATGTTTCAGCGCGTAAGAAAACGGCTGCTGCTTCTCGTTTTAAGAACTTGCCTGACCCCAAGGCCCAGGATGCTGTGGCACCACTGAAGATCAAGTTATCCAAAATGGATCTCTCCAGAACAGAGAAAACAGGTGCGTTTTTTTTTCTTTGCAAGATACAGTATTGTATGTCTGAGGTAGTTTTGATGTATTGTGTGTATTTTTCAGTAATTGATTAATTTAGACAAAGTGTGTTGATGGTATTTGGGTTATTTTTTGTCTTATATTGCATTTTGAAGGCCTAAAAGTAGTATAAAATTACTGGTCTTTGAATGGATATGGTATACAGTAGCAGTCAAATTAGCATTTACAATGGGTCATTTATACTCTGTTATTAAATCATATTCTTTCAGATGAAGAGGATGCAAAGAAAGACAAACCCAAATTTCCTTCCATCAGGTCATTCTTCAATGAGGAATTTTGTTATGTAATGGATGCCAAATCCATTGGTAACATTGGCAGATACATGAATGTAAGTACTTTTGTATTTAAAAACTGTCTTGCCCCTATCATATATATCTTAAATTAATCACATGATGATTAAAAAAAGTTTATTGTAATTTTTCAATGGATTTTTTTTCAAAATGAGCAACAAATAATGGCATTTATTTTCATTGTAAGCTGTGTCTTCTTTGATTTGTTTGAAAATATGTTGACAGATGCTAAATCTGTGCCACATACCATTATTTATGTTATTTTGTTTTGCAGCACAGCTGTATGCCCAACATGTTTGTGCAGAATGTATTTGTTGACACCCATGATCTCCGGTTTCCCTGGGTGGCCTATTTCTCCTCTCAGTGAGTATCACTTGTACAGGGCTTAATGATAGTTATTAATTCACAAGTAACAATTACAATGTGAGCTTCTACATTTTGGTTTTAAAGTATTGAATTTTGTGTGTAATTGGGGGGTGGGGGTATTAAGGTGATATTATGTGTCAAATGTTGCAAATTCTTCTCTTACCCATCTTAAAAAATTGTCAAAAAATAATATGAATAAAAAATAAAAATAAAATAAATGTCTTGGTTGACAAAAGGAAAAGACAAAATTATAATAGCAACTTTTTTCACAAAAAGGCATTTCCATTAAGACATCTTCAAAGAGTGAGTGAAAGAGCCTTAGTGAAATGTGTCCTGCCAAACAAGAGAAAACATTTTATTACCCTTTGTATCTTTTATTTGTCATTTAATGAATTCAGGCATGAATATTATTAAAAATATTTATACCATTCTTATGTAAAACATATGACATTTCTGATAAGAAATATCTGTTCCTGGCACACTAATGAGTAAGCTGATATTTTTTGTGTGATAATTTAGCTGCCTTTTGTTTTCATTACTATTATGATCAGCCAGAAATCTGAGTCATCACTATGATTCATTCGCATGCCTGGCTACCTCTTAAGTGGCACATTGTCATTTAATTTGAGCTCTCTGCAGAGATAGTTGATTTTTTAAATTTTTTTTTAATTTTTGGAATGAATTATTTTTCATCCTTAGCATGTAGATGTTTCAATACAAGTGAAAATGATTTACACCTCATTCTTTATGTAAGGTTTACATATGGGATTGGTACAGACTGATTTCTTTTATCAGTTACTTGATTTTATTTTTGTGACAGCAGTGCTGATAGAGCATTATGGAATCGTACAACTAATATGCTGGAAAAAGAAAGCCTGTTCTTATGGGGCTTATTTTCTCTTGATCAACCTGGGTGTTTGCATGTTCTATCTCCATATAATTTTTGTATATATTCAAAATTATTATTATTATTATTTTTTTCTTTTTTTTGCATTTATTATAATGACTCTTTAAACCACTTTTTATAGAAATACAATTTTCAGCTGGCTGTAACAGTTTCTGTGTTTGCTTCGGATATACTTATAATAATGAACATATTTATGGAAAACCATCCCCTTATGTTTCCTCATTCTGACTGAATCAATTGAAATATAAATTGACAACATCAACCTCATCTTGAAGTAAGAAAAACATAATGTTATTTCCCATTTCTGGCATCTGTATGATATAATAGAAGCCTTTTTATCACCCACCCATATACTACTTAAAGAATGTAACTTGCATTTGAGGCATAAATGCTGGCTCTTTTTTTAAAAGTTTTCTTTTTTTAAAAGATTTCGGACAGCAAAAATCCTGCAAACATTTCTTTTTTATGTACCAGACAACCTTGGGTACATAGAGGAAAAAATCATCTGTATAATGGAAATGACCAAATTTATGTTAAAGTAATACTTCCCTGTCAAACCAAGTTCATAGAGTGGCATGCACTTGAATGATAAATGGGTTGTATTAATATGTATATATGTGTTAACTGTTTTTAAGTGTGAAATATGTACAAACCATAACAGACTGGTTATCAAAAGGTGTGAGCTAAATTGTGTTGTTTCACTCAGTTCTGAACGGTGTAGTTGCTGTCATAAATTCATCCATAGTTCTCAAGGTTTAACCTTCAATTTATTATTTCATGTCATATTAATTATGGTAATCAAACTAATTCTTGTCCAATTTTCTAAGCACTACAAAAGACATTTTTATTTCTCTTTTAACTCTCAAAAAAATGAAAAGAAGTCCTTTTTATTTCTTTTTCACCTTCTTTCAAAAGAACAAAATAAAAAGACATTGATGAATAGAGTACAAACAAGAAAAAGCCTGTAGCATGTTATCATGCCATGAAACTTCCTGACATCAAAATAAACAGAGTTGTGATATTAATATACCTCCTTATAACCTGTCCTTCAGGCAATTAAGTGGGAAGGAAACTTCAACTTGACTGTCTGGTATTAAAATCTATGCAGTTTCACAAGTCTAAGAAATCTAAAGATACTGGTAGTTTTCTCCAACAACCCATCAACCATAACAAAAATGACATTAACGGAGTTAAAATGACCACTGTAGGGGTTGAATAAAAGTAGGCTTCTTCTTTTGTCTTTGGATCATAAAAAAATGCATGTGGAGAGAAGTGGTGTATTGACAGACATTTATGTAGGGTTAGATATGCTCAGCTGTTGAGAAAAAAATTCCTTGGAATAAATGCATGGGAAAAACCAACTTTTTAATCAGTTGGTTTAGAATATTCTTTATTTTAATTTGTAATATTGTATTATTTAAATGACTGTTTTTCTGTGAAAGAATTCTGTGACATTTTTTATGCTATTTATATTTCCCCTATTAGTACATTTTATCTTTTTTAAAAAACTACATATTATTTAATATATTACTGATAAAATTGATAACATATGGCTTGGGTTAATTTCGTTTGACCTCTTTATCTTTGGTCTCAATTTTCCACAGCAGTCAGTTTTCCAAATCAATGTATTCATTTTGATCACAGACTTTTAAATTGATTGATAGGCCTATGGAGCAAGTATGCGTTGTCCAACTTTGTTTTGTATCGCTTTATTTCATTGCAGGTATATTCGTGCTGGCACTGAGCTGACTTGGGATTACAATTATGAGGTTGGTAGTGTCCCTGGGAAGATACTATACTGTTACTGCGGATCTGCTGATTGTAGGGGAAGATTACTGTAGCAAGGCCGGCAGTAATTTTGTATTGTCAGGGTCCATTTAGAGGCAGATTATAAGCTGTCCCCCTTGAGCCTCAGTCTTTGAGGAATGATTGCTGAACCTGTAAACAACAAGCAAAAGAGAAAAAACAGTGTATGTTGTCTAGTCAGTAGTGAAGTGTTATCAAAAATGCCATTGTAGTTTGGAAATAACACAATATGGATTGTGTGGAAATTGTCTTGTTCAGAAGTTCAATGTAAACATGATTTAATTTGAAGGAGTGTGCAACCATCCTTTTGCATCAGGTTATGGATTTTATTGAAGAACTCAATGGGAGTATGGTTGTGAAACAGGGGATGTTCTTTCCAATTAAGAGACTTAAATATGACACCATAATTTAGTTTTTATGATAAGATTTTTTTTCTTTTGTACTGTTACATGTTCAACAAAAGCCAGTTTAACATTCTTTATAATACAGTAGAGATCATCATATTCATCTATGGGTAAGTCTGATTAATTTTTGATACAGAAAGCTAGCAATTTTTTCTGGACTAGTTTATGTAGGTAGTTTCATATCTTTTGTCACTTCTCAGGTGTTTATATAGTGTTGTAAGTTAATAAAAGTTATGTGTTATGCAATTGTTGAGTTAATTTTTCATGCTATTAATTCATTTGTCTTGTCTTTGTGATATGGGTTAATGTAACAAAACATCATGCAGAACATCATCCGACAGGCAAATTCTTAGAAATAGATCATTTCAGTGACCTCCATAAAGCTGAAACCTTGTAGTACATGACAAACTTTGTATTTGAGAATGTTAAACAATATGTCATTTCACCAATGGAGGATCCAGGGTGGGCACAACTGGAACATTTTCTTTAATTAATTTCCAAGGTATCACTTCCCCCCTTCCATGAAAAGGTATGACAAACAAAATGAGACAAGAGCAAGGAACATTTCCATGATTTTATCCCCCCCCCCTCCCACACACACACACACACACACACACACACACACACACATCTGGATCTTCCAGTCAGTTCTTTCAATAGCTGTCATAACCACGTATTACCATAATGGAAAAAATGTTTTTCAGGAAATGGTTTTAGTGCTACGAACGGTTAGACTGAACACAAACCTGTAGTGGTTGTTTTTGCACCTTGAGTGAAGTTGACATGTCAAAATACCTGAAACCTGTGAAAAGCAAACTCATAGGAGATTTATAAAGCAATTTCCTGGATAATCTAGAGATACTTTATTGGAAGTTTCCTAGACAGTTGCATGAAGAAGAAGATGCATAGTCGCATCAGAAGTGGGATTTCTTTTAATGCTCACAAATCCAATGAACCATTAAGATTTACAAAAGTAGTGGTACGCAAGATACCTTTCAAAATGATGATGATGAATTGACTCTCATCTCCCATTAAAACATACATCTTTAGAAACTACTTACTTTAAACTTATGTCCATATTTCTTTAATTTTGAATATTTATGTGAAAAATTTCTCTAACGATTGTTTAATTTTTGTAAAAGTATGGAAAACTCAGTGATTTGCCTTAGAATGCACTGCCTGTTTTAAAATGGATCAGATGTAAAACACATCATCAGTAAACTGGTTTATGGGTTTTGACAAACTTTTTTATTCTTTATTTCTAATTGAATAATTCTGCATATAATGACTGGCCAGCCACTTAGATGGCCATGTCTTCCTGCACATTTCAGAAGGAAATGTTGACATGAGGTATTTTAATTTTATTATTATTATTTTTTTTTGGGGGGGGGAGGACTATCATAGGTTATCGTCTCTGCTATTATTGCGTTTCTTGAGGTCTGAAATACAATGGCCTCATTAAAGTCAACAATGTAACAGTAGGTAGGATGATTTAAGATCAATGCATCTATTGAGAATCACGTCAGCCTGTCCTTTATCATTTAAAAAAATTTCTTTTGCAAAACTATCATTCAATAAATACATCCAGCTGTACCAAAATTAACAACTCTTCTTGATATATAATTATAATATAAAAGTGTTCATACTAGCAGAGAGTGCATGGCCAGCTGTTGCACCTAGTTATGATATTATACCTTTTGATCTTGTTGGCAAATGTGTGTGGTGTTTGTATTATAAGGTATTAAAAGTCTCTCTGCCAACAAAGTGCCAGGCAATCAGAGCTCAAGTATTGTCGGTTAATATTTTGTTAACCAATCTGACAGACTTAAGCTTGGTGCATATCAAATAAAAAGGCAACAATGTGGGCACCAGGCAGAATATCAGCCCATTGAAAGTCCTGAACTGCAAATATTTTTTTGCTGTCAGTTTGCTATTGCAAGTGCAGATGCAAGCTGTTGGGGTGGAGAATTCTGTTTTAATAAGCTACGCGACAATGTACATGTACTAGCATCACAGAATAAGCTAAAGCCTTGCATGCTATAGTGTAGGTTCACATCTCCCACTCAAAAAGGAAATGTTCCTGTAAAGATCTTAAATTGGAGATTTGAATGAAAATGAAGTTTTCATTCCTTTGATGTTGGATGTGCCTATATATGTGCTTATATGAGATTTTTTGTTTCCTGTCAAGTTTCAAAGACAAGACGTAAAAAAGATGTTTTAGGTAATTTCTTGACATCAAGAGTAAAAATTATGATAACGTGCTCCCTAACTAAAAATAATAATAATAAAAAAAAACGCATTTTCAGTCAATTATTTTTGACAGTGAAAACCCCGAAAAACCAGTACAGACACTCGGATGCAACAAAAACCATCCATTTAGCGTTTTTCACTGCATACGCGTGATGGATATTTACAATAAGTGATAAAAAATTTTACCAGTAAACTGTTACCAGAATTTTTTACCATGCAGTATTGCTTTCTCTTTTTCCAAAATCATTATAACCCCCTTCCTTATTTTTAGGAAATTCCCTATCTGTAAATCTACCTGGATTTTGGATAACTCAACAGAAGCCGAGGTATAACTTTCTAAAAATACAGACATTACTCGAGGCAGAAGCTGGAAAACAGCTTACACGAGCTGTACAAATTCAGGACGCACCGATGTGAAAACTTTTTAAGTGTACAGTAATCGTTCTTAAAACAAAACATTTTCTGATTCTTTTTCCTGGTTTCATTCGTGCGTTTAACAGGTGCCCGCGCCATCTTCACTTATTGGTCGGTATTTGGGGAAACACCGCTTAGAGATGTGTGACGTCACCATCGCGATATGGAGCCCGTAAGGAGCACGTAAACATGCGTGGTTTCCAAAATTTCTACAATTCTAGCGATTTCCCCTCCTAAAACAAATTTTTCAACACTGTACCATTATATTTTACTGAATTAAGTATTTTTTGAAAATATGTGTTTTTATTATAAGGTTTCTTAATTCACCAGGAGCGCGAAGTCGAAGTTATTTTGGTTTTCAGGTAAAGCTTACGGCTCTTCTTCAATCTGCAGTAGTTATTTCCCCCCATATTAGCGAGTATGACGATAAAGGAACAGTAGGCTCTATACTGAGCCCTATTTCGGGGGTACAACAAGGTTAAAGAAACTAACAAGGTACTAGATCGACAGGGGAATAACTGAACGTAACTGACAAGTGCTAAAGACGGCGATCATAGCTACCGAGGACCTGAAATCGGCAAGAAACTGAGCCATTCTAAGTCAACAGGTTGATTGACAACATAGGAACGTACACAAAACGTGCAACTATTACGATTGTGAAAAACAACTGCCAATTCGAAACTGTTTGTGAGCACCGAGAGGAGTCTTAGATAAGGTAAGAAGGGACATATCATATTTTAACATTTTAATTTGGCATATCACTTAACTACCGATCATTAGCATTGGCAACTGATTTGTAAACATATCCTTTGTTCGTTTACAACATCGTGCTACGAGATCCAAGAATCTCTGGCCTTTGCTACCAAGGTTTCATAATAGTAACTGTTGTAGCCTGTCGAATTCTACTACAGGGGTAAAAATGTCATTCTGTTTTAGTGATTTTAACAATATTTTGAATGAACATGCTTATTGACATGTCTCTTGTGTTTATTGTTTTGGTTATGAAATCTGCCGATGGCCGCCATATGATTTTATTTACCACATAAACAGTTACTTCATGTCAGTTGTTTTGTCTCTGATGTATCCTTAAAATGCAAAAGAAAAGTACATTTCAAAATGTATGTTGTGTTGTTTATGTCAAAAAAGAATTTTGATTAAATTTTTTAAAGACTTCAAGTCACAACAAAGTCAAGGTTAATACCCTGAACAGTATGAACTCCAGCAACCAAGACCAAAAAAGATATAAAGAATCATGAAGTCTTAAATTATTTGCTTGATTTAAGATATTAAGGAATATTGGCTTATTTTTTTCAGATAGCTTACTTACCAGTATGTTAAAGAAATATGGTTATCATGTTTGACCCAAACCACAATTATATCTAAGCAACTATTAAAATGCCTCTGCTATTTTTTAGCATACCACATTCAGAACCCTTTATTAGTCTAAGCACTATGAAAATTATAGTATACCACATTGCTTTGAAATGACTCCTATGATGATACACACACAGTGAAATGCTTTCAGCCATGGATACTACACCACATATGGCTAGACATGTACATTTCCAAAAACATGCTGAGGAAAAGTACTGGGGAACAGCAGGTATGATGGAAAGGTGCTAAATAAAGCCTCATTTTTTATGTCTGTTCTAGATAGTATCTATTTATGCTATTTTGGATGCCATAACATTATGGTATCAGTTGTGATCTAAACAAAGCAGCAAAGGAAAAGGTCGTTGTGGTTATCTTCTTGTGATGTATTATCAAACTGGGGTGTTTCAGAGTCCCTGGGCTCAGACTGTGATATGAAATAATCTTCTCACACTGATATTAGGTTATTAATCTGAATAGGTGTTATCCCGTTTCATTGTTTATTATCAGGACTTCAGCATGGGATATTTGACTTTTACAGAAAAAAAATCTGTTGATGCAAGTTCTATTTGAGTATGAGTAAATATTGCTTTGTGGAGTTGTTAAATCTTTCAAAACTAGTGATGATGTTTTTTTGATCATTATTTTCATTACTGTTTGTTTTGTCAGCCTTCATTTACCAGTAAATGGTTTTGAGCCAAATTTTCTAAAAGAAAAAGAGAATTACCTACCAGTTACATATGAATTAAAATAGACATGTAATTCATTAGCAAATGAATTTCATATAAATGGGACGTGTATAACCAAATAATTTTATAACCCCTAACCACCACCCCTCCAGTGGGATATAGGGCACTCACATGTTCCCTCACTGTATCTTTATATATAAAGAAAGTAATAGTGACAATAGAGGCACGTGTCAAGGCACATGGTTGGCTGACTAAGGCTGCAGCTGGTGACTTGACATAATATGCCATGAGCTTTGACATGGTCGTCAGAAATCTGGAGCTAATTTTACATAGAGCAGTTCAGTCTTAGTTCTTGTTTGGTTTTACCATGGCTCCAATATTGGATGTGTAATATGTAGGTAAGTGTGTGGATTAAGGCATGTTTTAAACCAGGCTTTAGGAGAAACCCAGACAAAAATATATCTGATGTTGGCACTGTGGAACTGACATAGGTCACAAAGAAAGATGCAACTACCATCTTAGTCAGCATGTTTGATGTTGCAGTAAGCTAAGATAATTTGTTTTAAGCAGGATATTCAGGTTTTACCCTTTGCACTTGGAAGATACATGAAGCCAGTGCAGACAGATTAAAATGTGGAGCTGAAGATAGCAGTTTCATGACATATAATGGTCAGGCTGGACAGAGATCATTAAGGGATGGTTTCAACCCCACATAGTGATCCCTGTAGGCCAAGTTAAAGACAAGCAAGTGTGCTGTATTTTATCAAAACAAATTTAAGACACAAGGAAATTCCCTTTTCAACCAGAGGTTTCACACAGGAAATTGATTGTCATGAAAAATGATGTGCTCAATTTTTGTTCTAAGTTTCCATATGAGTTGAAAGAAAGGGAAAAAATGTTTTCGTAGAATATTCATTAAGTCCATTTACAAGACAAGCTTCGGCAGATTCTTTTGAATATGAGTTGACAACTCTGAATATACGTAAACAGATATGATGTGGGCAAATCTTGATGACCTCTAACATCAGCCTCTGACGTCAGCCTATGGGACCATAGGTTAGGATTTATGGTTCAAGATATGATCAAACAGACAATTGTATGCACCTGCATCACTTGCAATCTTTATGTCTAGCTTGCTGTTGGGCTCTTCTTTACTTTTTATCATATTTATAGACAGTGTTGCAAACTGTAACATTTGACCATATTTCATATATCACCAAGGGTAAAGATACACTGCACTGATGTTGCCATAGCTGGAAATAATCTAATCTTTATTGGCATAAATTCAGCAGTTGTCCAACCAATGACTTGCCTTAGATATTCCATTGGAAATTATACAATGTTCTTACCTCTCCACAATGATTTTTTGAAAATAAATTTTTATTTCAAATTAATAAATGAATTAGATGTACATTCATTATGAGAAGAGGGCATACAGTCATGAAAGAAAATAGAACAAACTGCTCATTTGCTTATTCTGTGGATCATCATCCATCATGTCAGTGTGAGACAGTTAAGATATATAGAGGATTAGTGAGAATGATTCACAAGGAAGGTGATGTGAGCATATAAGTATAGATCCAACAAGATGGCTGCCATACCATGTATAGTGATGCTTCACTGTGTGTGGATTTTCAGAGCTGAGTGCAACATCATTAAGAGCGACTGCAGAGTTCTTACTGCATATCATATCACCTGATGTGCTTCTAAAGATTTCAAGGTTATCTTGTCTTCTTAATGAGCTTAGGCTTGCCAGATTTCATATTAATTTCTTCATTATGAGTAATGTTTGTTTCATCAGCAATTTCCTTCTGATTTCAGAACCCCATGGCCAAACTTGGAAAATTTTGACATTATCTTAAACCAGTGTGGAACATACATTTGAAACTATTTATTGATAAAAGTAATCAACACTCCTTTACTTTTCAGTCATACAAATTGCCTAATGTTTCTATTGCCTAATTAAATGTTGTTAATTGATCTTTTTTTTTCTTGCAGGAATTTGCATTGGACCTCATGCACCGTAGGGGTGCGACTTTCTCACAAACAAGTGCATTTAGTAGTTTTAAGAAACTTAAAGTGGAGAGATATCCAGATGATGTAGGGCGCCCTCTGTATAACTACAACCCAATACCAACTACGACAGACTATAACATTGGATACAATAGAAACGAAGCAACAACTTCAAGTTCAACGAATTTCTATCTGCAAAGCAGTGATGAGCCCAGGCTTGAGGGCATGCCACAGAATTACATCCGAGCATCCACCATTAAGCTGTTAGATACATACACGAGATGCGGGCTAAAAAGAAAAAGCGAAGACGTGGATCCTGTGCATGTTATCGAACATCACACAATTTCTAGTGACGATGAGAATACCAATGCAACTGCTGCAGCTACGTCCAAAACCAACACCAGCTCCTCGAATTCTGATGGAGACTACCAGTTGGTTCAACACGAGGTGTTATATTCCATGACAAATGCTTATGAAGTGTTGGAGTTTTTGGGGCGTGGGACTTTCGGACAAGTTGTTAAATGTTGGAAAAAGGGGACCAATGAGATTGTGGCCATCAAAATTTTAAAGAATCACCCTTCATATGCTCGACAAGGACAGATTGAAGTCAGTATATTGTCTCGATTAAGTCAAGAAAATGCAGATGAGTTTAACTTTGTTCGAGCATATGAATGCTTTCAGCACAAAAATCATACTTGTCTCGTCTTTGAAATGCTTGAACAGAACCTCTATGACTTCTTGAAACAGAACAAATTCCAACCACTCCCCCTAAAGTATATCCGTCCCATTACCCAGCAGGTTTTGACTGCACTTTTGAAATTGAAAAACCTTGGCCTGATTCACGCTGACTTGAAACCTGAAAATATTATGCTCACAGACCCTACCCGCTACCCATACAGAGTGAAGGTGATAGATTTTGGATCTGCAAGTCATGTTTCTAAGGCAGTATGTTCTACGTACCTCCAATCTAGATACTACAGGTAAGTTAACACTTTCTATAAGTTTGATTGCTTTTATAAGACATGTATAAGTATACTTTCCCCGAGATATTTGTGACTTCTAGTTGGAAACCAGGATGCTGTTATTGTGCTCTGTTGTTTAGTTTTGAATATTGATCGCATTTTGTTTGAAGGGTTTGGGTGCCCTACTTCTTCCTATCTTAGGTAAACATCTAAATATTGCATAACCTGTGAAAGTCAACAAACTCTTGGTCAGTTACTAAACCACCAAAACAGGGATGTTTAATTTTTTAGATAGCAAATTTTGAAGGTATTTGGTTAGAACATTTTTATCCCACAATTTTTTTTTTATGTTAAATGGAGCTGGTCGCATATCATGGATTTACATATATCATGTATCTAAAATTTACCTCAAGTAATTCAGTAATTTGTGTTTTGATGGTACAGAAATTAAAATTAACTCAAAAACATGTCAGTCCTATTAGTAATATCAGCAAGAAGAGAGAGAGTGAAACCAAGGCAGATGTGTCAGTGTTTATCTACAACAATCTTTAGAACATGTCCATTACAAATTCCCCCATGTTGCTAAGGTCATTTATACCGGGCCATTGATATCAAATATTGACTTGGCTTAAAAATGTATTTACCAGGATAATTTAACAATAATGATTTTAGTAGAGGAATAGTTGATTCTCTGTCTCGCACTTTGTGGGAGTTAATGTTGTTCGATATTTGTAGATACACAAAAACAAGAATTGTTGATGATAAGTATGGCTGTTGTAGGACTCGTGTTATCTAAGGCGTAGATTGCTTAATAGAGGTTCCTTGGTAGATTTAAAAAGAGAGCGTCTTGGCAATACCTGTTATTTAGCTGGAAATGAGACCTACATATAGATATCAGACCAGGATGCACATGTTATCTACACAAGGACTTGTGAGGTTTATGTCTTTGTACAGGTGATGGGATGTGCACTAACAAAGTATATTGCTGAGAAATAGCCTGCCTGTCTGTCTGGGGGAAATACATTTTCAATTAGATGGCCAAGGTGCTAGTTTTATGGTTAATTAAGCCTTGAATATCTGCCCCCTCTTGTTTACTTACTCATGATGCCTTTAAGGCATTGTATTTGGACAGAAGATGCCTATTTTAAGTTAATAGAATTATAATACCTGCCTCACTTTCTTTCTCTTTTTCTAAGTGCTCAGCAAACTTACAACCACAATGGGATACCTGTCAGAGGATATTCAGGCACAGCTGTTATTGTCATCAACATAAAGATGACTAGCTAGTTCAGAGGAGTAAACAAACCTATTTGTGTCTTTTTATTTGTTTTGTGTGATGATTTATGTCTTCATGAAACAATGGTTTTCATGTCTTGGATAGACCTGCTGTAGTTTCTGGAAAAGATTACAAAAATGAAAGTCTCTTGACATAAAATCGTTGAGACACCAATAATGACTTTTTTGATGGAGCTCTCTGCCTGCCATTGCATCAACTTGGTGACGTTAGAATACATTATAACTATTGCCTTTGGGTTAGAAGTTGTCATCTCAGGAAAAGTGACATTTCTTGCAACATGATAGTTATGGCTGTGCAAGGACTATTATGTTCACTTTAGGTCTTGTCTTCTACACAGATGAGGTAATAATTGCAGGTGTTTTGTTTGGTGGAGTGATCCCCCTTCCTCTGCACCTGCCCCAGATTACCATATTTATAACACTTTAAAAATGCATTGTCATGGTTTTAGGAACAGGCATGTGTCCCTTTTGTGAGTTCCTTCTCACATACAAAATCATTCTGGCAAGTTTATATTTGGGATGAGGAGTGTTCTGGGGCATCTTTTTCCTTTAGAGGTTGGGTGCCTAAAGAAGCTGACTCAAATGGGTTTGCTTTTACATGGATAAGAATTACAACTTGGAATTTCGTAGAACAAGATTGGCGTCCAAGATGTTGTATTTTTTTCTTTGGGACTTTGTTTTTAACTTGATATACAAAGTAATTCACCTCTGTTAAAGAAAAACTTCAATTATGTTAGTCAGTGCCTGGAAATGTGTGGATATTAAGCCCACTTCTCTCTATAAATCTTTAATCATGCGCCTTTGTGAACAACAGCCTAATAAGTATGATTACAATGTTGAACAGCTGGCAGTTCTGAATCAGCAGGGGAAGGATGGAAAGACAGCAGGATATCTGTAATTTTAGCTCAGCTTTTTACAGTTAATGCCAAAATGCTGTCATCTGTCATATTGGCTGACATGTCAGGTTGTGACACATTGTCAGCGGCATGCACTAATGCTCATTTGATTATTTGCATTTCAGAAATCTTCACATGTTCTTCAAGTAATAATTGATAGTTAGGTTAAAAGATATTTCATGTTTTTCACTTTAATACTGAATTAAGTTTTTCCTCTCTTTTTTTTTCAGTAATTGATAACATTTTAATGTTAATACAAACTTTCAGTGGTAATGTGACTTCAAATTGAGCTTTTAAGGTTATATCATTAGAGCAGGTGAGAAAAGCCATGGGTGGGGATTCGTTTTCATGTGTCAGCTTGCAAGGGGCCTCATTAACATTGTGAGTTGCATCTCAAATTCTGGATACTGCATAATTGGTCATTAGGAAGAGGTGGTTTAGTGAGTGGCCTCTGATATGGAATGCTAATTGCCCTTTGACGAGGGTCATACTATAAGCCAGTCATTTATTTAGCAAACCAAGTTTTATCAATAAGTTGTTACATAATAGTGGTCCTAAAATGAAATCGAGATGCAGTTTTTGTGAACACTTGGTTTGGTTTACTGGACAATGCTGTGGTGTACATAGAAATTGCTTTTGGATTGTTTTCATGAGAACATGTTTAAAAGTAAATTTTTTTTTTTCACACCAAGAAAAAACATAAAAGAAATCATTATTCTTAGGCTGTTGAATTGAAAATTATTATTCAGAAGCCAAGATCAGTAACACTTGTTTTGTAGTTTGACATAAGATTACTTTGCTACATCTCCAACAGATAAGACGAAAATGCTTTTTTCAGAATTACAGAAACCATACTTATTTAACCGCAACAAAATGTTTGGTGACCTCGATTGCCTTTCCTGAAAGCAAGTGACCTTGTCTAGCGAGAGTTGCATAATATACAGGGTGCGTTTTCATTGGTTGATAAGGCACTTGAAGCTTGTCTATTTATTTACAGAGCAAAGATTGTTTTTGAATGGAAGTCTTTTTTGAACTGGACTGGTTGTACTGTCATGAACTTTTTGTTAGTTCTGCCTGCTGGACACCCATTTGTTTGAAACAAACTCTATTCTGTCCTGGTTTAAAAAAGGCATAATGTGTAGATTTTATCATGATGTTCTTTTAATGGGGTTCGGGGAAGGTCTGGTGGCACAGGGGACATCTTATCAGTGCATTTTAGTGTTTGCTTTTATGGAAAGATATTCTTTTCTTTTTATTTGCTTTTTGTATTTATGTATTGCCAGTGGTTTGCAGGGTTAGTAAGCTGTAAAAATAACCAACTTCATGCTTTACGTATATGTAACGACCCCCCCCCCCCCCCCCACACACACACACACAGAAAAATAATTCTTCTAAGTTGCTGAAGAGTTGGATATCCCAATGAGAATATGTTGTTTGCTTATTCAGACATTTTTTTTTCACTTCCTCCATATGGGGTATGGAAGTCTAGGAATTATTTATTTGTTTACTTTGTTAAATTCAGATTTGTCTCAAAGCAAGGACTTCATCCATAATCTATAGCTTGGATGGATTGCAGCTTTCACCACGGGGAGTTATAGCAACAACATTCTCTTCCTGATTTGACATTCAGGGATTGATCAGAGCATTTATGGCAGCAGTGCTTGCTTCCCTTTGCTTGCTCTGCCAGAATTCCCCTCCTGATTGATGGGTGTTTCCTCACATTTATAAAAGTCTGCTCTGTATATCACAGACCCTCTGGTGGGCAGTAGATATGTTGAAAGCTTCAACCAGACATGCATGAACATGCGATCCGTTTTTCATGGACCCATAGTTCAGATCCAAGACTACCAAATCAATAGATTGAAAACTTATCCCATCAGGATCAATGACTTTGGTCTCTTTGGCTGGAGGAACTGAACTAGCCATTTCCATGTTTACTAAGTATGTAATGGTCAATTTTGGGCATATCAATTAGAGTCAGCAAAGATGTTAGAGTTAATTTTGGAAAAATCCTGGAAATCCGACATGGTTTTATTTATGGCTGGCACAAGTGTTGAATTGGAAAAGGTTTCATCTTCTTAGAAGCTTATTTTATGTGTAAGGGTACTGTCTGTTTTTCAGTTTGATTGGACGGAACTGTGGCTCTGTTACAGTTTATTTAGTTTGTAGCCTCAGTAAACATTCCCATGAGGCAGCAGTGGAAGCCTTGGCAAATCTGGATTCCTAGAAACACAACAGCATTTAGAGTATGGATTTATGTTCTGTTTGCTGGAAACCATTTCAAATTAGTTGCCCAATTTCATTAGGGAAGAATACCTATATCATCATAGTAATAACAGGAATGATGACAAGAATTCTGTCAGAGAATACCAATCTCTAGAACTGATCAACTTAAAGAAAATAGGTCTGAATGTCTCTGGAAATATGTACTAGTTTGTAGACCTAGGAAGTTTTCTGACAAGCTGGTTTTTATAACGCTGACAATCCTGTTATTATTTTTCAGAACAAGAGTACATAACTTAATGATATCCCATTGTAAAGAAGTTGTTGACAAATATAATCTGTCATAGTCACATTTTGATGGGGCTACATATCATCTTTATGTTATGATACCCAAGGCTGGTACAGAATGATGAGACTATTTTTTAATGGGAAAATGTTCATGTCTTGTTATCAGCAGTGAAACATTTCCCAGGAGATGAAAAAATATTCAAGTTGTAGTTCCTATTGCACTTTTGAGAACAAAGGGTTGGATTTTTTCTAAGTCAGACAGCTGGTGGAAGATGAAATGTGAAGTGACCTGTAAAATTTAGTAGTATAACCGGAGACCCCCAGGGCAACAGAGTTATTTCTTTGTTGTCTAGCACCATATTGTAATTTTGTCAGTGTTCAATTTTAATGCCATCTTTAAGTAAATTTTTGAAAAGATTCATTGCCATTGTTTCATTGTTAATGATTATTTTTCAGTGTGTACTTGTGTAGTAAAATCTTCACGGAATATGACTTTTGTCTGTTCATGAAGTTTAATCATGAGATATTCTGTGCTCTCATACTGTAAGTCTAGCAGTTCATGCTTTTAGTCATTCTCTGGCACAATTGACCAGCATTAAGTTGCTAGACAGGTCGGTCAGAGGTGACCACCACCTGAACTTGGGTTTAATTCTGGAAACTGACCACCTTCAGCTTTCCTACAAAGGTGCCTGGAGGCTAGTCTACAGGTATTTTGGGATGGAAATTGGGAAATAAACCAGTGAAAAAAACAGGAGAGCCAAATGTAGTTTAACTGTTTTAAGAATATACAAGTACTGCTGCAGTATTTTTCTTTGGTAATTGAGAAATAACTCAAAATCCAAGGGAAACTAGAACAAATACCCCGTTCACACTATGCTCAGTTATCCGGATAAATTGCGAATTAGGTCACAATTCGAATAAATGCAGTAGTGTGAACGCAAGAGGATTTTTGTAATGCGCATTTTCAAAATCCTGCAAGCGAGGTGGATTTCTAAGCGCGATCCGGATAACTTACCGGAATCGACACCTGTACAGATCTTACTGCGCATGTGTGCTGATAAGTGCGGATATCTATGAACGCTTGTTTATTACTTTAGCGATTGCACCAAACGTATTTGGAGGTCACCACTCACTACAACATGAGGAAACAAACTTATTTTGCCACCTTATACTTCTCAAGAATGCTGGAATGTCTTCTGAGTTGCATTTGTCGTCACAAATTTTTGTTGGTATTTTAAGATTTCCTGTGCGGCGCATGCGCGAGTGTTCAAAACAGGAAGTTAAACCTGAAATTTTCAACATGGGATTCGGATTCGCTTAGCGAGTGTGAACGCAATGCCGAATCGGATTCCTTACGAAAAATCCGAATTATAGAAATGCGCATTTTGGCAACTGTAGTGTGAATGGGGTAAAAGACACAGGCCCCCAGTGCTGTTTGCATCCTCCAGGTTTGAAAGCTCCATCCATCACATATTTTGAAGGGATTTCTTACTAGTAAAACCTTGGGAAAAACTGCATGAATGTCAGCCTCCCATCTGTCTCCTTATTTCATATAACCTGCAAGTGACCTGCTATGAATAATGGAACATGTTACAAAGGCTTAGCTGTAAAAGATTACACCACATAGATTACTTCAGGGAAAACCTTAATATATGTCTTTGCATTAGACCAGTCCTTTAGTGGATGTGACCCTTGGGTGACCTCTGATGGCAAATGAAAGGGTACTTTGATATAGGATGATATATGATAAAGTTTATATTAAAGTAAATGAATTATTAACTTTAACATTCATGAATCATAAGTCAAAATTCCTACTTTTAATTATATGTTCAAAGCTTGAATGTTAATTTGGTTTACATTATTTTAGTTAAACACGTCACCAGAGCGTGTTATTTCATAGTTTGAGGCTAATTACCAAACTTGTTTTCAATAATTAGCCTTGTTAATTATGCAGGTATTGCAACTGGGACCTAGGGGCAATCAATAGAAAATGGCCAGAATTACTGCTCTGAGATTGTGTCTGATTGTGTCCAGCTTATTAACATTTTGCTGTTCTGATAACAATCATGTAGTCTGAATCACTGAAATAATATTAGAATGTATGTCAGAAGTGGGATTGCGTTGTTGACACGTTATTAAGTTGCTGAAGGCAAGTGACATATGCAAAAGCTTTTTCGCCAGCAGTGTTCCCAGGATGACGGCGTTAATGTTGTTGTTGTTACCAGTCTTGGTGATCAATACACCAGATCAAATATTTTGCCACTCTATAACCTAAAGCTGGCCCAGATTGGCTGCAATTTCATTTTCTAAGTCAAAAGACAGTTTATATATAGAACTCATTACTTAGTGACAGTTGATGCCAACACAAAAGACATGTTGTAGAGAAAGCACAAAGGTTTCAACCTCTTGAATAAGTGGGTTTAGGGAAATCAAGCAGATGTATTTTCTGTATAATATCATCTTAGTGGCGCCATCAGTTATTAGGCACATTTTTCCTGGATTCAGTGGGTGTTTTTTGAGTCATGAATATTGGCAGTTATATCTTGTGTTTTGCTTAGAAACCAGTTGTGTTAAATGTTTTCTCACAGATGTTGAGCAAAAAACCTCCCAGACTGAACTCTTAGTTATCTAAGTTTTGATAGGCATTTATTATTTTATTTTATTTTATTTTATTTTTTTTATTTTATTTTATTTTATTTTATTTTATTAACATTCTGTCACAGACAATGAGAGAAGTTGACAAAAACACTATCAACATCCTCTAAACTAGATCTCTTTGAATCTTTCCTTTGTCTTTTGTTCGGTAATACGCATAGTTGATCAGCAAATCACAAATCCAAATTAAAAGGAAAAGTTTGATAATGAGATGATAAAAACTATGCTTGAGAAAGGTTTTTACCCATTGATGATGGCTGTCCAACCTGTAAATCATCAGCAGTGGATGCAATTGAGATGATATGAGAACTTCTGTATTTTGTGCTACATATAAATATTATCCTTTCCTTTGTGCCAATTAATACTACAGACAGTGATAATGAGGTTATTTTTGTAGGCAAGATCCTAGGCATTTGCTATCTTGGATATTTTCAATTTTTAATGTATAATTATGATTATGCTCAGTAATACCAAAATAATTATAATTATTCATATTAAGAATAGCATAAAGGACAATAGAGATGGAGGGAAGAGTCAGAGCTGTATGGGATAACAAGTCAGTGTTGAAAAATTTTTTAACATTATTTAAACAATATTTTCATTTCACCACATCCTCAAGTTCTGCATGCTTCATATCGCAGTGATTTATATTATGAGTGAAAGTGCCCACTGTTGATCAAGTGTTTTTCTTCCTTCCAGAGCACCTGAGATTCTTCTGGGGCTGCCATTTTGTGAGGCTATAGACATGTGGTCACTGGGCTGTGTCATAGCAGAGCTGTTCCTTGGATGGCCACTTTACCCTGGCTCTTCAGAATACGATCAGGTAAATTCAATCTATATAGTCTTCCATGTATTTGACCTATATGTCATTGGTGTGGCTTAACAGTAACTTTGCTTACACAGCCGCATAAAATATAACACATTCAATATATATATATATATATTAAATTTTTTAGACAGTTACATTATAAAATGACTTTGCCTGCATTGCTCTTGGGGAAATCATGAATTGTTGTCTGAAAATTAGGTCTTGTCTAGACGTGATAATCCAGCACTCCTCTCGCTGCCTTCCATTAAACTGCTCATTATCTGTCAGAATATATTTTCTGCACAGTCTGTATAAATGTACTGTATTTGGCCACCATTGCTAAAAGACACTTAATCTTGCATCAATTATTAATTTTAATATTCTTTGATAAATATTTGTTTGAATAATGCTCAGTTAAATATTATTTACATTATATAAATATTTCCAGATTCGGTACATCTCTCAAACACAAGGTCTCCCCCCAGAACACATGTTGAGTAACGCCACCAAGACCACCAAGTTCTTTAACAGAGAGAGTACAGGAACCGGGTACCCCTTCTGGAGGCTGAAGGTCAGTATACATCTAAAAAATTGGGTTAGAAGAAGGAAGCTTTACAGTAAACAAATACACCACTGGTTGTGATGATTTGGTACATCTATAAATATCCCTAGATTAGAGTCTATCCCAACTCTACATTCTTTATTACAATGGGGCTTTCATCGGTTATTTTCAGAATATATTTTCATATATTAGCTTTACCCAGGTTAGAGATCTGTGACAGTTTATTCAGTATTTAAGGCTTACACCCAGATTACCAAGTGCAAATTAGGCATATGAATTATAGCAAGGGTTGCTACTGTGTGCAGTTCTATATAATGATAATAGAGCTGTTATAGGATGCTTTAGATGTTGACAGGAGAACATGTCATGTCTGAGGGAATAAGAGATGTGATAGCTGATGTTTACATGTAAAAACGCTCTTTTCCCATATATTCTGATTGAAAGGGAAAAAGGGCTTATTAAGCAAAAAGATTAGAAATGCTACCATTATCACTGACAGCAGAAATACATTTTGGATGAAAATTATACTGATTGGTGCTTGGTATCCCGCATGGGGAAGTGATTTTTATTAGGAAAAAACTGCTTTTGCCTCTCAAATTTGCACTCCATTTCCTTTGTACTTTTATTTTGGATATTCTACCAGGATCCATTCTGACCCCCCTTCCTCCTCCCCCCCCCTTACTCCAACTAGTACCCTCTTTCTCACATTATTTCCTCATCTTGATTCTTTGATGTATCAGTCATACAGTTGTCCAAGTGTTAAGAATAAGAGACATGGATTTCTTCAGAAAAAGACAGCCAACTTGTCTTTCTGCTCTTTCAATATGACCAGAGGATGATAGATGAAATCATAATGACATGGTATTCAACACAGTTGCATTGATAAGGAGATGCCTGTTATCATGTACATAATAATTTGAAGGCAATAAGCAGTGTAAGGAGAGGAAATGCATTGATATATATATATGGGTGGCTTTATTTAATTTATTTTTGACGTCTATGGTTGACTCAGCTGATCTCATTTGTGAGATGTCACGAAGGCAGTTGACGTGCAAATGAAAGTTGTAGTTTATCACAGTTCAGAAAGTGGGGGAAAAAACCTACTTTTTTGCCCACAGATGTTGAATAAATCAAAAGTAGATTGAAAACTTGTCATACCCCGGCTATACATTGCATGCTTCTGTCAGTGTCATCCTGATATTGCAGAGTCCTAGGGCCTGGGAATCATTAGCCGAGTTACTCTGTGTCTTGTACTTGCTGTAATGATTTTCTGCAGCGATTACAGGTAGAGATCTACCCATCTGCTGCTAATTGCTCTAGTCTGAACCATCTGCCTCAGATTGCCTCATTGTTTCTGCATTGTTCACAGGTGACCTTTTGTAATTTAGTGCACAAATTTCAAATTTTACACACATTTGAAATGTGATACACTTGCATGTTCTTAATGAGATGCAAATATTTTGTAAAAATTAAAATTGCTAGAATTTTTAGTTTTTATTACCTGGTTTCTTTGTTCAAGTGTATTGTTCATGTGTACTGATGCAGATACACAGAAACAGCCCAGATCTGCAAATTAAATTGCTGTTGATATGTGTTTTGTTATATACCTTAAACCCCATGATTGATGACACATACATAAGGGGAAGTTTTCAGGATTATTCCCAGTTTTCGGATTTTCAGTCTTTATTTTGATTTTTATTTTTCAAATTGTCTAAATGCGATGAGAAATTGCAAGCTTCATTTTCAGGATTTTCAGTTTTTACAACTTTCACCCATGCACACAGAAGTAACTGAGAATTTTCTTGAAAATCCAACAGACCCTACTTCTTCAATTTAACGATGACCATAATTGCAACCATACTGAGCTGTTTGCTCGTTAACGTCCGAAATTTGACAGCTAGAGAAGGAGTACTTTGTGCCATAACATTAAGTTAGCTTAGTGTGGATAGGGTGAAAGCAGTACAGAACAATAGATTGATACAACTGCAGGGAGCTGGCACTTTGTTGACTTAATCAGCAGTGTTTGAATGAAAACCTGGGATAAGTTGAATTGGTCCGAGATGAGATGTAATTAAGCAATTATCCTGCAGTTGCCATGGATTAAGTATTCTTCAGAAATCCAGCCAACTGGAAGGAAGGAAGGCTGGGTGTATTGACAAAGTAAATGATCAGAATATTTTATCTAACCACATCCTGAGTGTATTTTTCAGACAGAAAACATGTTGTTTATGTATGATATGTGGCCACAATGCCCTCAGTTCTTGCTTTTTGATAGCATGAAACTGTTCTTGAACTCTGTTTGTGCAATTTTAACAGAATGTTGGCAAATCCCTGAGAACAAAGTGTGCCGTCAGAATGCCAAAAAAACTGATGTCAAAAACACTTAACCAAGAACACACAAACACTGCAGCAGAATGAGTAGACTGACATCTAGATTTAATCAAATTCAAATACATTGGGCTTTTGGGGAGGCACAAATGTGTTCAGTTGCAACAGAGAGGCTGTTTTATTCATAGTGCAGTTTATTTTTGGGAGTATGTCTGGGCTATGATTTAATTCAAGATGCTGAATTCTGTAGTGTGTTGACTTAATAAGACTACACACACAATTTTTGTTTTCGTACAAATGGACAATTCTTATATGAAAGGGTATACTTAATATTTATTTAAAAAGCTAATCTGCCATCAAGATTTAACTTAAATTTAAGATACCAATTTTCCCCCTGAGTGCAGCAGAATTGAATGACAAAGAAATTATCACAACACCTGTGTCCTCCAATTGGTCTCTCCTAAAATTTCTCGAGTTTCATTTCTCAACCAGGCAAATGTGGGAACATAGACAACTGTTCCTATCTCGACCAGGCACTGGAAAGCACTTGATGATATCCTCGTACTTCATTATATCCTTCCCTCAGGGGATTGCAGTAGCTAGATAACACCAATTTAATCTTACACTATCACCTACAGGAAAGTCACTTTCTTGGTGGCACCTATTCACTTGTATGTGTTTTTCTGAAATGTTTAGAATTTTTTTCAATTCCATTTGATTTCATTTTTATCTCCAGATGCTCGAGTAAAGGGGTATATTCTAAGGTTCATTAAAGGTCAAATTAGGCCTCTCTCTCTCTCTCTCTCTCTCTCTCTCTCTCTCTCTCTCTCTCTCTCTCTCTCTCTCTCTCTCTCTCTCTCTCTTTGTGTTTTCATTTGCAAACTGGTGTCTGATATATACACATAATGGAAAAAAATGAAACTCCTTTAATATAAGTGTTCACTTGCTCATTTCAGACCCCTGATGAACATGAAACAGAAACCAAAGTGCTCTCCAAGGAGGCAAGGAAGTACATCTTTAACTGCTTGGATGACATGGCACAGGTGAGGCTCACACTGGGGTCAAATCTTTGCACAATTTGGGAATTAAAAACTTACAACCTAACATATTACATGCCTAATTTTCAACAATTTTTTAATCTCTACATTTGTTATTAAATTTCCTGTTGCTGTGTTTTGAAAAGCTTGTATTATGTTTTCTTTTATTTCACTCTCTTTTAGATCAACACGCCAAACTCACTGGAAGGCTCGGAGCTCATGGCTGAAAAAGTGGATAGAAGAGAATTCGTAGACCTGCTGAAACGCATGCTGACATTGGACCAAGAGCGTAGAATAACCCCTGGTGAAGCGCTCAACCACCCCTTTATCACCCTGGCACATTTGGTAGACTATGCCCATTCAAACATGTGAGCTTTGTCTGCTTTTCTAAAGTTTTATATTTGAAGTATCAAGGCATTCTGAATAAATTTGGATCCTTATGGTTTTTTCCCCCCAATTCCTTTTTTCTCAGAAAGAGGATGTAGACATGGGGTCATTATACCTTTCCAATGTCTAGTCATGGCTGCCTGGGGCTTTACTAAGTATTGCATTCTTTAGTCTCACTGGAGGAAATGTAACGACCTTAAGGGTTGGATGATCTTATTCTCAGATTCTCAAAGGGGAATGAGAAAAAATTAATGCATTCAGATTGTAATAATCTAATCTGGATTTTTTTTTTTTTTTTTTTTTTGCCTGAGAGTAAACTGCCTTCAGAACACAAATATTAATCAGAAAACTTTCCAACATTTCATACTTAAATTACAATATATCAATTTTTTTTTTTGACAACTTAATTGTAATGTGCTTTGGTAAGTTCATATATCCATGCTATAAATTCAATGTGTTAAATTTTTACCTTTGGTTTCTCTGTGTACATCCTGAGCAATTAAAGGCAAAAATTAACACATTATATTGAAATGTTGATGTTTTCTTGGTAGAGTCAAGGAAGCTGTCCAAACAATGGATGTGTGTAGGCGACCGAAAAGCAACATCTATGACTCCCTGAATCAGAACATGATCCCAGGGATCCTGCCGCCAACAACAGGGAACATTACACTCACCTTCAATAGTCAACTTAACAGCCAGGTAGGACACCCGCTTTCCTTTCTTGCAGTAATTAGTCAAAGCAGTTTTTATATGACTTGAAAAATCTTTTGATTTTGCTCACCTTTAATATTAAGCTTAGCAACCAGGAAGAACAGCAACAACTCTTCAGTGATTGGTCGCAGCAGTATTTGTTATTACTTTGTCACACGTTTGAGTTATTGCTCACCATTCAATATTCAACTTAATAACCAGGTAAAACAAAGTCAAATTCATATTTATAATTTTGATCACAAATCTAGATAAAATTTTGGAAGAAACTATTAACATCATTCCAGAAGGTGTGGATCTAACTTTCTCGGATTTTCTTCAATTGGATTATTCACAAATCCAATGAAACCTATTTTCCAGTTAGAATGTAATGGTGGCTGTCATTTCCTCTTCCAGCAACTGTCGTCTGGACAGCCAGACTTGCCTTACCTGCAGTATCAGCTGCAGCCAGGTGCTTACATCCCTTACCAGCCCCCTAGTATGTCACAGCATCTCCAGTCACAGCAGAGGACCAGTGCCCAGTTCAGGCCTGACCAGTATTCACAGACTTTGTGTAAGTATTACCAGCTACACAGAACATGTGGTGACGAGGACACGAAGTAATACTCAGATTATTTAATGATGTTATAAGATATTGGTGATTTAGGGATATCAAGAGACGTTGTTGATACCAAGACAATACAATCTTGAGCGTAAACTCAGGTAAACAAATGAATTTTTTGTTGTCAGTAAAGTTGTAAAAAATATGTAGTCAAGAATATAATAGTGCTCATTTTATGTGGGATAGAGGTGTCTTAGACAACAAATTGTATGAGTAAGTCTTCAGTTAATTATTAGCTTGTAGGTGCTGTGTCATCTGTGTGTTAGGTACACAATGTACTTACTGATTGCAGCTTTGACGTGTTTATTTTGTATTTCCAGGTCTCAACTCCCCCTCCAAGCATGGCCTGTCTCTGCGTGTTGACAATGCAATCCCCATGGTAACACAACCTGCGCAAACTTTACAGATACAGCCACAGCTTATTGCTCAGGTACAGATTGACATATCGATTGGGAATTGTGTAATGTACATCACTGGAAGTCATTGCAAATTTAACAAATAGATATTAGGATGTTAGACGTTTATCTTTATATTTTCCCTTTAGAACTTACATGGTCTCTTCTTAACAACAACCAGATTAGATGATTTGGTAGGGGAATACAAATCAAAAATGTTGCTACTACATTAAAACTTAATTGCCACTGTGTATGTACGCCTACATTTTTGGTGCAAAATTTTGTTGAAGGTAATTATGATTTCATTAATTTAAAACTGAGTGTGAAATGCTAATGAGAACTTTTGATTTTTAGCGTGATAGGCACGGTCCTGGCTCAGGTCGTGCTCGTGCCCGTTTAATGGGGCAGGTGAGTGTACACAGTATGACCTTGACCTTGGTGGCAGGCTTGATTTGATCTGTATTCCTCAGTTTTATCTTTTAGTTTGGATTTTGAATTACTATCTTCTGAATAGCATATACCTATGGGAAGATGAGGGGTTGGGGTTCCTCCTGTACATTTTGATGACAATTGGTCTATTAATTTTTACAATGCATGCAAGGCCAATCCACTGGATTTTTATTGGGGGGTGGGGGGTACATATTCTTGGCTGGTTTTCCCTGGCCCAGTCATTGGGTCCTTCAACACAAGTCCAACTCTGAATTTTCAATGGTAAAGGCACCCCCTCCCTATGCCCACTATGATTATGCATGCATGGAGGTTTAAACATGGGTTCCTTGTTCTGCATTGTAGCAGCAAGTATCAGCACAGCAATTCGTTCCCGTCTCCATGATCGAACAATCTGGGCGACATATGCTAGTCACGGTTAGTTGACCTTTTCATTTAGTTTTATTATTATTATTATTACTATTATTATTATTGTCTCTGTTGTGGTTTCAGTTCCGTTGGTTGTGTGGTATATAGCATGAAGGATGTGGGGAGGTTACTTTGTATAATGTTTGAACATTCTAATTTATCCAAATATTTGTATTGTTAGTAAACCCAATGCCATGTAACATGGAACCATTGTATATTCATTGTACCTGTATATGTTCAGACATTACATTAAGTAACCATGATGTAAAAGATGCATGAAAGTGAAACCCCAACAGATGGATATACCAGAATATGTTTATTTTCAGCAGATGGAATATTTTTCACTATTTGTAGCATATAAATTTTATAGCTATTTTTTTCTAACAAAAATGTAGCTGGTGCTGGATTCTAGTACTATCCCAGTTCAGGTATGGTAAAGTAGATGTTTTTAAATGATTAGAAGAGGGAGACCTTGTCTTGAAATAGAGAACTCTCCAGTTTGCACAAGATTGAAAATAACCATCCCGCCTGTGGAAATAGTCTATATATGACTTTTTGTCGTGTTATTACGATTTACTCTTTGAATCCTGCAGAATGCTCCCATGACATCTTGGCCCAATGCCAGACCAGTCTTGGTACCCTCCTGGCAACAACTCCCCAGCTTCACCTCACAGCGACCACGTCACCTTCTGCCTGAGACCAGCATCCCCGAGTCTTGGCGCAGACCTCTAGTCATGGCCGACGTGGATCCACCGCAACCCACAACCATGTTCCCTCTGGTAAGTGCCAGAATGAAGGAGGCTTTTGTAATTATCTGATAGGTGTAATTTTCTGAAAATTGTAACTGCTGACAGGAATTCTTTTCAATAGCATTGTCCAAATTTGGATTTCAAATGTTTTCTAGACAATGTCAGCGAAGTTTTGAACATTTTGGTGAAGGTGTTGACCAATGGGTGTTATAAATCAGAAAAGAAGATTACAATTAAAGATGTTAACATTTTTCACTTTGATACCTTTTAAAATCTTAACACACCAATGAGTTACTTATCATTTCTGAACAGGATCTTGGAGATGGGCGAATCTTTGACCCATATGCTGTGGACCGTTCCCACCATGCTGGGAATTCCCACTTTACTTCCCTGCTTTCCCAGGGTGCCTCTACCTCATCACAGTGGAACATGAATGTTATGCCAGGACCACTGCTTCTTGCAAGACAGAACAGCAGCAGCAGCACTAGCAGCAGTAAGAGGCAAAATAAACAACAGTAAGTTCATGTTTTGTTGATAATCTGTGTCTTTTAGTGGTAGAGAAATAATTTTGGTGATTTGTCAATATTTGTGTTGAAGCTTTATCAACTTGACATTTATTGTGAATAAGGCTGATTTTTTAATGAACACATAATTAGAATTTATAAAATCCAGAGCATTTGGTTACATCACGTGTTTTCATTTCTCTCACAGCAGAAGCAATAAGGAGATAACAAGTCACCTATCGCCTGTGAAGAAACGTGTAAAAGAGAACACCCCACCGCATACGCAGAGTAAAGCAGCTTCCCCGGATCGTTCCAGTTGGCCGCGTTCAAAGACATCAGTAACCTCAACAAAAGTAGCATACAAAGAACAACGGCAGACAATAGTGATATCAGACACACCTAGTCCTGCCATTAGTGTGATCACTATAAGTTCAGACAGTGAAGAAGAATGTGAGAAACCATGTTCTTCAAGGTACGTGTGATCTTTTTTAAGTGTCAGGTGTGAGTCAAAAATATGAGAGAATCATTGTGCCCATGATCTTCAAGTATGCAAAAAATGCTCAATACTAGTTCCATCTGTTGTTAAGGAAGACGTAACTATTGATGTGAAGATTTCAATTAGAATTTATTCTAGAATTCTCATTTGCTTCTTTCTTTACAGCTGCCAAGATAAGAACTGTAAGGCATGTCATGATAACAAGATGAAGCAGTCATGCTCTCTCAGTGAAAGTAGCATTGTTAGCACTAGTCCAGAGTCTGAAGATGAGACTTTGGGAATTCCAAAAACTAAAGGTAATATTTTTTCCAAATCTGTTTTTAAGGTTAACCTATTAGTGATGTTCATTTTATTATTCAAGACAAGAATTATTTAAAAAATGCTTAAATGAAACTTAATCTCATGTGAGTACGAACTATTAAGTCAACTTTGACAAATATTTTTAGACACTTAGGGCCACTTTCACAACACCGGACTAACAGGTCCGCGGAATAAATATGGCAACTCACTAAAAAGCTTGCTTTATCATCCTCTAATAGACACTGAATAGATTCCACGCAGGGATTATGCCAAGAGCATCCAAGTGAGTCAGGCATATTTGATCTGCAAAGCTGTCAGTCCGCTATTGTGAATGCAACCTAATTTTCATCTCAGGGTTATGTTGGAGAAAATTTTCAACTGATTTTTTAAAATCTTAATTCAGTAGGTACCCCTAGAAGTAGAAGTAACATGGCTAGTTGTTTGACGGTTGCAGACAGTCAGGAGGACTCCGATTCTGAAGCAGAAGTCCCCTCACGGAAGACCAGATCCAAGGCTACATTTACGCCCATCAAAAGTGAGAAAGGCGGGTATAGCTCAAGTTGCCTACAGGCCAAAGTGGCAAACACCACGGAAGAAGCTGTGAGCTCAGGAAAGCCGTCTACAAGTAAAATCCATAGCAAACACATTCCAAAATTAAACAGTAGTAACAAGAATGTGACAGAACTGAAGACGGAAGCACCATTGCCCCAGGAGACTGAAGCTCCAGCCACATCAACAAAAAAGCCGTCTCAGGCTGTGCAGCCAATGCCACAGCAACATGGTCATCAAAGAAAAACAAGACCAAGAAATTTGAATTTATCGGTGCAGCGTCCAGTTCAAAATCCAGCTCCTCTGTATGCTGTTCCGTCAACATCAAATGGGCGCCATTTTCTGGGCAGCAGCCAGCGTTCACCACCAATAGTTGCAACAACACAACTTGGCCAGCCATTATATCTGAATACTGCCACAGACATGCACAGGTAAGACCATGTCTGCATATCGCAGAATTTGCATATTACATGATATTTTGTTGTGTTGATTCATGTAACAGTGGATTTAAAAAAAAAAAAGTCAACAGTGATATTGATACAGTTTGAAGTATCACATTGTGAGGGTGTTATTGCCCTCATATTTGGTACAAAGAGAATGTGTTGCCAAGTCAGAATGTCAGATTTTTAATAACGAGTCCATTTCAATTTCACAGGGACTTTTATCGAAGTGGTGGTCACCATGGCAGCCCACTTCACAAGTACCTCATTCCGGCTCACCAGCAAGCTCAGGTGACATATGGGCCCTTTTCACCTGGTGGGGCACCCCCACCAGCACATCAGAGCCCTCGTCACGTGCAATACACGGCACATCCTCCACTGCCAGCTCACATGCACACTATGATCCCTACACAAAGCATTCATACAGGGACATTCCCCACACAGATACATCCTCAGCTGGCAACTGCTCAATATCTGAATTCGCCAACAGGTGGCGTCTACACTGCCTTTCCTCTCAGCCCAACCAAGACAAGACAGTACCAGTACCTTTATCAGCCATTTTCTGGGGAATGAGACAGAGGCATGTAAAGAAAGTGAGATTGTGAATGTGCTTTCAGCTCTATAAAAGTTTGGAACATCCAAATGATTTGAGTCTGAGTCAAATTGTAAAATGTGTAATTTTGAGGGAAGTTTTAAGTTGGGTCATGTTAGGCCAGTGATTTTTAGTATTGGCCCAATGACTGAAGAAGGACATCATGTATTAATAAAGCAAGATTGTTTAGCCACATTCTGGCTAATAGTGAAACATTAATTGTTATTTGTGCCACTTGAATTGGCTTGACTTTTATCCACCCTTTACTTTTATTCTCACATTTGTGAACATAAGTGCACCCGGTGTTTTAAGTTGAATTGTTTTTGGCCACCTTTAAGGCATGAAGAATGGTGACTTATCACAATGCTTGAGATATGTGTATTTTGAGTGTCTATTACACTGTTATGACATTTTAAGAATAATATTGACATTTTAAATATAATATTAATAACATTATTCTGCTTTTCATTTCACTTTAAATAAGAATGATTAAGCTTACATTTATTATCAGATTTTGTGATAGAAATACATTTGGAAGGGTGCATATATATTACTATAAATCAAAATAATATCAAGCAAATATTTATTGACAGCTCAATAAGAAATGATTAATGCAAAGAACATTCTGGGGGTCTTGGTGACACTAAATCTAAAATTAAGAAGTGCCATTAGAAGAAATAGCATTAAACCATTTTGAATCAAAACATAGAGAGGAAATTTGAAAGATTTCGTAACTGTAACTTGGGATTTCCTGACATTTAAGATGTGGCAGGTGCTTGATGTGACTTGTTACAGTTTATTTCTGACATTGTACAGTGGTATGCATTGAATGTAGTTTGTGATGCCAGTTGAAAAGCATTCCTCTTTTTAGAATGTCACCAAGGGTCGGAGTATATATAAATGGCATTTGTAGCAACAAAATGGGATGGGATTTATATATTTTTTGCCAAAGTTCTTTTTCTTGGTGTTTGTGGTATAGAACCTTGTACGACAAGAAATCCTGAAAAGGTAATAGTATGATATGGTGATCATTATTATTGATAAGTTGTAATAATATTCATGTAAGATATTATGGCAGTATTTACAAGTCTTTCTCAGCTATATGTATTAACATTGCGCCATTTAAGCAAATAATAGGGTTACTTTATATATCTATGACAATCTGCTTGTATGGAAAGTGTATATATGATTAACAAATTATATATTATATATAATACATGAATTCTCTAGTGTCAAATTATTCCTATTGAGATTGGATTGTAGTGCTTAGTGGTGCCCCCTGCTGGGATGTTTTATTAACATGTCATTCTGGTCTTATTTAAAGCTCAGGGAACTTGGGGACTTTTAAAAAGGCAACCTCAGTGAATATATTTTTATTTTTTCGTTAAGCGCATTTTAATGGATCTTGAAGCAATTTTTAAGAAACTGTCATCACTGAGGTGACCAATATGAAATATTTAAAAAGAAAAAGGTGTCACCATTTTTTGAGATAGTTGGTTGAAAGAGTATTTTTCTTGGGGAAACTGGCAGGGGGCACATTAAATTCTCCTTGCATTGTTTGATAAAGGGGTAATTTAGAGGGCTCCAGTTCTTGCCGACCTATGTGCATCGAAATCGTGCAAAATTCTTGTGGTGAAACGGAAATATTGATCTAAAAGAGAGCCTAGGCATTCTGGAGCTCGGCTTAGCAGAATAGGTGTGTGAGATATTATATTTGTATTATGCTTGCGTGAATATTTTAGAAGAAATCATATTGGGCCAAATATTTTTATGAATGTTTGATCTCATTAATGCATGTTTACATTACTCTAGTTTGGTACAGTATCATTCAGGACTGGTAGCAATTTAGTGTCACAATTTGTGTGTTTGTGTTTTCTTGTGTTGACTAGGGAGTATTTATTTGTAAGCAAGTAGTTTGCAGTGAGTAGTGGCAATGACCTTAGTTACAGTGCAGTTTTCATAATGGGCAGTTAATTTTAAAGTTGCACACCTGCAAACTAAAAAAATATATTTATGATTACATATTATATACAACTTCGTGCCCACTTTTAATGTAACCTTATGTGATCTGATTTACCCCAACTAGTCCTTATCAGTTTGGCTAATATTAAACATTTTAACACCATATACCCTACTTCAACAATTGGTCAATTTAAAGGGTGATACTGCTGCTTTATAAAACTGCTTGTAACTGGGGATGGGTTATTTGGTACTGTGTGTTATGTTGTTTTAAATTATTTAGTATGGATATTTGGTTCAGTATTCTAGTATTAAACTTGATGTTGACTTACTCTGCTTGCAGTCTGATATTATATCTCTTGTTATAGTGGTGTACTAATTCCTAATGTATTTTATGGACAAGTATTGTATGTAATACAATGGCCTTTTGATTCTGTGAGTGTAGTGAAATTGTACAGCAAGTAAAATATTGCGCCTAACACATAATTATATGGGTGTAGCCTCCTACTATTTTGTAATGTATAGTAGGATTTGTATTATTACTATCATCATTTATATCATGTATTCTTAATCATTTTAACCTAGTGGAATGAGGACTTATTCTATATATTTTACTACTTGTGCATTCATCTTGTTAGCTGTGCATTTATTAATCTTGTCAATTGACAATAAATCTGGTGTTCATTTACTATTGTGGAGCAAATATCTTCAGATAATGTTAACTGTTTACAGGGATGATTTATTACTTAGTGTTTAGCATGAAAATTGTCATAATTGGGAGAGAATGTTTAGTGTGTGCGCTTTATGTGCTCATATAGCTTACTGTATCAGTATTTTCACTATAGTTATGTAAGTTGGCAATACAGCCAAAGATATCACTTATACAGTAGGGAGGGTCACTTTGTGTTTTATGGTAGTGGCTTGTTCAATACCTGTGTGCAATATTTTGACTGGAGTGTAATCACTTTAGACTAGAGGAAAGGTACAGGGATTTAATTATCGTGATAGTCAGATTTAGTTAAACAGTGATTCTCATAAAATTTACAGAAAATGGAAGGAAAAAAATTTTATTACTCATTGTTATTATCAATGGCATAACATTTTTGGGAACAAGTTTGAATAAATATCTAACTGCACTTATTGTTCTGTTTTTTGGTAAACGCACTGCATTTCTTTACCGCACAAATATGGCTCCAGTTAACAGAAATTGGTTTGAACACTAGTTCCAAACTGCTTGGAGGCATTCTTCAATATTGCCTAACAAAGTGAACGGCCCAGCAACGAACTATTCTGCATGCTTATCTTCCCAGAACATAAATTGTTTTGCTTTAAATTCAAGCAAGGCATAATACAGAAACAATTTTTTTCATCAGATCTTTATTAAAATGTAATATCCAGACCTTTTTGCTCAAACAATATCATATAGTTGACAACTGAGCAGGGGAATCTTCCCTTATTTGGTGTGTATAAGAGAATGGATTTCATGATTCTTTGGGTTTAATTCTAGCTCCTTTAATTCCTTATTCCATCATTATGACAATGCAAAAGTCAATTATACACATGATTGTCAAGGATTGATTGCACTAGATCAAGAACTCTACCCATCTGCACCTGGGTGTATCTAGGGAAGAGAGCAATGCCGGATGTGTATGGTTAGGGTTGGCATGACAATAGCAGAAATTTTTCAAAAGCATAAAACAGATCAATTTGCTAACTAATATTACCATATGGGAAGACATATATTCTATAATTTAGCCATGCCTTTTTGAATTTCCTAAGAAGTGTTGTATCAATAACGACCTGAAAAGTAAATCTTATCAGTCATATCAGCCTAGACCCTTCATCACATCTAAAAAATTGCACATTCACAACCTTGATAAGGAGGTATTAGCTACTGCTACCATTGAAAGCAAATGTTCAGCTTTCTTTAAATGGCAAGAAAAATATTTAGCGATTTAGACTTCTCAGTTCATCTTGTATAACCTTTCTGAGATCCTCTTTTAATGTCATATCAAATGAGCTTTCTTTTCTATTAAGTCGATTGACTGAATCTTTAGTGTTCTCTCGAGAAAAAGGACTGGAGTCTGCATTCCGCCTTGGTGTTTCACGACTGTGCAAAATACGCCCTTCTTTCAAGATTGTCTCAACAGCAGAGTCTTCGTGTTCCTGTGGTTTGTGAATTGGCATTTTAGAACGATCTGCTTTACTGGTTACTTTGTCACTGCCACTGTCATCATTTTCAGTCTCTAAATCCTGCTGCACTAGTGTTTCATTGATGAGCTGCCTCGCATGCTCCTCTAGAGATTTTTTGTATTCATGCTGTTCTCGCTGCATCTGCTGCTTAGCCAACAAAGAATGCTGCTTTTTCATCAGTTCCTGCAGCAGAGGGGTTACATAATTATACTACACATTACATATTTACATAAAATGTTACTGTTAATAGGTTAATAAATACTCTTTATAATAACTCCCTTATTCTTCTTTCAATTTCATAAAATTACAAGCCATTTGATCATCCAATTCCATGACTCTAAGAAACAGTTTTGTCTATATTTCAACCTAAAAGAAAGCTCTAATTCTGTTTGTGCTCACCTTCTGCTGTGCAGGAGTGGCTGCCACCCTGGTAAACCCTGGTAGCTCTGAGTTTGCCTGCCATGCATCATGTGCTGGAGGTTTTGTAAGGAATGGCCGTGAAGAGTACTCTGTCTCTTGCCTAGGTTGTTTCTTGTGACCAGCTCTCATATTTCTCGTAGGTTTTCTCTCTTCCTGTGAAGTGTAAAGGATATCTGTGTTGCAACAAATGGTGATGTACAAACTAAATTTAATCTGACATGGAATACAAGAAATCTAAAAAACAAAACAAATTTAAAACCACAACCTCTGACTTATCAAATTTCTATAAAAGACAACTAATGTATATGGTAATTTTAATTACAATGTAAAAAGAATTTTTTAGTTATATCTAGGGTTATCTCCTACCATTTCTTCCTCATCCTCACTTGACTGGTTCTGTCTTTGTGACTTTGCATCATGCTGCTTTCTGGAAGAAAATCAATTTGATAAAAATGTCAGTGACGCAAGGCAAAAACTGAACCCACACAGTATTTAGGCCTTCTCTGGTATGTTCTAAATTTATCCACTGTCATTTTAAAATGTACAGATCCTGTTTGTGTAACTTACTTGTGAGGAACAGTAGGTGGGTCATCTGACTGTAACACTGCCTCTATCTGAGACTGTGCCTTGTCCCATGCTTGTCTTTCTTCTTTGGTCTTCTTTGATCTCCTTTTCTTTTTCTCTTCCTATAATTTAAATGCAGGAAAAAATGAAAGACAATTTTCCACTTTGCTGTAGACTTGATTGATTTTTATACAGAGATGTGAGAACTATTTACTTCACAAAATTAACATTCTATGTTAGTCAATTAAAAGGTGAAATAATACAACAAAACTGAAAATTCAAATATCACATCTAGTCCAGATGTATTTACCTGCTTTGCCTTTTCTCTATGCCTCTGTTTATTTTTCATTCTTTCAATGGCAGCCTTTTCTTTTAATGTAATGTCTGGGTCACTACCATTTTGTTCTTCTTCACGGAAAGGGTCCTAAAATAATTTTTTTCAGCTTGAGATTTTTTAAAATATTTAGAACCACTGTGGTTAACAATGGCCTATCACACAGCTCTGTTACAAAATACACTGTAGTACTTGGAAAACTTTTAAAACTATATTTATTTTATAAAATCTTCACAGATAAAATACTTTTTCTAAAAAAAAAAGTTACATTCACTTCTATACATGAAAATGCACTTACTTACAGAATGTCATGATACCACTTTTTAATCTAAAAATTCTTTTAAGATAAATACAAGCCTGTTGGCAGGGGGCCAGATTCGAGGTATTGAAAATAAAAGAAAAGGAATATACTTGGCATTTTTTCTTTAAAACTCACCACCAATTTTATAGGTATCCCAGTTTTACTTTCTTTCTTATCCGTGGCAACTGTGTCTTCCTCCTCTTCCTGTATATCCAGTGGTGGAAGAGAGGACAGATATGCAGTGAGAGCAGGTCCTGGGGCAGGGGTAATAATGTTTTTAAAGCGTACAGGAGGACGTTCAGGTTTGGCAGGAGGAGGTTCTTCAATCCTGCTCAGTTTGGCAATGTTTTCAAAAACTGCTGCCTCATGAACCTCTGCCTGGAGGGAAAGATGGTAATTTTATTTTAAAACCCATATATATGTACATAATCGATTTGGTCATTTGAATGAAATATTAACATCTGGCTCATACATTTGTTATAATTTTAATTATTAAAATATATTCTGAAAATACATGCTATAAGCTAGCTTCTTCAAAAAAAATATTCATAAATTAATAGTTCAGACCAATGTAAGAGAGCACCATAATCACTGCTATCTGTTATACCTCTTCATCCATATTTCCTGCATCAGATGTTAGACTTTCATGAGAAGTGGTCAGGGCAGACTTCACTACCAGTGGTGCCACCTTAGAGGATTTCTTTGGTCTCAAGGGGGGGAGTCTTCTCTTCCCTTTACTTTTCTTACGAGACTTTGCAGTCTTTGAATGAGATGCTCTGTTTACTTCTTTGGTCTCCTGCCTGCTAAGCTCCCTGTCTGATTCACCTTCTCTCGAAGAAGCAGAGGATGTTTGGCTGGAATATTGATTAAGATAGGGAAATTTAGAGGCTTGTCTCATTTACTATAAACTACCTTCTGTTACAAATGAAAATTAATTAGAAACTAATTTGACCAATATTTAACTTAAATCTTATAATATCTTAAAATATCAAAGTTCTCATATCTGACCCAGGCCAACTTATTCTCCTTTTTCATATGCCCACTTGGTGGACAAGCGTACATGAACATTGAGATTTGAAGATGAATAAACTGGTACTGACAGACCTGAAACTCAAGGTAGGTTTACATGGATTCCCACAAAAAAATCAATGTAACAAAAAATACAGAAAGAACATGCCTGCCAGCAAAGTTTACAGAAAACAATGACAGCCGACGCTTGTGCATGAAAAATATTTTCCCAAACAAGAGCAGCAAGATAGCTGATCAACTGTTAATACCAAAAGCTTGAAATGTTAATAAAAGCTTTACTTTAGACAAATACATCACTGAATGCATTCAAGATAGCAGCCACATAGGCAAACTAAAAGGTCAGATAGAAAGACTAATAAATCACTACCCAGGTACAAATATATTTAAAATATCACATGGTGAAATTTTGCCAATTCCTTGCATTTCATATACACACATATTAGGAATTTCTGATTATTAATTCCCTTTACATTCAAATATTTTTCCTCTAAAAATATTCATGACACGATAAACAAGTCTGATATTTATATTTTGTGAAATACATTCTTAATACTGAATTGAAATAATTTTTTGTGATATATAACACCCCACTAGGACCCACCAAACATGGGCCCTAGCTCTATACATATTTTCCATGAATGGCACCCTGTGATGCAAAAGTTAACCCTTAAATGAACATTATATGATGGAATTATTTCCATCTTTCAACTTAAATCTGAGTAAAAGCATTGTACTTGACAATAAGGGCTCATTTCCTATGACACTGTTGGTCTAAATACAGTAGATTGATCCAACTATGTGTGGACTCTTGCCATAAGCTATCATACTGGCTCAATGACACTCCTCCTGATATTGAGTAGAATAAAGAAAAACTGGTGATCATATGAGTATGTTGGAAACAACAAAAAAAGCGTGTTAATCTGTTAAACTGATTGCATTGAGCAAGAGTCCCTGCAGAGCTGAGGCCATCTACTTAGACCAATAGAGTTATTGGGAATGAGCCCTAAAAGTCATCAAGGGTGACATCTATACACTCTTACACCGATTAACCAATAATAGCACAAAGTGGTAAAAAATAGATGTTTATACATGCAGTGGTTGATCTTCATTTCTATATCCTAAGGAGGCTTATCAATCCTGTTAATATACCCAGAGGGGATTAACCAGTAAACTATTATGTAGCAGTACGTGGGCAGTTAACAGGCACAGAGTAATTTAATGAATTAGTTTCAGAAGGAAAATCTAAGAGAAACTGGACTGTAGTGACAAAATATCAGTAATAAATCATACAACACCATGTAAAACAGTGTGACTTATGTGTTCCAGTACCAAAGCCATTAACCTCCGCACAAAGTGCTGAATTCATATAACAAAATCCAACAAATCCCCACACCAAAATACTACACCAATCAATAAACTTCACTCACCTCTGTTCTATAGAAACTCATCAAATATTCCTTGATCAAAACTACAAGCAGAGTGGTAAAGTAGCACATAAATAGTGGAATTTATTATCTCAATTCACTAGTGAAACCACAACCTTAGTTCTGACCTAATTCTGGCTCATGTGTTGTGTTGTCATGTCAATAGGCTTTTGTTTACGTTGTCATCAGAAAGAGGCTCGGCTGGGCCAAAAAGAGACTATGCAGTAGCAATATTTGAAAGCACCATAGCAGACGACAGTGTTTTATTATAGTGCTCTAATATATAATTTTGTAATAAAATAATTGATGCTGTTTGTTATTTCAAATGACAGTTTATGGGAAGCTATCAATTATTTAGTAGCACATGCACTGGCAATCTTACTACTACTAGCTGTAAGTGCATTGTATTGATTTTTGTTCAAATGGGTGGCATAAGCTATAATTTGCCATATTATCTCACAATGGTTTCAGAGAAGTAATTTGAATGCACCTAGATGGCATTATCATTATAGACAGGCCAGATTACCAGAGAAAGTTACTGTGTCAATATTTTAAACATTACAGTAAGCTGCATATGGTTGTTGAAATACAAAATCAGATCACTTCTATCATTTCAAAATGGTAACTAAGCGGTAAAAGGGTGCTTTTATTACCTTTCTCTGTCTGATTCATCAGTTTCAACCTCTAGAATGCGCCTCTTCTGTTTGCCTTTCGACGAGCGTCCACTTACATTACTGATTTCCCGCGACCTCATCATTCTGTGTTCATGTTCTATCGTGTCAGAGTTACACAAGTTCTTCTCTTTTTCTTCATTTTTCATCTGTAATTGTCAAGTTTAAAATTTTGTTGTTTTAAATAAAGTAAGAGAATGCGTCTCCATGGATTTTATTGTTTCAATTTAGATAACATGACTTTAAAACAGATATGTACTGATGAAGTGAATCAACATAATTATGCCTACAATCAATTGAAGTACATTTGGTACACATTCAAAGTATATCAGTCATTATAAACATACCTTTGGTGGTTTCATGGGTGACACGCTGGGTGTATCCAGGAGTGGCAGGGACTTTCCATTACGTCCAATCTGTACAATTGCTCCTCTCTCAACATCCACTCCAAGATTATGCATTTCAAGACTTTCCTGTAAAAAAAATATTTTAATACTCAAATGCATACTGTTTGCATGCAATATTATTTGTACAAGTTGAAGACCAAAAATTGTTTAGCTCCCTGCGATATATAAAAGATTACAGTTAATTAAAATACACTTGCACATTGCAATACCAAAATAAAAGTGCACAGATTGAATACTCATTACACATTTTAACTTTTTTACGTTAAAAGTTATCAAGATGTGATTAATAAGAAATTTAAAGAGGCAGAATGAAATAATCTACGTATCAGACAGGTACAAAATGGTTCCACACCTTTGGCCCCCTCTCTACATGATCCTCCGCACCACAAGTCATATTCTTCCACAAGTATACTGAGACAAGGAGTAGAATGATGACCAACAGAACTGGAACGGATATGGCAGCTATTAGCCAACTTGGACGTGTTGTGGGGTTCTCCTTCCTGGTAACCAGAGGCCTCACACCTGTTTCTACCTAAAAAAAAACATCTTCACTCTGTTTTAAATTGCCACAAGTATGTGAAACTTGATCTTCACCAATTAAGTGCCATACTTTTTTCAATTAAAAATATCAAAAAGTACTTCACAAAAATATCAGAACTCATGAATTTTTGCTGAACAGAATGCAGTTTTCTGAACAGCATCTGAACACTAGATTAACACATTTAATAACAGTAAACAAATTAAAAGACCTAACCCTTGAGCACAATGTGACCATTACTAGGTCAGGTTTTCATTGGCATGTTTCATAGTGGATAAGATATCTTAAAAATACTTTCACAAATTTTGAAGCAATTTTCAGGACAATAGTGACTGATTTCAACTGCAATTTTTAAAACAATTTTTATTCTCTTTTTTCCTTTCAGAATTCTGTGTTCTTGGAGTGCTCTCTAGTAAAAATGACTAAAGATCAGCCCCATATTCTTGTGTAATATATTCAAAGAAAATGAAGCACTCACTGCATATCCAACTTTGAGACTCAATTCAGAGTTGCTCAGTTTGTTAAATGTCTTCTCTATGTGGTCTGATTTCATGACACTGCCATTCTTTGTCATGTAGAATATAACATCTACAAGATCGTTATAATTACTGTTGGTGGCATTCTTTACTTCTGTTATCTAAAATCAAAAGAAAAAAGTTCAAAGATTAAGGTGAAAACAAGTATAATTCATTAATGCCCCCATTTTCTTAAATATAATGTAAGAAAGAAAAATAATCTACCACTTATTTTTATTTCCATAACAAAAGCAATAAAAAAGAATTCTTACATGAACTTCTACATCCTGTGAAGTCCCAAGACCAGCCTGTCGTTTGCTTCGGCTATGATTTACTTTCTTCACTGCCAGGTGATAGCTTATCACAAGTCCTAGTCAGAAAAAAATGTTCAGATACTCAGCATATTAGTATTATACTGATAGACAGTCTAACTCATGAATCAATTAAAAGTTTGTAGCAATTTCCTTGTCATTTCTAGCCTCAATTGTTTAAAAATAAAAAGAACACAGTAATCAAAAATTGATCAATCATGCTAAATTACTTCAAAAATAACAAAGGTACCTTTCTCAATTTCCCTTATCAATTTTTCCCCTTCTAAAACCATCTCTGTGAATGGGATATGCAGTGTAAGAACCATGCGGTTCTCCTCTGCCTCTGGGGACATAGTGACAATCACTGCAGGCGGTGTTGTTGATGGAGACCCTGTATTGGGTATTGCAGAAACTGTTGTAAGGGATGTTCCTGTTGCTGATGATTCAGGCGCTTCAAGTGTTGCCAATGTTCCTCCTAAGATTTCTGCACTTATCAAAGTTGTTGCTGACAAAGAGATTCTCTCTGTCAAAACTGAGGTTGATTTAAACACCTCTGCCGTTGATGAAGATGAGATCACAGTAGCAAAGTAACCGAACACATCCACTAATAAAGTTGGGCTATGCTGCTCTGAGGATGTTAGATAAATAGTAAAATCCGATGCAGAAGGCAAAACAACCCCTTTTGATATTTCTGCCCCATCAATTAAATTCAAAGATGAACTGAGATCATATAATTCTTCACTAGAGGGTGCCAATGGGCTGAAAGAGGTGCCCTGTTTCACACTATCAAGTACAGAATTCATAGAAGATTCTGAACTAAAATCAAATACTGAGGTAACAGACATTATCTCTGAATGGCCTAAATTTTCAGATGAAATAACTGGAGAAATAACACTGACTTCAGATGGCTTACTAGGTGGAATCACTGGACTTACATAACTACTTCCAAAAACAGTGATTACTTCACTTGCTGAGGAAGTAGACAGGTCATCTAAGGTACCCTCAGAAGTTGAAGCATTAGATGAGGCACTTAGTGAAGTGCTTTGTGAAGTTGTTGAACTGACATCACTTAACATACTACTAGAATAATGATGCAATGAACTATAATTTAAATCATTACTCCTGGACAATGCAACTACCACAGCTTCTGATGACAATTCATCACTTGAAACCATGGAATTTGTGTCATACTTCAACACACTACTAGTATGACTTAATGTGCCTTCATTAGAATTTGCATTAACAGAAGCATCTCTCAGCCCATCACTTTGTGCTGGTGCTAAATCAGTTGACATACTAGGAGCACTAATTATGTCTAACACAGAAATACTACTGACATGAGAATCAGATGAACTTCTGCCATCAGCATTTGTGCCAGTGAACAAAATGTTGTATATCGATGATGATGATGATGATGATGATGATGATGATGATGATGAAAACAATAGTGATAATGATGAAGTGATATCTGACAGGAAAGGCACTGAATTGTCTAAACTTTCTACTTTGCTACCGCTTAAAGGCAAGTTAACTTTTGTTAAATTATTAAAAGATTGGCTAATTTCCATAGATATCACAGATGATTTTGTGATGGATGCATTTTGAATTGATTCAACTTCCTGTGTGGAATCTTCCAATGTTGACTGATGTACAATGTCTGCTGGCCATGTTGTCAACAAAACTGAACCACTGCTTAAAAAAAGTGTTGGTGTTGAACCTGCTTCTCCAACGAATAAATTACTTGTTGAAGAAGGAAGAACATTTGAGAATAAGGAGCCAGATGGCTGAACACTGCTACTGGTATATTCCTGAACAAAGCTACTTGTGCTTTTCAGAGGGGATAACAGGTCATTGTTGTCCCCTATCACTGATGAAAAACCAGGCAAAACAGATAAACTTGAAACTATATAATTATCACTAACACTGCTGCTTAAAAGTGGTGAACTTTTTTCATTGCTATGCATCCCTTCTACTGGTAAATCTGACAAACTGTCTGATGAGGATATATATCTTACTGTATCCATGGATATATTATGAGACATTTCCTCTGTGAATTTTAATTGTGTAGTATAATACACTGGTGCAGTGTTGGTTTGAGTGGCATCTGGTAATTTACTAGTATTTACAAATACAGATTCTGTAATTGGCACATAGGGTGTCCCTGATATAGATTCACTTCCAGTCTCTGTTCTTTGGGCTGAGATTGTTTCAGAAGCAGTGAATTTCAGTGAGCTGAGAACCAGATCAGAGATTGTATTGGAGACATGATGGAAGTCTGGTATCCAGCTGGAAGTTAATGATCCATGTTCAATTTCTGTATGAAATGAACCTGCTTCTGACCTTACCACTGATGGAGTGTCTATCAATTTTGCTGAATGTATAGGCACAGATGTAAATTTTTCAGTGAAACTGTCTGAAGACACTGTTAAAATAGACTGTGTTGAAACACTTTCAACTGTTTGCATTGGAAGACTTGAAATTAGATCACTGCTACGGACTGAACCTTCCAATGTGGAAGTTGAGTAAGCAGTATCTCTTGAAGACACATGTGATTGATGTAAACTGTTTAAATGATGCAATGTCACATCACTCTCAAATAAAGACATCCCAGTACTGTGAAATAAAATTGTAGATGCAGAGTTGTTCATTGCAGTTGTTGAGATTCCAATTGCTTCAAGATGTGATGGCTCAAGCAACTGGACAGTAGTTGATTGTCCCGATTTAAGTGCACGTGACCTAGAAGCTAGGAATGTATAAAAATCATGTTCCATAAGACTGACTGGATGTGTGTATGACGCAGTTGAACCCTTTTCAAAATTGCTGCTAACTTTCATTATTGGTATTCTTAGTGAACCTGTATAATGACTGTCTAGAAATCCTGTTTTAGTTTCACTAGATTGTAAGTCACTCTGCTCCAAACCAGACAATGACGGTAATATTGTAGATGGTAATGAAACATGCCCTGCTGATAATCTACTCTCAGTGTTTTGAGATATCACATCAAATCCCGACAAAGCCTTAAATAATGATGATTTAGGTGCTGATTGTATCATTGAAGACTCATCAGTTTCAGGCACATCATGGAGAATTTCTCTTGCTGTATGAAAACTTGAAATACTTTCAGCAACTGTTGCTACAGACCAATAAGACTCTGAGGCACTGCTTATTTGATTGTAAACTGGAGAAGATTTTTTATCGAAATCCTCCAAGTGAGGCAACATGCTGTCAGAACTATGAGGTAATATTGAAGAACTGGTAGTTACAGGAAGTGAAGTAGATATCAGCTTGGATATATCAGGTGTAACAGAACTTGAAATCATTACTTTTATTGCACTATCCATACTTAAGGTTTTTTTATAATCATTGTTCCCTTCTTCATTTTCCTGTGACATCAATTCTGAATGAACAGAATGGGTCGTTATTTCTGCAACTGACTGGATTGCTGCTGTTGAGAAAGGTGTGGCAAATGTTTTAAAACTTGCTAATTTGCTTTCTGAGGCAGCTGGCTTTACTTCAGGGCTTTCTTCCTCTAGATCTAGTCTCACAGGAAGGGAGGTCTGCTGCCCAAAAACCACAGGGTCAGACACTGGTGAATGAAAATAATCAACTGCACTTCTGTAAACTGTTGTGGCCATGTTGTTATGGTCAACCACTGTGGTCAACCCCAAGTCATTAGGACCACTCTCTGGTGAAACAGGTGGACTGAGGGTCATTCCCAATGATTTGTTTCCACCTCCAGAACTTTCTTCTTGAAACGCTGTAGACAGGTGCTGTGAAATTTGGTTAAAGTCCCTTACTGTTTCAGCACTTGTGGTTGATGTTCCATTATTCTTTCCTTTCCTTTCTTCAATCTGAGAATTTACATCCATACTAAATTCTGCATATTTTGAAAATGTGTGAAAACTGGTGGTTGTTTCAATCGAGTGTAAGGAAAAAGCATCTAAATCTTGACTTCCATGAAACTTATTGTCAGTGCTGCTAAGTAAACCTGGGGGATTCCAATATTCAGAAAACAAAGTTACATTCCTTTTACTAAAAGTGGCACTTTGTGAGCTTTGGGAAATGTTTGTGGGCATTTCTCTGGTTGCCACACTTATCGAATTAGATTGAGACTGTTCTGACATTGATAAAACTGTTACACCAGTGGATTCCACTAATGTCTTCTTACTGATGGCTACATGTTCTGTTGCAGAAAATAGTACAGGTGTTGTCTTGATAACCTCTACTGACAGATCAGTATATGATCCCGAGACAGAGCTCAGAACTTCTGATGTGCTGGGCCTGTCAAGAAATATTGATGCACCATGCGATGATGTCATAAGACCACTAAGAGAAAAGTGGGTCCCTACTTCACTAAGACTTTTACTCAATAATTTGTCAGAAAATTCTACCAAACTGCCTTGAGATTCATGACTGAATGTTTCTGACGATACTTTTGGTTCGGGCTCATGAACAAAATGTGGCATGAAAAGCCCATCTGGATAATTATAAATTACTTTTTCATTTCTCTTCTGTGAAACAGAGCTCACTAGTTGTGTTACATGAGAAAGCTCTGATGAGGAAAAAAAGAGAGAAATAGGTATCATTTTTGATTCAGTTAATGTTTTTTCAACTTGACTTGAAACTTGTTTTCCGGAAGTAATGATATCTGTGGATACTGCTTCACTGGTTTCAGAACAGCAATCAGTAGATAGTAGATTAATGAAGTCATCAAAGTCACTGTCACCGATTTGGATAGAATTTAAGGAGGAGTGGAAGGAAGCATCACTTTTTCTCATTACAGAATCTGACATAAATTGATGTGCAGACAGAGTTCCTTCTTGCAGAAAAAAATTTTGGATATCACTGCCATGTTTTGAAGTTGCATCAGACAAAATCATTGATTCACTGTCAGTGTTAGCTGACATTAGTTCTACGTCAATTACCACAGATTGACTTCCCAAGACTGGCTGCATTGATTGCTCCATAAAACTAATTATGTTGCCATCTTTAGATTCATTACTTTTTATCTTTGTAGGGGCAGTCTGGGTTTTGCATGGAGTGGAAGGCACAGCTGTTGGGGAGGAGTAGGAAGGGAGTAATGTGCCTGGAGTCCCCAGAGTTTTCCCAGAATTCCTCCCATTTTCATTTTCTGACCAAACTGCTGTAAATGCAGAATTCACGGTTGAGTGACTATAGGATGAAGTCAGTGGAAAAATGTTTTTCTCTGTCACTGTATTAATTTCCTCTGACGTAGCCCCATAATTCACTGAAGTGGCTATGGTACTAAAAACTGTTTTTCCTTTTGTTTGCAAAATAGCCACATCTGTTCCAGCTTGTAATTGTGACACAGCACCTGCAAATATTCTTTCTGTGGTTCCAATACTGGCTGCTATTTCAGTCCCATGCTGAGTAAAATTATATTTTAGTGTGACCGTCTCTGTTGCCATGACCAGGTTATTGTTTTCATCCATGGTAACAATTTCCACAGAAACAGTCTGTGGCGGTGGTTCTGTTGTTGTGTCTCCCTGTGATCCATGAGTGATCTCTTGACCTCCAAGGAATGCTGTTTGATCTGAGCCTGTTGATACTGTCTCAATACTTGAAGTCACATCTGTAGTTATACCAGTTTCTTCTGTCATCTGTTGAGGACCATCCACTTGTCCTAATTAACAAAGAAAAAAATATTATTTTAAGTACATTTTTGAGGGGGGAAAAGGAAAGAAAATGTATTTCTTGCCCAAATTAAACTGCTTTTTTGTATCTTAGCAATTTGCAAACTAATTTATTCTGCATCTGGGCTAAAGGTTGTATCATAATTTGCAATGGCCTGAAGAAAATCTTTTAAGTATATCACATACATGACAAATGATTATAAATCAAATTAAGATTTTCAAATGAACATTGCTGACTATGAAAAAGACACTTGAGACAAAAATATTACATAACACAAACAACTATATAATACAGGGCATGAGAGTGTAATCGGCATCATTTATCAAGTGAAAAAAAAACTGTTTAGAAAGCAATACTTTAAATTTTGATTAAAAATGAAAGCTCATACCGAGGACTATTGTTTAGACTCCCTAGTCAACCTTCAATACTGCTGTGGCAACAGATATCAAATATCAAATCTGCCAATTCGCCCAGACAGTTTCAGTATGCACAAACCCATTTTCTTTATTTTTACACACATGCTCTTTAAATTGTCAAAGATTCTTTTTTGAAGGTTCATTGCTTATGCAATTTCACAAGAATATTGAAGGCTTATCCTATATTCAAAGATGAAAAGCACCTCTTGCAGCAATGCATTGTTTTAAATGCTCCACTTGTAAACATAGCATGCAGAGGACAGAAAGGTTTAAATAGTAAGACAAATGCATATGCCACATCTATTGGGTTTTTTTTCAGATACTCTAATCATTAACTAAGAAAGATAACAGCTAGCAGAAATGCTATTCATATATTTGATCTGATTTTTTTCTTACTCCATTATGAAGGTTATCCTTTTCTTTTCCCTTGGTCTAAATCACTACTTAATTCAAATTTGAAGAGAAACATTATGTAAAAACATGACATTTTTTAGCAACTATAGATTTCTAACAGCTCTCTCAAAGAATTGGCTGATGGCATAGTTGGCAAATATTTTGATAAAGTGTGGGCTTGTTTACTGTTATCAGTTAAGTAAGTGCAAATATTTCTGTTTATCCACTTGTTGCTAGCTCCCCAAAATATTTGTGTGATTTACATGGAGTAAATCACACAAACACTTCAACAGTTCGTGTAGCCTTAAAATAAAAAGAAAATATTTATCAACTTCACAAAAATATAAAACATATCATATACCAAGTGTCATTAAAATGGCATAATCCTTTTATTTAGTTTAGATATAACATTTAAGACCCATTTAATGTGCGTGGGATGGCTCATCAAATGTCACTAAAATTGAAGCACACTCTTAGTAAGCTCAGTACCAGTGCTATACTTGTGGGCATATTTGTGAAGAAAGCTAAGTTATGTAGTTACTCAGTGCACATATTATTTTCACAAAAACAAAAAAGACAAAAAATGTCAAGAGTCACCAACCACTCAAGGTACTCCTTTCATCCCCCTTGACATGGGGAAGGTGAATCATAACTTTACTTAACAGTCAGCTTTAGAAATATTTTATTTGCATAAAATTAAAATAACTTTTTGGAAAACTAAGGACTCTGGATTAAGCACCACTATCTTCAGTAATAAGTTAAAATATTCATAAAAACTAAAATCACAGTCTGTTTTAAATATGTTACTTCACCATGAAAAGTTTCAGCCTTAGATATATATCAAATATTCTGGTTTTGTTTTCTCAATTTTTTTTTCAAATCAGCTGACTCGAAATGGAAAGATATACAACATATATATCAAAAATACTGTGGCATGTGTCCAGGAAACTGAACATCAATTTAAAATTTAATTTAGAACACATTTCATCATAAATCATTCGTCGTACAAAAAACATCCTTCAAAAATATTGTTCATTTGTTCATCAAATATTCATAGGTTTATGGAATTAATTGAAAGAAGATTTACTTAAGGGATTGATGCAAACATTTATGAAAAAACTGTATGTGTGTGTCTTTTGGATTGAAGTATACACAAAAATGTCACAAAAACTCCTCTTAAAAATCCCCACATGCTTTAAACCCCAAGGGAGACCAACAACTTCCAGATGATATTAAAAACACCATGAGAAAAATTCCTTTATAACCTCTTTGCAAGTGCACCACAGTGCTCTTTTTTATTTTAATAGGCCTCACTGTGGACAATTAAAGCTTAAAACTAGCACCTCCCTGGCAACCCAACAACTTATGATCTAGAGAATCACATGAGTTCTCAAGTTACAAATTCAAATTTATAAAAAAAAAGTAATTTATGTCTTGTGACGATTGCACTTGCATAATGACAAGGCATTGTTGTAAATCACTGGTGACACAAATACTCGATGTAATGTATTTTGACAGTTTTTCTGATACTTGTTTCTCAGTGCCTTATGTCAACTTCACCTTATTCATTTTACGCAAAACAACAAATTCTTAATTTTTCTTTGATCAAATTGAAATGTTATGAGAGGAAACATTTCACCCTTTCACTTCACAAATCATTTGGCATACACACAGCAAGTTTGGGTGAATAATGCATGTTAAAAGTACTATGGCTCTTCCTCAAATTAATGGTCATTAACATGTTAACTTTCCTCTCAACTTCTTTCTCCTCAAAGGACGAAAACACCCTGTCAAAACATGGTATGTGAAGGCTGATTGCAAAATGGATAAATGGGTATAAACTTTGTTTAACTGATGTCTCCACCACCCTTATTATTCAAGAGAAAATATTCTAAACAATGGATGAGAATGACGCACACAAGGGCTGAATTTTTTCCTGCCAGCTATCTGGTTGTATATGTGCCGATTAAGGCACCTAGAATTCATTCCACTGACATATATTTGTGGACATCTGATAATCACTAAGATAAAATGACTGTCTATAGCCTCAGGGACAAACCAACAGACAATCATCCATTTGTTGATGACCATGTTTGTATTAAAAATACTTGCTGGTTTACCAGTGTCTCCTGTTTACAAGGATAAATTCTCCAAATGGATGTTCTGCTCATTTTCCCTGGATAATTTTTTGGCAAAATACATGAAATTTATCTTAAGATCTTGTCAAAACTTGTGTTCAGATAAAGATCAGAGATAAATCACCACAACCAACATTATTAATTCTTGGTCATAGAAATAAAATGTGACTAGCATTGAAAGAGTAGATGCTACGCATATTGTATTATGAGTCATAATGATAGTATGGCAAGCCTTTCATTACCTCAGAGACATTAATTATAACAATGGTTGCTGCACTTTTTTTCTCATTTTTACTTTTTTTAGCAACAGCAAAATAGGTGGATAAAACAATGTTAAAATAAAGAGATTAAAAAAATATGAAAAAAGGTAGCTAAGTGGCTACCCTATAACTTGTGTCAGAAAATGCTTATCCAGAAATCAAAATAAAAGTAAATTTTAAAAGTAAGTTTAAATTCAAAATATCATCTGGATTAAAATAGGGTGCAAATTTTGATATCCTATAATAAAAAATATCAACCAATTAATCTTACATATGATAAATTATAACCAACCAACCTTGGTAACAATAATGTGTTAGTAACTGCTTTGTAAAATTGCTATGAAAAATTGTTTGTTCTTCAAACATCAGTATAAACTCTAATATTTCAATGCCACAGAATGCACTTTTGGCTATAGGTGTTGTAAGAACTCTTAACATTATGGTACTCCCTACAATATAATTTAATAATGATTCATAATAACTCAGAGTTATAGCTATTGTTTTAAGAATTTATTATTGTATGTTATCTTGAGTACATAACACATCTGATGAAAATTCTTAACTAGATTACTCTAAAAATGGATTAAACAGTGCATCCTGGGAGACAAAATATATATATACACTTCCAAAGACGTATGCTACTATTTTGTTATATGTACTCTTCCTGCTCTTTTTACTAGAGCCCTGCTACAATGTTTCAATGCATATTTTCAGAGCCAATATCACCCAGGCCATAATTATGACAAAAAACATAAAATGCAATATTTTACTCCTAATGCTAAAGATACGGATCAATCATTACCAATAACCCAACCTTATTAAATGAAAATGTAATTAAAAAGATCGTTTCTCTCAATTTTGATCAATCTCACTTTGACATCTCAACCAAATGAAATGTCAATCTTAATATAATATACTGTACCTACAAAAACAGAAGGGGGAATGCCAAAAGAAAAATAAATCAATAAAAGTCCAAATCTGAAAACTAAGGGGGTAGAGATGGGGTGGAGTGGAGGGGGATAAAATTTAAAAACATAAAAAGAACAAAAATAAGATTTATTCAGATGCCTTTCTTATACATAAGAACTTTTGAATATATTTATTTACTAAACACTGTGGCACCTGGCCACAGGGCTATTATAAATTATATATAACCATACACGGACCTCAGTGGTCAACTTACCAAAATCCCCAGCCTGGGCACTTGTAAAATAGTCTCCATAGCAAAGCATGGTATACCAAAGTATAAAAAGACAGATCTGAGCTGAGGAAGATGGGCACTTCATGGTTTCTTATCATGAAGCACTGTCTGGATGGGTCATCAGTGGTCTTGTTCATCAGCAAAGGTGTGCTATAGTATCCATGTCAGGGTGTACACGGCACCTGTACCTGAAACAATTAATAAAATATGGATGTCATATGTGCCACGATATGGAAACACCTTCGTGTGCATTTTACTGCACTGTTAAACCACTTCAAGCATATGAACTTCAACATAAATATCCTGTTCATTTATCAAACATAGCAATCAGAAACTGTTAAAAGCTCAATTGCCCACCTACTGTGTTAATTAAGTTTAAATTAAAAATGAAGTGACAAAAATATACCTTACATATCAACAACTGGGCATACTTTGACTGTTCAGTTGGTCATACCACAGATTGCCTCTGGCTAAATAAATATATATATAGTATGTACATGTGGCTGTTTTTATGTTCTACTCAAACATCTATTCAAGCTTTTTAATGCCACACATACAAACTACAGCATTTGATATAAAGCAATCTTATCACATATTGGTAGCACACAAATACTTCTGTATATCTTGATGACCTGACATGATTAAGTGTATTTTAATTCAAAATTAATAAGCAGAGGCTGCACACTATTTAATTACTTCCCAATAATAATTATGGCCTGGGGTACATATATCATATCTAATTGTTCACCAATTTCCCTTCACCTCAACAGGACACCTATACACACTGTAGTAAATGTGTCCCCACATATGAGGGGTTTGCAATAAATAAAAGCAGCTTAGACTGGTCAAATTACAAACTCTTTATATATATGGCATTTGTCATGTTATTATGTATGTTCTGAAATGTGTTGTGCGGAAAAAATGGAAGAGACATAAAAAAACTCTACATTTTAGAAACCTTAGAAAACTCAAGTGTGCTATGCCATCAACACTCACCCAATGCTATATGTATGCTGTAAATATGGCAGAAGTATACTGGAGGTTCCCAGGCAGTTCTCATCAGTCTAATGCAACTCTGCTGTTACCTAAACCATCTACTTATATACAGTCTCATAATCTATACTAACCCAATCAACTGCCATATTCTCAGTGAATCCATGGGTTTGGCTGATGGGATGTCTAAAAAGACCTGTTCCTCTATCAGAAAGATAAAACACAGAGTATCAATACCCTAGTATTTACTCTGGTCACATTTAAACCTTTCATACATAAATCCTTGTCACAGTGAGATCTGATAAATGAAACTTCCGTAATTAAAAGGCAATAACACCTATAGCTACTGAAGTTACCTGTATAAACACAGAAAATCTGAACCTCAATCAAACGTAAAATTTAGAAAACAAGATAAAAGTCAGTTACTATATTGGCTGCATGAAAATAATGCTCTTGTCCCAAGTTGGTGCATTCATGATGCGAAGGTGATCAATGCTGAACAGTCTGTCATTTATAAACTGAGGTGAAGCAATTTAGTATATCTGATCTAAAAAGCTCTTGTGGTTTTGGCTGAGATGGGGGTTAATAGTCAAGACATTACACAGACTTCTTGGATATACACTGTAATAGCAGGAGAAAGGAAAAAATCAAGGCAATAGTTCTCACTGTTCTTTGTCTATTGCCAAATGTACGAAACAAAGGACGGTAAAGAAAAACCAACAAGGAACAGCTGCAATATGAACAGTTGCCATTAGAAAACTGAAGGATTTATAAAAGAAATTTATAGTAACAAGCATAAAAAGGGCAAATCTTTGTATCAACTACATTGGCAGCATGTCAATGTCCAGTTTTTCCTTCAGCTAGCTTCACTTCTACATGTATGACCATGCAGTATTGTGCTCTGCTGCTAATGCCATATTTAGTAGGAGGATCAGTAAGTTGCTCGGATCATCCAGTCTGAATGGCCCCTTGTTCTCATTACTTTTATCTAACATGTAATTTTCTCTTTCTGAAAAATGAACCATTGGAGTGATGGGATTTACCAGTGCTAAGCACATGGGATTTCACAGTACTCTCAGTAAAAACCTTCACAGTAAGTGCACATTAGACTAATAGAGTAATGGCATTTTAGATGATGGCCAACTCTCTTCATATACAAATGGAAAACCAAAAAAATGGTAAATTAATATTAAAGATGTATAGCATAACATTTTCATGTGAAAAACTTATACCTAACAAATTTTTCTGGGATAAAAGGTACTTTTCTCAGATTAACCAACCTTTGTTCCTATCTTGAGACTTGCCAAATTTATGTAACAACCTTGAAAAATAAAAGAAGTCCTTCACCCATACCTTCAAGCTCAATTTTTCTCACATCCTCAGAGGTTGAATGCAATTCAAAATTGTGTCAAGATAGTTGCCAGGTGATGAGGTTCTTCAGTGAGTTATAATTTAGATTGTTTTTTGGTGACATTAATTGATGATATTCATCTTATTATTAAAAATAATCAATTGCATGTCCTAAGTTAAGTTTTTATTGAAGAATTACTTATTCCTATTTGATCACTGTTACTGTCAAGTAGTTTATTTTTTAGTTTATTTTTTATTTTTTTTTGCTTGTTGATGAAATGTGCAATCTAAGCTTTTGAGCTACTGATCATAAACACAAGGAACTACACAATTTATCATTTCAATCAAATTTTTTAATGTTTAGGTTTTTTCTCTCCCCCCCCCCCAAAAAAAAAATTAAATAAATAAATAAATAATTTAAAAAAACACCATATTTCCAAATACTGGTCTGCTTTAACTTCTGTATAGTGCTGATTACAGTCACTGTAAAGTGTGGTGACGACATGCAAACAATGCAGAGCACCCAATTTAATCACTCCACCATTAACCCAGCAAATCTGATAAAAAGTGATAAGGCAAAAGGATCCAACAATGAGCCCAGTGAACAGCTTCCCAGTAGACAACAGGGAGATTCCAATCAACTTTTGTTAATTTTCTAGGAATTCATCGTATTTCGTAGCCCATTCCACCCTTCTAAATACGCAACACAGACACCTCTATGTCCCCAGTGACAAAACTGAGCCAAATCAGCACATTCCACATTACCTCTAGGGAACCAAGCCAAGTAAAGCATCTGTCTGATCAATGAAGAACCAATCAATATCCTGTAATTGCATGAAGTTACAGGGTACAGGCAGAAGCCCACAAAAAACCAGCTAATCAGAGCCACAGGAGATGAAAAAGTACTGTTGCTTTATAGCATTTTGAATGCCTGTTTTACATGACTGCATGTTTGTGAGGAAGGGGAGAGGTACTATGGAAGGGGAAAGGGTGCAAGGGTGCTGATCACTGTCTGTAGGAATCCCAAAGTGGCAGTTCTTAAATTTCACAAATAATAAATAAGAAGGGAAAGACATCCAAGTTTAGATATATACATGTACTCACAATAGTATATGTGTCCATCTGTTTTAAATCTAATGAAATATAATCTGTATCATAAAAAATCTCCCCCCCCCCAAAAAAAAATAATAATAAAATAAAATAAAATAAAATAAATTTTAAAATCTGATTATATACTACAAATAAACCAACCATGTATATACAGGTAATTAGTGTATCCTTAACCTATATCATTAGCAAAGACCTTTAATTGTTGACGTAATCCTTTCTGAAATAAACAATTTTATTATTCTCATAAGTGATGTATACAGGTGTATAGGCTATATATACCCATCTCAATCTGGAAGCTAGGTAATTGGCATACATATTCTTGCTCAAAATTCCAGACAAAATTATCGTTTCACTTTCAACACATGGTAGATTTAGACAGTATTTTATGTTTTTAATAGATGGGGGAATTTAAGGGGAGGGATTCCTTCCTGTCGAATAAGTTTTTTTTTTTTGCATTTTGAATTAACTTAGACATGTGTCCTGCTATATAGAACTGAACAGAACAGAACAGAGTATTGTGCCACAGGGGCTCATTATTCTGAATAGCTATTGGACAAGGTAAAAAGAAATTATTTCAACCATGTTTGTTTGCACAACAGAATTACTTTTTAGACTAATAACCTTTCAGACCAATGGATCCTAGGAATAATTGTAATTTTAATTAAAAAACTTTTTTAGTAAAAACCTTTGAACCATTGAACTAAAAAGTAGATAAAGCACTTCTTGTTGAATTTATCTGAGAAGTAATACTTCTTGATCATTTTTAATAAAGAAAAGCAGCAAAAAAAAATTTGCCAAAAATAATCTTATTTAGAACTCCAGACATTCCTTGCCACCAGTCTACCATCTTGACACAGTTTTGAATCACAGACCCAAAACTCAGTGCTTGAACCATGTTGGCTGAGTATGACAAACCCACACTTAATTAGACCATATCTTACCTATTTATATGGTATTATGGGAAAAAAGAATTTGCCCTGAAACTTCATCAATTTTCTAATGAATACCAAGGCATTATTCAGTGAAGAAAATATACCTCAAATGATTGGTTTTTGAGATCAACTTAAAAAAACCATTCTCATTTTTTCAGCTTGATTTATTGCCATTTCTATGCTGCAAGTGGTATCCTGCAATCTGTTTGGCTAGAAGTACATGGGCAACTGATAGCTGCCTTTTTTTTTTTTTTTTTGAGAAGGAAAGGTTCACAATGGGGACTTGTTTTTGTCCTACTTTTTTTATTATTTACTGTTTGCCAAAGGCTAATCTTGCTTTCAAATATGACTTCCATGTAGCAGCATATGTTTGACTTTTTCTTTCTGCACATATCCGAAATACCTGCTTTAAGCATGGGCTTGGACCTAAATAGAGAACCTTCTCTATTTAGGTTCAAGGCATGGGTTAAGAACTTTTTAATTTTCCAAGACTGTTAGAGAGTTATGGCAAGTGTCAGGAAAGAAGGATCAAAGATTGGTTAGTTAGAAAAAAATAAAAATCCATAATTAAAGTACAAGTTTTTTTTTTTTTCAGGAAAACGATCTGTGCACCTTTCACTTAATTGTCAGTCTTCTTTTTGCACAAAGAGCCCTTGTACAGTAAATGTTGCTGATGAGATGCATCCACACAAGAATTTCAGCCCGGGAAATGCAACTGTTTAGACTTGACAAAATTAATTTTACTGAATTATACACCGCACAGTGTATTTGTACTAATAATCTGCATGCGCTCTACCACTGTATATTATATCAGTTGGCCTAGATTTGACAGTTTTAGACCTGCACATGCAGTAAATGGTTTCAGTTAAATACATCATTCACATTTTTCTTACCGTCTAACTCTGCTAAAACGGCAAACTGTTTCTCAGTGCATTTCACAATGACTACTCTGGCTTGTATTTACGACCGTGGTTTCAGAACTGATATTTAAAATTGATTAACAGAACATCCTTTTGCCATCGTCCCCACAGGCTACCCCCATCCTGTGAAGGCCTAAGACATTATGTTACCAAGTGAAACACAGCAACTATGTAATTCCATTGTATACCACATATCGTGTCCTTGTTTTGTTTCCCATTCATCCTGTGACCATATACCAGCTCTACACAGATTAAAAACAACTGTTGCTTTGCTTATTTTCACTCCATGGAAACATGTGTAATCAAACATGGCGGGAGTTCCAAGAGCCGATTGGTTCCCCAAGAGCAATTGGCAGCGTTGATTTCATTTGGCAAACATAAAATCCATTTATTTGCTATCAAAACAAATGGATAAAAATAATATTCCAATTTTTCATGGAAATAGTCTGAAAATTGAGACAGCCTGCGTATGCACTTTTTTAAAGAAAAAAAAAACAAAAAGAAAAAAAAGAGCAGGTTCTTTTAGGTTCTTAAAAGAACCCGCTCTTTTCCGACTTTTCCAAATAACTAAATAACTATTTTTTAAAAGAGAAAATAAGAGATCTTTGATTTATAGAGCCTTCTTTTTTAAATTTTTCATTGGCCTACATTGTGACAGTTGCGACAACAAACTGCAGAAAGAGAGGAAAGCCGGCTGAACGGCCTGGCTGAATCCCAATCGGATTTCTACATGAGAATATGATGGGGCTACCTGCTCACTATAAATCAACATTATTCTCGGTTTACAGCACTGGTTACTTTTGATGATGATTCCGCGAATAGCGTGACTTTAAACCAATAATATAGGCCTATACATATAGGCCTATATGCGCCTACATGTAATTTCCTTTTTTTTTTTTTTTTTTTTTTTTTTTTTTTTTTTTTTTTTTTTTTTTTTTTTTTTTTTTTTTTGTAAAAAAAATCCTCATTGACACCTTGTCTCCTCTTCAATTTCTACAGTATCTATAGTTTCAATAATTTACTTCACTCTTATTAGATATTTTTCCGTGTGAGCAAGAGAATAAACCTTGAATTTTTTTGTTCTTTTTTTTTCTTTAAAAAAAAAAGCGTGCATGGACTGTCTCAGTTCTCAAACTACCACGCAGAAGGCCAAGGTTTCTCCCATATGCTTCTTCAAAATAAGGAAAGAAGGAATTAGTCTAAAGGTGATGGGTATGAGATACAACACCAGTGCCGACTTCAAACAAAATACACGGGAGGGTTAATATGATCCCCTACTTTTGTCACAATATATATATATATATATATATATATATATATATATATATATATATATATATATATATATATATATATATATAATAGGCTTATATGCAATGAGACCGAAATTCTTCCGATATTAGGGTCATATTATGCACATCTGGCGTCACATGTAAGTCACATTGATAGAATTTTTTTCAACTTTGATCGAACGATTGACAATTTAAAATGAAAAGAAACTCGATCATAAGGCATTAACATACACAAAAGTGTGACCTGGACGTCTGCATTGAGCCAACCGGTACAACTAGCAGCTGGCGAGTTGCAATGCATATATACCACATAACTTTCATAAATGCGTTGCGTTCATATATGCTGGGTACACTACATCTGCCTCTTTTGTTCTCGACATCCGTCATCTAATTTTTTTAATGGCCGTTTTCTAAGAAATGGGGGAAATGATGAAAAAAATTAACCAATTTCTGTATCATGTTTTTCATCTTTTATATGTGTTTAAAGTAAGTATGATGAATATATATTTTTTACTCACTTACCGAACCTTATTTATCGGGCAACATTTACATCTCATTTTCCTATCTAGTTATTTGTTTGTTATTTTTTTTAATTGTTTGTTTATTTTTTTTTATTTATTCATTTATTTTTGCTGCGACTGTTTCTGTTCCGTCGTGCCTCTTTCGTTTTTGATATTTACCTGTATCTGTAACTCAAAGGCAAAATCTCATAGTTCTTCATTAAAAAAAAAACTTTTTTTAATGGAAGCTAAATTTTGAATACTTATTTTCTAACGTTAGTCAAATTAAAGAGATCAGGGATCAGGCCCTATATCATTTTCAGCTAGCTTTATTTTGCAATTTATACAACAGAAGATTTATATATTTTTCTGGCTTTGAAGTTTCTTATTTCCTTTTACACGCAATGATTCAAATTTGTTTATTGTACCACCAGCGTTAGCGCTGGCGGTACACATGGTTTTAGTCCCGTCCGGTCCGTTCCGCGGATCCGCCGGCTCCTGCGGCTCCGCCGCCATGTTACCGTTACCGCTTCTCCCCCTAGACGGTAAGGGCCCCCATACCCATCTCTTGGATTTAGGTCACCTATAATCTCAACTCGTTCCACGTAAAATTTGGGCTTTGTCGGTATTGGGGTCTAGGTGTGGCACTCATTGCAATGCACCCTTGTCCAAAAATGGCAAAATTAAATGCTAATTATCTACCCTACGGAAGGAATTATGGGAAAAATTTCTACAGACGGCTTTCCAAAAGTCATATGTGTAGATTTCAAATATGCCCTTGGATTTGACCTTTGACNAAGTCATATACTAGAAATTTACTGTGACCTTGAAATTGACCTTTGACCTACCTTACTATGAACTGAACTTTGATTGTACCTTTTTTTTTGCATATTTTGAGAATTCTTGTTGATTGCATTTTTTACAGCTTGTCAAGCACAAGACTGGTGATGGTGTCCCTTTTTTGTGTGTGTGGGGGTCTATACGATCGCGATTACCCCAGCTGGTGGTACAATATTCGGAGGCGGTATCGCCTCTCTGATCCTCTAGTTTTTCTTTAATTTGGTGGTTCAGTCTTCACCCAAAGGCGACTTTTAGCTGTCAGAAGCCACATTCTGTATGTAGTCTCCTGCGTTTATAATTTTGAGCGGGTATGCCGAGATACTGTTCTTGTTGAAGCGTTGGAAGTGGGAGTGAATGGAAATTTTAACATTGGTAACCTGTGGCTTACCGTGATACATTTACTGGTTGACTGCAGCATCGGTGAGAATTTTTTATTATTTCGCCTGTGGAAATACTATCAAGCTGCCAGCTGATTCTGGTCTTAACATTTGTCAATGAAATGTTTCTCAAACCTTTAAAAATCAAGTCTCAGACGGCTATTAAGGGCTCTGACCGGTAAGCGTATGGATTAAAATGTGTGTCATGTAAAGAAAAGGGCATGATTAACGAAGTGACTGCTCGGGCGATTGCACCACTCTGACTCAATCCTGTCAGTGTCAGGCCTCTGAGGTTTCCTCCTCTTTTAAGCCTTAAATTGGTGTTATTCTAATTACTGAATATCCATTCCAACTTGATGCCCTTGATGTTTAAAATCAATTAAATGTTTTCCCGATGTTTCAATGCGTCAGAAATATTTGATATAAAAAATAGAGCAGTACGTTTCAGGGCAGTTTCACCTGATTTCCACTGGTACAATCATCTGGTATCTACAACATTGTAATTAAGTAGTTTTTTACAAATCTGATTAGAATTGGTGCATTTTCATTATTTATTTCAGCAAAAAGTTGAGAGCAGAACTAGAAGTCCAGTTTCCAAGTCTTCCCTCTGATCAATGGACTGATCTGGTACCAAATAAGGAAGAGATGAGTATTATGAAAATCTACTCACACTCGGGAGAAAGCGTTGTAGTATATGTTCTTCACAAAAATCCCATATTCTTTGAAGTAAATAGATGTCTTTTTCCCACAGGTGAGTCTTCTCCATATAATTCAGTGAATATACTAGTAGGCACATTTAATTGTATATATACAGTACAGTTCGTACGTGTATATAAAGAAATATATTTCTGTATCAAAGTACTAGTTTGTAGCAGTGTTTGATTTGCAGATCTTAGCAATTGTTTTGTTAAATTAAATGTAATAATATAATGTCCAAGACATTTATTAGTTTGCTAGCTGTATTTGAATTTAAATTGAAGACAAAATATTTATTGATTGAATACAAACAACAAAATCATGCAAGTTGTTACAGTTCTTGACTCCTGATATATTTTAATATGACAACTAAACATCAAATTCACCTGAAGCAGACCTTGAGATAAGATCAAAATATTGTAACCTCTGTTTCAGAATGTAAGATCTAGTATGAGAGTCAATTTCAGTTCTATCTTCATCTTTTTCAAGAGTCGTTTGTTTTATTTGTAGTGTACACATTGTGGAAGAACCCAGATATCGTTCCAGTCTTTACAACATGGCCTCCAGTGTTTGAGAAAATATCTGGAGGAGCAGGTAAATACACTTTCTCTCTTCTTCTCTCTCTCTCTTTTCACACACACACACACACACACACACACACACATGCGCGTACATGCACGTTCGCGCACACACACACACACACACACATTTATAGCAATTCATAACCATTTATGCATCTACTTTTTCAATTTTTTTTTGAAATTTCAGATCTAATGTTGCCTGGGATAGTAGTTAAGGGAGATGTCACCCCCAGATCATTATGGTCTTTGGAGAAAGGTGCCATATGTGCAATTAACCTTGCAGGGAACAGGTATATTTTCCAAAGATTTGCCACAAGAAATGAAATTTTATCATTTTCATATCAAGCACATTATAACCTTTTTAGATACACAAGACTTAAAAAGCAAAGTACCCTGTTCTGCTTACGGTAACTTGAGAAAGTTCAAAATAATATTGCAAAGAACAGATAAAATATGTCCAACATTTTAGATGTCCTGTAGCCATTGGGAGAGCAGCCCTGTCCAGTAGTGATATGGTGGACTCTGGAATGAGGGGAAAAGGAGTCATTGTTATCCATTCTTATCTAGATCATTTGTGGTAAGAAAATACTATCTATTTCTGGTAAGAAAATACTCTCTTTTATAGGTTATTTGAAGATATACAGAGTCTGATAACAGAAAGTATGTTAAAGCAATTTCTTAAATAGATAATGTTTCAAAGGTTTGGTGCATATAGTTGAAATACTGGTATGTCCTCTCCACTTTTTGTACTTTCTTAAATAAAGACAATACAAGTGCAAAATACAGTATAACAGTACTTTGTGCCTAACTTATATTTTTGGAGTATTATGTGATAGCATTGAAATGTCATTTAAAGGGCTGCTGGGGACAAAGGCCAATTACCTATTGTACATGATGGCTTAGCACCTTCTGAAAATTTTGAAGAAAATGGAGAAGCTGAAGAAATGTCAGAAGAAAATTCTGAGACATTTGGAGAAAAACCAGAATCTGCTGGAATAATAAACACAGACAACAGTTTATCAGATTTAACAGAAAATCAGCTGTCAATTGAAAAATCATACTGTGCAGCAGGTGAAAGAGATGATAATGGCTTAAATTCAGGAGTAGAAAATAGCAATAATAGAGAGACTGAAGATGTCACTGTCGAAGAAAGCAATATCGAATGCCAAGAAGAGACAATCAGTCCAGAAGGTACAGTACCTTATACTTTTCAGCCAGCTTAAAAAAAACTTTAGAGAATAACTTTATTTTTTATCATGTTAACCATGATTTAAGGCATTTGTACATTATTTGAAGTTTTTTAGGCAATTTTTAACTTTATGTGTCTCTTTTTTTTTCAGACATGGATGACCTTTTGGACATGTGCTTTATGTGTGCTTTGAAGACACAGGTCAAGAAGAGTGACTTGCCACTGCTTACCAGTAAATTTTTTAGGAGTTACATGGTACCTTTTTGGTAAGTATCAGTGTCCTTGTTAGATTTGAAAATGTGAGTGTGGATGCATTTTTAAATCATTATGGCAGGTATTTATGCAAGAAAATGTTTCTTTAGATGTTTTCCTACTAAAAACAACTATGTATACATTTCTTTTCAGTCCATCTGGAAGATTTCTTGATATTAAAAAATCATCACACAAAAAGGTATGGAGAGCATCATAACATTAAAGAGTTTTTAATACATTTTTGTTTAAGTATCTGTTTGATTGTTTTTACCAAGTAATTGATCAAAGTGCAGGTAGATAGCGATAAAGGATTGAGGTCTTAAAATGAATGACTATGTAATCTAAGCAACCTTCCTCTCATAACATTACATAAAATTTCTAACTAGTTTTATTTATTGTTGTCTTTTTAGCTGTCCAAGTTTCTGCAGGTCAAACAGTCCCAAGGCCTTATAGATGTCAAAGAGCTGTCCAAGGGGGTAGAGAGCATTGTTACTATCCATAAGGATAATCAGAGGTAAGAATTTTTTAGGTTTTTGTGTGATGTGTTTAGCTTAAATAATAAAGAACAGATTATGATGCATGACACATTGCATGGGTGGTAAAATACACATTTTTAATTTTCTTATTTTCTCATGAAAATTTTCACTTGCAAACTAACAAAAAGTGCCGATGTATCCTCCATTATGCATACTACAAGATAAAAGTCATATACTGAGATAAAAAAAAGATATATGAAGTTTTGTGTGTGTGAGGGGGTGGGGGGGGGGGGAGTCAAAATTTCATAGGGGGATTCGAAATTTCATTATGAAATATGTCTGGGGAGTCAGATTTTAGGGGAGTCAGATTTTCATGGTACACCAGTCCAATTTTGACTGGCATTGGCAGTTGGGCCAGTGGTCAACATTGCAGACTGTACTGACGGTCAGAGTCCAGTACCTGTGCACATATGGGGGTTAAAAATAAGCTGGCACACATTGGACCTGAAGGACAGGATAGTTTATATGAAACATTTCTTAACAATTTATTCTTTTCTTAAGTCTTAGAGAGTTCAGTGTACCTGAGGGGTTCACTTTCCATGAAGAAGTACAAGATGAGGAGACGAGTGGTGCTAAAGCATCTTATCAACCTCCAGAAATAACTTTGATGTACTCTATCCCTCATAATATGGTGATTTTGTTCAAGCCAAGTGGTTACATGTACGTTTAGATATATTTTTTCCATTTTTAAATTATCTATTTGTTATTGTTTTGTACATGTACTAGCAGAAAACAATTAGTGCTTTTTAATAAAAAATTAGATGAATATTTATTAAGAGTTTATGCAGAGCCCATACATTAAGTCATTTTTGTCATTTTAGGAAAGACGGCGTCTTAGTTGCAAGTGAAGTGAGAGAAGCTCTTGTGAAATATGTCAAAGAAAATGACCTCCAAGATAAGGACAACAAAGGGTGGGCAGATATTTTGTTTTATAATATGTGAGAGAAGTATAAAGGATTTAATAGATTATAAAGATAATTAGTGATAGGTTCATTTTATATATAATGGATGCAATATGATTATAACATGATGATTGTTTGGTTGACAGTATTTCAAATTAGCAATTTGGCAAAAATTCAAATCAAATCAACAATTTGGCAAAAATTCAAATTATTCTTAATTATGTTACATTTCTTTTAAACTATTCTGTTAGTTGCATAAACGAAAAAAAAAAAGGAAATTCTAACTAGTTGTTGTCATCAAATTTATTTTCCAGTCAGGTAGTTCTTGATCCAATCTTGACCGACTGCTTAGTCAGTAAGAACGACTATGTCACACATTTAAGATGGGAAGATTTGACAAGCAGGTATGCTTCTTGTATAGAATCAGAAACTTTATCAACACAGAGGTAGAGATTGTTCCATCATCAATTCTTATACATTATCAAGGATGTCAAGTTTTCAAATCAATATATATGTTCATGTTATATTTCAGTTATTTCTAAGCTGTTTGACTGGTCAAATAAAATAATATTAAAAGCTAAATAACTCCCAAAAATCTTTCCCTCTTATACAGTTTCATGGACATTCTTTTATCTATTTTAGTTGTTTGTCAAAGCTGCAGGTGGTCCATCAGATTACCTTTCCAGGTCAAAAGCCAGTGATCAAGAAAGGAAAGATTCAGCTCATTAAAATCAATGTGGTGCAGAGAGCAGGGAATAAGAAGGTGAGATGCTGTATCTCTTTAGTTTTGAGTAAGCTTTTCTTCATTATTTGTCATGTTTCTTTAGTATGTTAGTTTTACAATTGAAATACTTATTTTACAGTTGCTCTCAGTAAGGACTGAGGATATAGTTGTGAGCCAGGAAATCAACTTTGTTGACTCAGTTTGGTGGAATGTGTTGAAAGATCCATCATTTTCCTCATTATTATTATTATTTTATTTATTATTATTATTTTTTTTTTTTGGGGGGGGAGGGTATATTCTAATATGATTGATTGGAAAAAGGTAAGGTATCTCCAAAAAAATTCTTCATTTGTCTACCTCCAGGTCACCTTGTTGGAAAATCTGGAAACCTATGGCATAGATCCTCATGAGTTTGCCCACACTGTCCAGATAGGTGTAGCCTGCAGCACCACGGTCTCCCCACTCCCAGGCAAGAATAAGGGCATGCAGATACTAGTCCAGGGAAATCAGGTGGCACATGTTGGCAAACTTCTAACAGGTATGGGTGTAGATATTGGACTTCTAAGTTCCAAGAAGTTCACACTCGTTCAGAGGATTTTTAAGTGCCAAGAAATCACACTCCTTCAAACGTTTATCCTGTTTATAGCACTGTGTATTATTAGAATTTTTGTCATTTATGTACAGTCAATTTAAATGTGTATCTTTGCATTTTTTACTATAGCATAATTGAAGACAATTTGTAGTGTTTTTTATCTGAAATATGTAGAGAAACAATCGAAAAAAATCGTCACTTTTTCAGAAAAATACCAAATCCCTCAGAAGTTTGTATCAGGCTTGGAAAAAGCACCAAAATCTGGAAAGAAAAAGAGATAATAAGATTAGAAAATATGCAATCAGAATACTGCAAATAGGATTATTAATTGATACATGCTTTAAAAAGTGGAGCAAAGATACCTGGAAAAGTGTGACAACAACACTATATTGGAAGTGGTGCAGCTGGTTTGCTAAACATTTCAACACAAATCTCCTGATACCATAATTTATTGCAAGATCATTTTGAAATGGGCTGTGAATCCATAAGCCTTCAGCACTTTAATTATGTGCAATAAATGGTTTTTGAATTATTTCATTTTTTCCCTAAGGGTCCATTTTTGTTTTATCATTTTATGTAAGAAATACGTTACTAATATATGGAAATAGCCATAAAAAAAGCAGCAAAAAGATTATCAACATGCTTAACTACCCTTCTTTTTAAGAGAAAGAAAACATGTTATCTGGTATTTTATATGCTGATGATTGTTTAACACTAAAGATGTAATACGAAATGTTCAACAAAAATCCTGAATTGTGATTGATTACACAATGTGACAAAAATAATAGTTCTAGGAATTGAAGTCCGGAGTTTCATATGATTAGTGCACGTTGGAGGTAGCCAAAGTATCGCATGTACCAGTACTAACAAATGGAAACGGTTCCTAGCTTACGGCCATTCCTGTCATACTGGGTCAGAATTAAGACGTTTCTGCGCCGGAAACGTGATTGTAAACGTGATTATATGTTCAGCAGTCAGGAGGTTCAGTGCTCCGTGTTTCTGAAATTTGTGATCCGACGTTCATTGGTCAGGTTTAAGGTTCAGTAGTCCGAAGGCTTTATACATGTAGTTGGAAGGTTCTTTGGTCCGACATTAAAATGCTTAAACGAAAGATAAAGTGTGAGATTTTAAACGCGTGTTCAACTTTTAAGTACATATAGCACCACTTGTTGAAAAATTACGTTTTGGTCATTTTAACCAAAGTGCCATAAGTTAATCTAGGCAAAAATAATCTAATTTATCTTTACTTGATAAAACTAAGGTGATCCACGTTGTCACCTACATGTTATAACTGATGTAATATATGATGAATGCAACATATTTCACGTTACAAAACAAATCCTTTATGGGGACCATGCTGGGGAGATATACCAACATCGGGTCCTTCTGTTCCGTCATCGGGAATTGATTGATTACATACTTACTTTCCTCTCAGATGATGAAGACGTGTCCAAAAAGCAACACATGAGCTCTGTTAGAAAATTGAGGTATATTATAGACCTCCAAAATAATTAAAATTTACTATACTATTATAAGTAAATGTAGCAATAGGGTTGTACTTGTGTATGTGTGTCACATACATTGTAATTCTTTAAAACGTGTCCTATGTTTAGGAAAGACTTGAAGGGTACCGTTTCGAACACATCCCAAGCATGCCCACACATTTGTAATGGTGCGTTTATAGAATTTATAAAAAAAATGAAAATTACAAAAAATTGTAGGCCTATTCAATGTGCCAGGAAACTCACCTTTTACATGCCAATTTCCTACCCGCATGTCTTTATTGAAGTGTCAGCACAACTCGGTTCATAATTGTATATGGTTTTTTGGCAGACGCCATTTCCAAACGGTGCATAATAATCATTATTATTGTGATATTGGCACGTATGGAAAGCATGCTATCAAGACAACAAAAAGTTTTACATCATTTGAAAGTATTATGATTAGCTGCTTGATTCTAGGTATCCCTTATTACTTTGAAATAAAACGCCAGTGATTGTTTTATCCACAGTAATATTTATTCCGCCAATTAGCCTTGGCATTAAACAAAATTTTGAAAATCACTGGAATCTGAGGCTGTGCGTGTTTTGATCATTTGGGGGTTGTTTTAACGACGAGAACTGAAATGTACAGAACTTAAACTGAACGAAACATCTCTGTAAAACAATGTTTACTGAACACTTTATTATAGGTGTCTTACACTAGTGGACTTTTACTTATATTAATCTTCTTTTAGTTTAACTAGCCTAAGGCCCTGTACTGAGTCCTAGAAAAACTACTGGATTTACTGTTTCACGACCTACTGTATACTCGCTGTATACTTAACAGTTGTGTGTAAATGTTCTTACAAATACATACTCGTATATATATCATATATCAGTGCTTACAGGGTACCTGTCTATATCATTTAGTAAACTTACTATTCACGGTAAAGTTTATGGGTGGCTTTCTACACCAGCTTTGAGTTGTGCTTTTTCAAAACCTGAAAGTGATTGAATATAGTACGAGGAGCGCAATACGAATGAAATTTCCTGAAACAATTTATGTCACAAATAATAACCCACTTAGACATATTAGGTATTTTCAACCCTAGATAAAGCCTAGGTTGCATTTGCCATTTATGTCCGCGAACGGTGCCCGTTTGCTGACCGAATATCAGTTTCCGTGTGCCGTCCGTGCAGGGACTGACCGTACAAAATCGTTCTTTTAAGCAATTTTTTTTTAAATCCTTAGCCCGTAGGCCGTAGCAATATCGTAGACTGCACAATTCCCTAACGGACATTGTTCTGCTCAGTGCGGTGATCGTGCAGCAAGCAAAATTGTCTTGCGAGACGCAGACTTGTTACGGATTTCTTTTTTTTTTTTTTCTTTTTTTCAGTTAAAGGGGGCATAACAATAGATAAGATGTTTTAAATTATTATGACCACGCGGGTGCTCAGAAACGCAAGGTGCTGCACCAACAAAGTATCAATCAGCACTGAACGGTCATGCGGAGGGTGTACTATATGTACTATATGTACGCCAACTACACTGAGATTGAGACGGCTCCATATATTAACTTTTCAACCAGCAAACCGATTTTCCCAACCTGAACTCAAGGTCATGTGGGAGAAATGGCTATGTTTGATAGCCATACAGTGTAAACATACTCACCGTAGACTGTGGCCAATCACGATGCCAAAAAAAAAAAAAAAAAAAAAAAAAAAATGGCACGGAACTTCGTAAACAATTTCATCGTACGTGGCGCCCGTGGCAAATGTGACCCAGGCTTTTATTAACAAGGACTAATAAAAAAGGTTTTACTACTGGAAGTGCGCAATCAGAATTATTTCAAACAGAAAAAATACCATGTCCTCACAGTATTGAAAGCATTGTAATAATTAAGCATACTCAGTACCATTGCACATCGCTCAATACATTCTTCAACGGATGAGACTCCATCTCCTGAAATAAAAAAACACCATTAACCCTTTGTGAGGTAACATGAATGAACACTGTCTAGATGTGGCATAAGTCGGCGTGTTTATAAAAATCAGTTAAAATGGTTTTAAGATATTTGACAGCTTCAGCTTCAAGTAGAGATTTTGTTTTTGCCTACTTGAAGAAGCAAGTACTAATGCAGCTTAAGTATGATACTAAAATGTGTGTGTGTGTGTGTGTGTGTGTGTGTGTGTGTGTGTGTTAGAAAATCACTTGCAGGCGGAGGAATAAGACACACTTACCATTGGTATCTATTTCGATTAAAATGCCTAAATCATCTATGGACAGAACTCCATCTTTATTGAAATCGGTTAACTCGACGAGTGCACGAATCCAGTGTGGTTGAATTTTGGGATTGATTTTTATGAAATAGTTCACATATTCACTGGATGTTACTATATCATTTTCTGAAAACCAGAAAAACAACAGGCATTGTCAAGTTTTTTAGGAGTTTTATTCCATGAGATATAAATTTAACATGGAAAATTTTTACTATCATTGTTATAAGTTATAAAGCTCACATTCAGTAGTTACCAGTAACTTCAACAGTATATAGAACGACCACAAGTCATATATAAGGTAATCATTAGGCCTACTACTACTGTTTTGTTTTATAATAGGCACAGAATGCGATCTTACAGCAGTATATCTGAAACGTGAGGTTTTGTAAACCTCAATGTTGACCGATGACGACATCACAAAACAATATTGCGATCTGATTTTTACAACGTTTACGAATGACAGCGATGTTGCAACTTTGGTTATATTTTTGAAGAAGGTCATTCGGGTTGCAAATTATACAGTAAAACAATTACTGAATTTTGTTTTTGTTCAATACATTCCTCTGCAGACCCCAGAAAAGTGATATCGATCGAGGGGCAGCACTTTTTGTGGTCTGCTAAACAGCCATTGTTCTTCACCCATATGATATGAAGCACACTCGATTAAAACGTCAACCATCACCAGCACAAAATAACGGTACTTATACCTACCGTCTGTGTCGGCAGCATACCAAAAGGCGACCAATTCTAGTACACCGAATTTACCATCGTTATTGCTGTCAATGATATCGCAAAGTAACGCCCCTATCTCCTTTTCTGTTTGAGGAGATTCTGTCCCATTTTCACGACCACAACTAAAACAACGCGAAACTAGTTTTTGGAAGGTATCTCTTAATGCGTATGTGTTTTTAGGTGCTGATGGGAAAAGAAATATATTTCGCAGGCCCAATCCCAATCCATACAGATTTTTAGTCCGAATTGAGTATACTGCATTGTTACATGTACCAGCATTAGTTATAACTAGATTTAATTTAGTTTTAAGATAGACCAGTTAAAAAGAAAAACAATCTAGCAGTTTTTCAAATGAATATTCTCCCTTTGATTTAAAGTAAAATAATTCTTCCAAGATACTTTGAGACTATTTACTCAAAATCCATTCTACGTGTTTGAACAAAAGGAAATAATAAATCAAACATAAAAAGTATATCCCAAAATTCCAAATGATCACTTCATTCATTTATTGAATAATTGAATTGATCATTTCAATTATTTGTTGAATACCCAATAAAATTTTAAACTAAAAGCAGTGTTGGTTTAAGAATGTAAATCCTGAAAATGCACATCTTTTCTTTTATATAACAAATTACTCAATACGTATATTAAAACGCTGTCTCAAGAAAGTTATCCAGCCAAGTTATTTCTACCCTTATCTGCCGTATTTATCAATCAATCAATAACTGATTACATTAAAACGAGATTATATTACTTTGATGTAATATTCCATTTAAACTTGCAACAATGCTACCTGCTTGCTTTGATGCCTAGCACCTACGGCTTATTTACGCGGCACTCCTAACAAGCAGGATTTTCAGCTATAAATCGTTTTTTATTTTCATATTAAATAATATATTATAACTGTAATTATTTAACTTATGCTGTTAATTTGTGTTTCCAATCTGCCTGGATAGGGATTGGGACTGCGATAACGGTATATGTAGAAGTATACACATATTTCATGAAACCAACAACAAGTAGCAATGCTACACGATGATTTTGATGTATTGCATTTCTGTCCTTCTTACGCCAAAATTCAACCAGAACTCGAACCAATCAACACAGCAACTTTCAATGCACCCCTAATCATTAATAAACAATTCATATGGAGAGAGAATGAGAGAGAGAAAGAGACACAAATTCCAGTGCTTACACGCTTGTCGCCATGGAGACAACACACAGGCCCACAATCACGATTTGGAACTTCATCTTCAATCTGCAGTTTGTGTTTTTTTTTAATCAAGTATCAGAGGTATCCTAAAATGTTAATTAATCCAAACGTAAATTTTAGTTTGCATTGGACATAAAACGTAAACGCGACAATTATCCTTTTTAATTGAGTATTGTTCGCCCTTAACAATAAAAATAGAATAATAATAACAATAATAATGTGCCTTTTAAGAACATCTCATTATTTCTGAATAAACAGGAGTCTTGCAGGCGTGAATCAAACATTTCAGGAACCATGGGCGGACTTTAGGTGTAAAACACAATAAACAAATAATTTTACCCCCCCCCCCCCCAAAAAAAAAACATAAATAAAATAAAAGTACCTATCGACTCTCACATTGTTTTTAAAGTTTTATAGATCAAAACATTTACTTGCACATTTAAAAAAGAAAAACTGTTGGTTGTACTACAAGTGCCATTTAATTCTAACTTAATTCTAAAGTTATCATTGTTAAATTTCAACGAACATTTAATAAATCTTTATATATCAATTTAAAGAGATTTGATTCACCAATGTATGAAAAATTGTCTGATCTTAATCTGAAACTTACTGGATGGCGGTATTCACAGCAGCTGTGCCTATGAAACTCCCCTACGAACATGTTATCAGGAAAGGCGTCACTCTTGCCATTTGAAAATAATATATTGTGTCGTCATCGGCACACATACTGGTATACCCAAAGTATGCGGCATGCAGCGATTGGGTGAAATAAACCGATGGAAGAAAGGAAAGACCCCTGTTCTCGGCAAGTACATATTCTACCAGAACACAGCTTATAACTTTTATTGGGAGCCAAAAGAATAGGCAAAAGCAATGGCTTTTTTTTTCACCGTACCCCAAATTTCACTCTGTCATAGATTATTGGATTATATTCTATTTTGAGCAATGGAACTAAGGCTATTAGATTAAGTTTAGAAATAAGTTTTGGTGTAAATGTTCAGTTAAAAACGAAATAATACGAGGATGCCATGACAACAAAGGACAGTTAATATTTTGAAAACCTTTCGAATTTCTATTTCAAGATAAATTTTCTTATTATTATATTATGTCTGCAGATAACATTTAACACAAGAAGTGTTTGCTTTTTATTTGTGATTAATTTAGATATGCATAGGAGGGGGGAATATCATTAGGCCTATTTTATTTTCAGTGACACTATAGTGTGTGTCTGTGTGTATTTTGGAACAGAAAGCGAATTTATATCGGTAAATCATGTCAACTAGTGGATGAAGATCGAATCTTGTAACAGATTGACGGTTAATATCATGTCCATTTCTTCAGTGTGTTGGACCAGTATCTAAGTTTAGAGGAAACAATGTTTATTTGACTGTCTTGTTCCTAGAATAAGTAAAAACATAAAAGGGTGTGTTTAAAGTCACGTACATGCATATTCCAGAAGCTTTGACCTCGTGACAACATCCCACCCGCATTTCTTAAACTGAAATGTTGTCCTGGCAGTCACATTAACAATGCCTTATATTTTTGTCAGTTTTGAACGGCGCGTAATTATCCTGGCATTACGTGCCGTCGATCATATGGTCTGTTTTTCTGTAATGAGACCCACTGTTATTTAACACAAAGTATTTCATCCAATACACTATTGTCGCGAAATTTTATTATTTTTCTAATAAAAAGCCTCGGTGGTATTTAACACAATTTCAGAATATTTAGATAATGATTCATCAGCCTTTTATTCATTGATGATGTTTTTTTCAAAAACGGGAACTGAAACTTCCCTATCCAATGAGTACTTACTAGTGTTGACAAGAACGACAGCACATGCAGGCTAACTTTTTATTATGGAAAGCCTAATAAGACATTTTAATATAGACATATGTAGTTGTATACAAAACAAATTACACCAATAAGCAAAAATTTGGCGCGAGGGTTTGTTTTGTTGGACGAGTAGCTCGATATCGTTCACAGAGGTCTTCCATATATGTGCGTACATTGCACAGTTGTAGATCAAATTGTAGATCCGTTAAAAATATAGGGAGCAAACTTTTAGTGGCAGGCTACCCACCAAGATAAACAAAAAGAGGGAACATGCATGAACCCCGAGCTACCTGCCTTTGTGACTGATGTAGGTAAAAAGGCGGGGGTTAAAATTGGTTACCACTGTTATACCGAGATTGTATCATAATCATCAATCATCAGATTTACCTACCTGTAACCCGTACTTCAGATTCCTAACTATAACCCTTAACATTTTTCGACTCCTAAAAGGCAGCGAGTCGAATGCTTCAATACAGCAATCACAATTGCAGGATACCTCGCAGTAGCTCTCATGGCGACAAAATGATAACAATTGATTCTTTAAAAGCCTACTACACTTTCCGAGTGCAGTATGCATGCATAAAATAAAGATCAAATTAATTATTACGGTACCAAAAATTAAAATACACGCGCTGTTTGATTGCTGATAAAGATTGAGCATGGTTAGGAGTGGCAGGAGATACATTCTTTCAAATACTTTTTTTCAGACGAGCAGATGTTTCAGATGATATATACGCAACCACTGGGTACATTGTACGAATGATCAACATATGGTAAAATGGTCGTTATCTTATCACTTGTTACATTTGCAAACATTCTTATTTACTTTNAACCACCAAGATAAACAAAAAGAGGGAACATGCATGAACCCCGAGCTACCTGCCTTTGTGACTGATGTAGGTAAAAAGGCGGGGGTTAAAATTGGTTACCACTGTTATACCGAGATTGTATCATAATCATCAATCATCAAATTACCTGTAACCCGTACTTCAGATTCCTAACTATAACCCTTAACATTTTTCGACTCCTAAAAGGCAGCGAGTCGAATGCTTCAATACAGCAATCACAATTGCAGGATACCTCGCAGTAGCTCTCATGGCGACAAAATGATAACAATTGATTCTTTAAAAGCCTACTACACTTTCCGAGTGCAGTATGCGTGCTTAAAATAAAGATCAAATTAATTATTACGGTACCAAAAATTAAAATACACGCGCTGTTTGATTGCTGATAAAGATTGAGCATGGTTAGGAGTGGCAGGAGATACATTCTTTCAAATACTTTTTTTCAGACGAGCAGATGTTTCAGATGATATATACGCAACCACTGGGTACATTGTACGAATGATCAACATATGGTAAAATGGTCGTTATCTTATCACTTGTTATATTTGCAAACATTCTTATTTACTTTAACTGTGCGTAGCCTTTGTCTGCGTTGATGGACTTTACATCCTTCTTAAATCTTCAAGACCAGTACAACTCACAAAAATGAAGCAATTTGTGATTTGTTTTGCCGCTTTGGTGAATATCTTACCAGTTATCGCGGTTGTTCTGTCTCAGGAAACACAGCAGCTGCTGTTGGTATCATTTGATGGTTTCCGCTGGGACTATTTGGACAAAGTGGACACTCCGAATTTCGATCGAATGGCCAGACGTGGTGTTAAGGCGAAATATATGACCCCTGCGTTCCCCACATTGACGCTCCCAGCGCACCACACCATTGCTACAGGTAAGGCAACACTTTGGAGTTCAGAAAGTTAACTCAAACCAAAAAGTATTAAAATGTGATAGGAAACATATACCTTTGAAGCTGGAATCTTCAATAGGTTTACTGTTGAGATATCTTTGTAAAAACATAAAGAATTTGTGCCAGGGGTTCTGGTCAAACATGGAGACAAAGTCAAGACGACCATTCGTGCATTTTCATAACGTGGACTGAGATCCATACTTTGAACGCGGGTAAGTTTTCTGAATATGAGTCTTCTTCTTGGAGGAAAATGTTGAAAACCCCAAAAGAGACATTTTTCTCATCACAGTATGCTATGATGATTGGTGAGCTCACACTGTAATTGTCATTCAAGGATTGTACCCCGAGAGCCACGGAGTAGTTCATAATATCATGTATGACCCAGACTTGAATGAAACGATAACCAGAGAAACAAGAAACGAATCCAAGTGGTGGGATACAGGGCCGCACCCATATGGGTTACAGCCAGGCTGCAAGGTACCAGAACTGCCCTTAAACACACTCTTCTGTTGTTACCTTAACTGAATACTAAAATCTAAAAGATGTAGAATGAAAAAAAAAGCCCAGAAAACCAACGATTTTTAAAATAATGAAGTGGAGAAAATAACAGTAATGAATAATGCTTTCTGCAAAACCCAGTGACACCTGTTACATCAGTGAAAAAGTTTGCAAGTTTCAAGTAGCCTTCGCAAAAGTTGTTCCAAAGCAGTGTTGTTCCTCTGTTATTTCAGGAAGAAAAAGCGCAACATTCAATTACTATGGTGGCGAAGTAAAGATAAAGAATTATACAGCAACGTATTTTGTAAGCGAGGATCCCGTAAACAGTAGTGTTACTCGAGAAGAGGGCGTAAAGGCAGCGATTGCGTGGCTAACAGAAGGAGTAGCTTTCGTGGCTGTTCATTTCAGCGAGCCGGACCATGTTGGGCATGCATACGGTCCTGATTCGGATGAAGTTAAACAGCAGGTCAATACGATTCAATGTTTTTGAAAACAAGAAATGAAGCAAACTACAAGCAAATCAACTATTAGTAAGTTGGGAAATGCAAATGTTTCAGATTATTTAAGAGATGCTCTCTATCACTTTTTGATACCTTGAAAAGTATTGACCAATATCAGCTTCGCCGATGGCACCACATACCAGTTTTTTCTTTCAAACCATTCTTCTCACCAACACCACACCCACCGCAAGCCGCAACAAATATTCAGTTAGCGTATTTAATATTTTAGTGCATAAGGCAATGAACCGGTGTAACGTGACAGAGGGTCCCCCATGACAGAGATTCGGCTTCCCAATCATTTGTACACAGGCCTGGTACAGATATGCCTCGCCCTAGGATTTGATCCACAGACTAACCCTAACCATTATAACTAAATTGAGGGCGGACTTCCTGTTACACGGACCCTCTGTTTCGTTACACCGGCTTTTGTACTGGCTTTTTGTAAAGATATTGCATTGTTTTCATGTTGCTTCACATTGGTGCTTCTGCATATTACATCGCCAACTTGTATTTTACGTATATATTCTTGCATATGCGAGTTTTCTATTTGATAATACCTTTTTACAATAGATCACTAATGCTGATGAAACCCTTGGACGATTGTTGGACAAGATAGAAGCGTCTCAGCTGTCTAACAAAGTGAACATCATTGTAACGAGTGACCACGGTATGGCGAACATTTATAGAGATAAGAAGGTTCAACTCTACGATTTCATTAATCCAGACGACGTAACCTATATTGTAGCAAATTACGGGCCACTGGCTATGATTCTTCCAAGAGAAGGAAGGCTGGAACCTGTTTTACAACTGCTGCAGAACGCCAGTGTTCATATGAAAGTTTATCGTAAGGAAAACGTTCCCAACAGACTTCATTTTAGTTCGAACAACAGGATATTACCGATCATAGCTATGACTGAGGACCCCTGGGAGATATTTACGGTAAGAACAAACTATGCCATTTCATTAACCTCATTATTTCTTCAAGATCCTAAAGCAATTCTAAGACTCGATGCATTTTTTCAATGATTCACGCACAAGACAGGAAAATTTACTAACATTCCGTTCACATTGTGCATAAAGGGATAACAAATCTTTATGTGAGATAAAAAAATAACAATGAATACATTGTAAACAACACATATAAATGTAATAAATTCCATTTTACCATCAAAATTATTATTAATTAATCTGAAATCGTACTTGCTATCTAGCCTTCAAAGAGGATTACCCTCCATAATAATCTCTTAAGAGATCATTACAAAAAACAAAACTCAAAAAGATATTGATAAACTTTGAATGTCGGAATGTTGGAAAGTATGGGCAAATCGTCGTTTATCCCTGGAAAATCCATTTTATGGCATTTTTCTGGCCAAAATCAAGAGTTATTATCCCTTTAACTTTGAACTGTTTTTGGTGAGCAGTTCCCGTACTCCGGACATAAAACTGACTAATTGATTGTTTTGCTTGAGTTATATTTTAACAGACAGTCACTATATTATTCATTTTCTTCTTCTTATTATTATTATTATTATAAAGAAATTAGCTGTGTAGTGTATTCCACAGGAACATTGTAAGCTTATTTTTTTTTATACATTTCTATATGGTGACTACAATTCAATCAGAATGGGTAAGTTCAGTTAAAGTTAAGGTAAAGCTTATGTGAATGCTTCTTATGTTGATATAGATGCCATATTTGAAATATCTGTAGATAAGTTTGCGGGGAGTGTTTTTTTTTATGGTTTACTTCCATTCTTCAAGGTATTCGATGGAACTAAACTCGAGGCTGGCGGTCATGGCTTTGACAATGATGACGTTAATATGAGGACCATTTTCCTTGCCGAGGGACCATCTTTTAAGAAGAATCTAATAGTTGACCCATTTGAATCCGTGCAGCTTTACGAACTGATGTGCCACGTAATAGGTAACTTTTACCAGTTGATACTAAAGCGGCTCAATTTGAGCATCTTCAATGTCTTGGTGTTTTTACTTTACAGTCAACGCATAGTGAGCGGCGTTTTAGTTTGTGGCACTCTATGAAACGCATTTTGATCCTTTCTTTGACATGCCAAATATCAAATCTATTTTCTTCAGTCACTCTGATTACAGTGTTTAAATTCATGATGCGATTCACCGATACTGTGTTTTTTATTTTGGTCGAAACTTACTACGTGCCTTTCGCAAATAAGATATTTCTCTGTTTCATTAAAGGCTTAAATCCAGCTCCAAACAACGGGTCCCTTGAGGTGCTGCGTTCCATGCTCTTAGACAGCGAGACAAATGCCGCAGTTTTGGCTGGCACAGCAAACGCACTGGCTGGGTTCATCGCATGTGGGTTAATTTGGATACTGCATTAAGCTACAGGGTTTTCATTACCATTCTTATTTATTTCTATACAAGTCCATTTTTACAATGACTTTTACCTAACGACATTTATTCTATAACTCTGGTACCATATCAATTCAAAAATAGATTTACACAAAGGTTGACATTTAGACAGTATCATCATCAATCTCCCTGTTCTCCATTCTCTCTCTTTTTTTTTTATCTCCCCGAGGTTTCAGCTGTAGCATCATGCTACCCAGAGTTACAGAGAGTTCATTGCCAACAAACCTCTTTTATCAGAATGCAGTTAATGCAAACGTCAGATTCACGTTAATAACAGAGAATAATGTTCAATAATTTTTGCCTTATTCACGTTGTAATGGATGTCTCCAGCTGAAGATCTTCAGTAAGCTAGGCTAGGCTACTAACTGATAACCTGACCTGCCAGGACAAGGAAACTGCAACTCGAGACACGTTTTTTGTCATAGAAATCTTTTCAATTAACGTTCAATAATCTCATTTCTGCGACTGCGCTACATGTGCGACAAATGTCAAAGTACTTTAATTTGATACCTTTATACATTTAACGTCTGTTTGGTTATAAAATTGATTTTAGTTGGCAAGATTCAATATTCATTTTCTTTAGCGAAGCAGAAACTCCCCAGTGCCACACAACATGCAGTTAGAATGCTAATTTGACACGAATTCATGTATCTGAATTTTTCGAATGGTTAAGAATATACTTCTTTACTCCCTACAACTCATGCACGAGACGCTCTAGTAAGTCGATTATATTGATTAATACTCTTTAAAGGCATAACAACTGTTCGCTTTGGAAAGAAAAACAGATTTTCCTGGGATAAACGACGATTTTCACATATTTACCAATTGTTAATGAATCCATCCCTATATTCAAAGTTAGTCAATGTTTGGGTTTTTGTAATAATCTCTTAAGAAATTTTAACGGAGGTATAGTCATTCAAGTAGGTCCACGTAGTCTGATGACGAGCATAAACTACAGAATGATTGCGATAACCCCTGCTTTGGTGACAAAATGGAAAAAATCATATTTCTATTAGATGTTTGCAATGTATTTATCGTGCAATATGAATATCATAAGAAGAGCTGTTATCCCTCTTACATTATTATCAGAAGTGATATATATATATATATATATATATATGCACGAGACGCTCTAGTAAGTCGATTATATTGATTAATACTCTTTAAAGGCATAACAACTGTTCGCTTTGGAAAGAAAAACAGATTTTCCTGGGATAAACGACGATTTTCACATATTTACCAATATATATATATCAATTAACATATAGTCCTGCGTGTATTAAAGGCTCTTTATTTTGTGCAGTTTTATTATTCTGGTCTAAATTCAATATGTTATTTTGATCTATTATTCCTTGAATTTGACAGACTTAGTGACCGTGCGTGCGAGCCATAATTACAGTAATCCAAAACAATTTTTTTTCACGAAATACGGTATACCTGCTTGATGAGATACACCAAAACGCTGAAATATCTGTAGGACTTATACTCAATTTAAAAAAAATGACTTAATTGACTTATTCTTTTTAAAAAACAGAAAGAGTAAATTGACTGTTTTATAGACGAAAGTTAAACCGCGAGGTGATTCATTCTATCATTTTCATCGATTTTACTATAACTGACATTTATTTCTAAATGAAATAATCACCTGTCCTTCTTCGTCTGTCACAGAATTTTCTTTGTTCGGATTCAACGACATCAAATCGGTAATGATTGTTCAGCGGTCGTATTCTTTTGCTTTCTCGGTGTCAAACCGGGTTCATGACCGTTTCTTCTACAGATGCCCTTTGTGCTGATTTGATGTAAATTGCAGTTAATTTTTATCATTTCGTTTCTGTGACAGTTGCCATTTTGTATTACAATTTCTGAAGAGCATACGAATAAATAAAGATGAATATGAAGACCATCTGAGATGCAAATTGCTCTTTCAGACATCCACCTACAACACGCAAGCCAAGAAAGGTAATGTGATTGTTATGCGAATGTGCTTTTAATGTGGTAATATTAAATTACAAGACGTACGATTATTTAACGCAGATTTGACAGTGAAGTAATGAAGTAATTTGTCCAATTAACAGACTTGATTACGAAACATGATTGTGACAATCGGTGAAATGAAATATGATGCGTAAGGAAGGTATATTGAGGAACTGTATATACAGGTATGCACAGTTTATTTAACACGTAGCGGCGGCATAGAGTCTACTACGTTGGTCTGAAGAAGACCTACTTGAGGAAGATTAACGAAGTCCATAACCCGGCATTCAGGGATTGATTTCCTGAATTGTGAATCTGTACGGAAATGGGTATACTGAAGAATGGGGAGGATAAAGCTTTAGCTTGCGTTTTGTCCAATACCAAAGAATATTTGAATACCCGCTGTACCCGCTTGAAAAGCTACTGAAACCAAGAGATATAGTTAATAAGGTAAGCAATAAGTAAGCCTCACATTTATTACCATAAGGTACGTTACTGGTAAGTAAGTGACAAAGGAAAGGGGGTGAGAATGTGAGGGATATCAAGCAAACAGAAATGATCTCATACTATCTTTGCATCATATGTGGAATACTATCACTGCACAAACGTCACAGAAGTTTTTGATTGCACACACAGGCGCGTCTACCAAATGTGGCTTTGGTTTTATTTCTATGGTTAGCTTATAAATTCGTTATACAATCACTAATATGAACAATCCTTTAAGAAGTTGAATAAAAGACATTGGTTCATGACATGATTTTCTGTATCACAACGCATTGCATTAGGAGTGATACTTTTTAGTTGCTAGGGGAGTATATTTAATAATGGATATAATAAAAAAAAGTGCATTCTCGCAGTTCACAATCTCATTACAATGCATTACTTTGAAAATCCGTTGGAAATCCCTTTGATTGACAGTGGAGGAAACCATTGCGCTAAGCTTGGGAAAATGTAGTTCAAGTACACTCGTGACAAAAAAATCTCGCTAAATGTTAATTACCATGTTGTGTTGTTTTGGACCAACGAATCATGATAGGTTATCTCATCTAAAGCATAATTAGCATTCGGATAGTCTAAACAGTGAACGTGAGAAGACTTAATGCGTTAAAAAGATGATTGGCTTATCCAAAATTTGAATTTGCGGCAATGTTATACTGCGTTATGCTAACAAAAAAGCAGAGTATTTCTATTATATTTGCATATTTTAAAAAAAGTTTAGCTTCTTATTTAACGGGTATGTCTTTATAACTGGTATTCTCTTTGAGAGAAAACTTGTTACATATTAATTTATAAGCATACCAAAAGCACAATAAAGCAATATGATACATCATCCAGTGATTCATATTTGGCTGAGCGTTATGATATTTGGTCGAGAAGAATAGAATAGAATAGTAATAATCACCAGGTCTTCAAAGACCTCTGTGATTTATAAAAAAAACTACGCAAATCATAAATTCTCAGTTTCGTTGTTTTAGATGAGTAGTAGGAGGCTACTTTGGCGTAACAAAGGAAATGACGTTAAATGACGTAAAACCCTTTGTTTTAATGACGTAACAGGACAAAGAAAAATTATAGCGTACAATGGGACATGACGTAACAAGTAAACAAATATGTTTATGTTTGTATTGCCATGGTAACGGAATTTTGTTGTGACAAAATGATGATGTCGCTGGACATGTGGGACGTTTGTTTATGTTTTGCTATGACGTCACAGGGCAAGTCTGATCATGTTAATTTCAATTCTTTAATGCATATTTATTAATAGATACAAAATAAAGTAAAGCAAAACAACATAGAATTGTATACATAATTTTTATTGAAATAAACACACACACACACACACACANCTTATCATTTCGTTTCTGTGACAGTTGCCATTTTGTATTACAATTTCTGAAAAGCATACGAATAAATAAAGATGAATATGAAGACCATCTGAGATGCAAATTGCTCTTTCAGACATCCACCTACAACACGCAAGCCAAGAAAGGTAATGTGATTGTTATGCGAATGTGCTTTTAATGTGGTAATATTAAATTACAAGACGTACGATTATTTAACGCAGATTTGACAGTGAAGTAATGAAGTAATTTGTCCACTTAACAGACTTGATTACGAAACATGATTGTGACAATCGGTGAAATGAAATATGATGCGTAAGGAAGGTATATTGAGGAACTATATACAGGTATGCACAGTTTATTTAACACGTAGCGGCGGCATAGAGTCTACGTTGGTCTGAAGAAGACCTACTTGAGGGAGATTAACGAAGTCCATAACCCGGCATTCAGGGATTGATTTCCTGAATTGTGAATCTGTACGGAAATGGGTATACTGAAGAATGGGGAGGATAAAGCTTTAGCTTGCGTTTTGTCCAATACCAAAGAATATTTGAATACCCGCTGTACCCGCTTGAAAAGCTACTGAAACCAAGAGATATAGTTAATAAGGTAAGCAATAAGTAAGCCTCACATTTATTACCATAAGGTTACTGGTAAGTAAGTGACAAAGGAAAGGGGGTGAGAATGTGAGGGATATCAAGCAAACAGAAATGATCTCATACTATCTTTGCATCATATGTGGAATTCTATCACTGCACAAACGTCACAGAAGTTTTTGATTGCACACACAGGCGCGTCTACCAAATGTGGCTTTGGTTTTATTTCTATGGTTAGCTTATAAATTCGTTATACAATCACTAATATGAACAATCCTTTAAGAAGTTGAATAAAAGACATTGGTTCATGACATGATTTTTTGTATCACTACGCATTGCATTAGGAGTGATACTTTTTAGTTGCTAGGGGAGTATATTTAGTAATGGATATAATAAAAAAAAGTGCATTCTCGCAGTTCACAATCTCATTACAATGCATTACTTTGAAAATCCGTTGGAAATCCCTTTGATTGACAGTGGAGGAAACCATTGCGCTAAGCTTGGGAAAATGTAGTTCAAGTACACTCGTGACAAAAAATCTCGCTAAATGTTAATTACCATGTTGTGTTGTTTTGGACCAACGAATCATGATAGGTTATCTCATCTAAAGCATAATTAGCATTCGGATAGTCTAAACAGTGAACGTGAGAAGACTTAATGCGTTAAAAAGATGATTGGCTTATCCAAAATTTGAATTTGCGGCAATGTTATATTGCGTTATGCTAACAAAAAAGCAGAGAATTTCTATTATATTTGCATATTTTAAAAAAAAGTTCAGCTTTTTATTTAACGGGTATGTCTTTATAACTGGTATTCTCTTTTAGAGAAAACTTGTTACATATTAATTTATAAGCATACCAAAAGAACAATAAAACAATATGATACATCATCCAGTGATTGATATTTGGTCGAGAAGAATAGAATAGAATAGAATAGTAATAATCACCAGGTCTTCAAAGACCTCTGTGATTTATAAAAAAAACTACGCAAATCATAAATTCTCAGTTTCGTTGTTTTAGATGAACCCATCAATATATCAAAACTGTTTATCAAATCACAGACAGTAAAACGTGGAATAAAAAAATATCCTAACCCGTGCTGAAATGAACAGCATGCAACAAGCAAAAAATAGGACAGTTGATGCACTGATATTAACTTTAAATTATTCTATCAAGCTAGTTCCTCTGTTCCAAAGGGTAAGAAATTTAACTTAAGGTCACTGGATTATTTGACTCTATCTAAGAATCGATAGGGACATGGTTGCCTAATGCAGTAAAGTCATTTACTAATAAGGCAATCAGTAGGTTTCTCGTTCTCCTAAGGACCAAAAATAAGAGAAAGATAGCGTAGGAGGGACTTTTCTGTGGCATAAAACTGAACATTATTCAGATTCCACTGAAAACATCCGTTCTCTAGGGAGGCCATCTATTTCTCAGAAATACGATGTCGAAATAGTTCACATAAAAATATTATTTCATGATATTTCGCCTGTACAATGCACTCTTGAAACAGACAAACCGACAAGGTTGCACTATGAACAGATAAGCAATTATTTAACAGGAAATGTCTGGAATACAATGTGAAGAGATTGTAGAGACGTTGGTAGTTTATTACTTATTGTTGGGGGAAAACAATGACGATGAAAAAAAGATGTAGGCTGCGTCTGGCAGATAACATTGAAAGGTCACGTTCCTTTCAAATAAAAGCCTCTGCTCCTGGGAAATGGCCTTTTCTTTTCAACACGCAACGTTAATTTTCTTCTAAGGAAATGAACTTGTTTAAGGCATCTCTTGTGAGTTTTTGTTCAAAGTTGAATTTTGGTTCGTCTCAGAGTTGGGAAGGCGGTTGCATTAGAATCAGACATAGAGGAAGACTTACGCGAGGAAGGCTTTACCGAAAATCAGGTATTGAGCATGTTTTAAATTGAAACCCGTTTAAACCAATTGCAAATACAATAGTACTGCTATGTGGACATCTAATTTTTGCTTTTTGTATATAAATTCATAGTGTTAAAAATTAATATGTCTTAGATTAATCGCAATTCTGGGTGGGTGTGCGTACTTTAAGGTTTGGAGAATTGTGTTTGCCGTGGCTGCAGGCGGACATGTCTCTTTATGTAATTACCTTACCGTGAGCTTTCATAGCGTGATGTCAAAAACCCCATCGCGTGTTTGCAATCTCAAAAGCATTTACTATGCATAGATGAAACGTATTTTCCTTTTGGCACTTCCTTTGAAAAAAAGATCTAAAATGATTACTCTTTCACAGCTCCATATTTCAACTCGATTTCTTGGCCTTTGTGAATTGATTTGCGCTTGAGAAAAAGTATTGATCTTCATCAAATCAAATTATTCCGGATATATTAGAAGAGGAAAGTTCTTTTGAAACTATGGTTCAAGTTCGGGGTAAACCATTAGAAAGCTGTGCTTTCTAAGGAAATAAGCATCAAGAATAATGACCGTGCTTTGTTTGAAATTAGATTGGGCAATTCCGAAATCGATTGGAAATAAAGGAAATAAATAAGCAAGACTTTACTATTAAACAGTTTGGAAAGACTCACTCGCCAGGTCAGCAACCATCGAGTTCAATTGCATAATGCAAAGTGTGTCGTTGATTTCCACAGTGGTTAGGATTTAATAATGATTTTTGATACTCTCTTGGGTCATTGTAATAGAACATAATCTCGACTCAATTACCTAGTTTTGCTTGGTATTCTTGGCTATTGATGCATCAGGAAGCCTGTCTGCATGTCAATGCGAAATCGCACGTAACTGACTTTTTGACTTAATAAAGATTGGATCTACATGGAGCGTAATTGAAATTAGCTTTCATATATCTTTCTTTTGAAGTGATTGGATTATAGTTTGATATTGACTGCAATATTCAATCTTTTTTTTTTGTAATTAGTTTAGTGGGTGAATTATTTTATTGAAAATTATATTAGTAAAAAAAAAAGCGGCAAATGCATTAACATGCTGATTTTTCTTGGTGTGAGGCACAAATTCAAGCAGCAGGTAACAATGGGAAATTAAGAAAATTTAAATGGACGACGCACGCGCCAATTAAAGTATGGTCAATAGTTTTTTGCATTCTTTCATAACATCTTAATAGCCTACTATGTATGAATAATTCCTCCATGACTCATTCATTTGTATCATAATCGAATTATAACATAATGAATTGCTTTTTTTACTGACACCGATTTGCCACCAAGAATTAACTTAAATTTGATGTCTTATTACTCATTTTAAACCTGATTAGTTCTCTGTTGATATTTCATATAGCTGCATTAATAGCATTTGGTTGGCTTGTTATTATACGTGTAGTATTATTATGTATTAATTTCTTTTTTTATAGGTAAATATTTTTCAAAATTTTACAAGGCTACTTTGCTGTCAGCAATTTCGTGATTTCTTAAATTACAACATTAAAAGTTGTTAGTTTGTCATTTTAAAGACATTTGTACTTTGATTAATACACAGAGTACGAATTCAGAATATATATAGTTAAATATTATCATATGAATGATACTCATGTACGGTAAATCATTTGCATTTTAATATATAATTTTAAGTTTCAGCAAAGATGGAGGGAAAAAAGGCCCCCCAATAAATTCTATTTATTCTGCTTTTCTTTTTTAAAAAAGAGAAAGGGCTATTGCAATGTACGAATCACTACATTATATCCGGCATTTTTTGTTTTTATCGGTAACGATGCTTTTGAGTTAAACTTAAAAGTTTCCTGCTAAAGTACGCCCCCGCATGAGGTTTTACGGTGTCAACTACGCATATGTTTAGGGCTTGATCTATCCTTTATTAGACAAAGCAGAGACATCAACAGCAATGTGTATAGACGGCTCGTTTGCAGAAAAACTCGATACTATTAGCTATATAACACTAGTACATGAACAACATAGGAAGGACCGTGAACTTATTTGTTGATAAAATGACCACTTAAAATTGACGGAGAGGAAAGCTGGAACAGTACTGTCACCAAGAACAAGAAATATAGTGCAAACCACATCAGATGTAGGTAACCTTGGAACTGTGTGCACTGATAGCATTAAATAATAATAGCCAACATACTAATATGGGCAAATGCACAATTTTCATTTTTATCGCAAGTCTCTAAGCAGTTAATATACAAATGATGCTGGTTGCCATTGATGGGTGAATAATAGATACGTCATTATCCTCATTGCTTTACAGCTCGTAGTAGCCAGGCACAGATCATGAATTGCATCTATATGCAATATGCACATTTAACAGCAAAATATTGTGCCGAACATTCAGGGAGACAGGCGCAATCTGGCAGACTTCATTTCGACGCTAGTATGCCATGAAAAATGACCTTGTGATGTCAAAAGACAATATATCTCGGAGTTAACTGCAGTTAACTGTCCCTGACGGCCCATCTGAGCTATGGGTTAGCACTAGCAAGAACATGGTATGTGTACACTGGACCTGGATAGGTTCAAAAACATGGAACCGCTGGAGTATAAAATATGTTTAAAACCATGCTAGGTAACAACGTGGCTTTAAAATGAACAAGAACGTGGTAGGTGTGACAACGGAGTTATTTAAAGGCATAAGATCATATTAGATACATGTAACAACGGGACCTTGGTAGGTACAGGAACATGGCAGACGCAACTGGCACTATGAACGTTCACGATATGATAGTGATACCAATATGAAACAGTAGGGCTTTGGCGATACATTGGTAGGGTTGTTATTTTAGGGACCATTGGAAGCATAAATGGGTCCATGGTAAAGAACGTGGCAGTTGTCAAAAGGCACATGGTACAACGTGGTAGATGCCAATGGGCACATGGTACGATGCTTTTTGGTGCCAATGGGAACATGGTACAGGGCATAAAACCAAACACAAAAGTAGTAAATGTTCTTCAGGGGCTCTTGCTACCAGAAAGATTACGTTGTTAAGTCAAATTTGAATACAACATACGTGGAGTAAATTTCGAGATTTATATACATATATGTCGGGTATTGTTTTTTGGTAAATTATATTTATGTAGAATGCAAGTAGGCTTTCTCTAGGTCTTCTTGTATAAAATGCGTTTAGGACTTTAGTCGTACCTTTACTTTCTAGGATGAACTGCATTGATTTGAATTTTAGATGTTTTTTATTTAAAAAACATTACTTGTTTTATACGGCAAAACAAGAATGACTGATGGCACACGCAAATAGAGACAAGTCAAAACTGTTTTCTCGATGCTCAATTACTAGTATTGTATAAACACGCATGGTTAAGTCTTCTGTTAATGGTACAATTAATTTTATAATATTACATCTATCTATAATGGACGTACGCATACTCCTTTTTATTAATTTTTTTTATTAATTTTTTGTAATGGGCCGGCAAAATCCAGGAGTGATAATAATGGTAATTTTCCTGGATAATATATATCGGTTTGCCTCCTTGACCATATCATAAATTGTCTATTTAACATACAAGAGGAGCCATACTCTGGCAGGTCAATCACCATCAGTCATTCTTATTCCTTCGAAAGAATATAGACCAATACCTCATATAAAATTGAATTTCGTCGTCTCTCGGAGAATGGCTTTATCGACATTGTTCGCGTAAAAGTTAATATGCACAAAGCAATTAGACCCATAGGAATTCCACGCCACTAGCCACAATCCTAGCTTCATTTCCCCGGCAACCTTACATCTTCGTTCCAGCCTATGTGTAGTGAAATTGGACCTTTATTTGATGTTTTTCGACGTTGTTTAATGAATCACCCTCTGACAAGATAAAATAGCTGTCATAGTTTTTATACCGCTTTGCATGTGTGGAATATGACTCCGCTACAATCTTCAGTACAGTGCCAGTTTTTTTATAAGCCGATGAATTTGGTTTAATCGATCTTTTGGAATCATTGGATTCGGATGCATTTGGTTCTCATCAGCTTCTTTTTTCAGCTTTGGGTATACAGTATATGTAAGGCAGTACATGTTGGCAGTTCCTTGTATCAATCACAACGCGTTTGAAAGGTTGTTTGTATCCCTTTATTACAATCACGTCTCTGTTGGGTACAAAGGGTATCGATTCACGCACTGATTCTGAGCAAATTGACTTCATCGCGATGCCCGCTCTCTAAGAGGATATCAGTGGCAATCAATCATGTCACTGTGAAGATTGTCATAAGCAATTCTCAGCGGTTTCCAAGAGATTAAAACTTAAAAACTATTGGATGAAAGATATTAGGCGGACGGCATAATATGTAAAACAGGATCTTGGCACTGCAAGGTTTGAAGATCTTTGGAGAATCCCTGGCAATTTCCTGCACTGATCACTGAGACATCAAATGCTCTTAGTAGTCTGTGTGGTCACCTTATAGGTTGACGCGAAGCCGTCTCCAGCAGCGCAGTGAAGTGTTATCTGAGGTTTGTAAGCTGAAGGTAATAGCCTCATATTACTAGTGAGAAGACAATTAAACAGATGCACAGAGAAACCTGCAAGCAAGCAAACACACCTCTCGTGGCTGTGTACTTCAATAAGAAGAGCTGGTTAATCAACGTATTTGCAGGCGACACGTGCGTGTACATAGCCTGCATAACATACACCACTTTATTGCAGAAGGTTCTCATGGCTTAAGTACCTCATAAGGATGACTAAACACACTAATATATTTGCAAGCAACACGTTATGGAAGCAAACTATCTGGTTAAGCACTTCATTAGGGATGACAACGACTTAGGCATGCATCATAATATTGCAGCGAATTTAGACTTGTATTGGCTTTTGTACTTCAATGATGATAAAACCCTGCCAGTATGGTGTTAAGTGATGGAGGTGCCCCATTAGATATCCCATTACAGCCATATGCTATACGCTAATTAATAAGCAAAATCAAACATTGTATTCATGTTTATCACGAAATTGTGTGAAGTATCACTGTAGCACTGAAGGCGACGTGCATGATAGCGAGTCGGGTTGATGTATTTAATCTTTTATAAACCCAGGTTTAAAGTACTTCCACACCAGTGACATCAGGTGGGTGTATAGAACAGATACTCTGGTCAATTTATGCTGTTGGGTATCACAGCAGTGTTAATAGAAAAGAAACCTTCATCGAAGTAAGTGACAAGTGACCTGCAGCTACCCAATAATTCTGCTTCCGACTTCTGACGTGCTTAGAATAGTTCATCCCATTAAGATATTTTCCATTTATTTTCCAGATAAATGCTTAATTGGCAACGACATTTCAAATTATTGCATATTAGCATCGTTAAAACTTTGTTACGAGACGATTTCATGTACAGCTCTTTTTCATTTATCTTTGTAGCCGTAAGCATTTTATCTCTTATACTATAATGAGGTTCTGCAGATATTTTGTGTAGTCAAGAATTTCACAAAATATGTTGAATACATCGTTTTTGGCATAGGGCGAAGACATTTTAATTATTGCCTCCTATATGGTCGGAATTTGAATGAATTTGAAATTGAAAATGTTATATGTCATTGGTTTAAAAAGATATGCAGATGTGTTGTCAAGTTTGGATTCAAGACTTGCCTTTTAGACTTAATTACATTTAAAATTGAATACCTGATAATGTAGACCTATATAATAACCGTTAACCTTCTCATGAATTAACCTACGCAGATATGATATTCTGAATACTTGTATTGTAGACCTTTGGGCCACAATTTGATTTCCATTTGAACTACCATTGTGCACAATAATACTTTGTAATTAAGCAGCCAAAGCCGGATTATGGAAATAGAATCTTGCTTCCACGGTAGTCTATTAGTTTAAGACAGAGCAGATTTGCTATATTCTCTATCACCATATTCATGGCGTTCAGGCTCAAACTGCGGGGCAAGGGATCGAACTGAAGTGAACAGATATAGAGCAGTGACAAACGTTCCTTTTACGTGTTCTAGGTTCATGTATTTATAAGCTGAACTTGAATGATTGAAAACGACCAGTGGATGATTTGACAGAAATTCAATATCCAGTCATATTTAATGATAAAATGTGCATCAAAAATTAACATTTTGCCTGTGAATGAACACTACAAAACTCTTTCATTTTTTACATTTCTACTAAATGGTGGTCTCTTACTTTCCAGGAAAGGTTTTATTACTCAGTGTATTGTGTCATGAACACGAGCGAAAGAAAAAATCATAATCATATTTCAGAAATCTCTTAAAAGGCTTTGCTGTACGCCTGGTTTCTGTCGCCATTCTTTTTCTTTCTAAAGCTATGAGTACCACCAATTGATTCGGCGAATCAGAAGTGTTCAATTAATAGTGCGTAATGAGAATTTTATTGCTTGCACCTTTAAAAAGCTTTTATATTAGTCCGATCTCGTTGAAGGTCAAGCTGATCGATCAGATAGCGGCAATCTCCGTCAAAGTGGCCCTTCGTAATTAGGTTATATGTATTTTTAGATAGCTATTATTTGCGGGGGTCGCATAAGAAGAAACACCAACAGCAAATTGAATATCATGTTTTACGACGACCCAAAAGTATGTGTAACTAAATTATTGGATGTGTCGGTTTTCAATAGTCAAAACAGTGGATAATGTCAACTCTATTCATTTTTTTTCAGATTCAACCATTTATTCATGTCTAGCGGATCTCTCATTTCGGCGGGCAAAAGCTCGCGGTACCGCGTATGTGCAAAAGCCACTAAGAAAAGAGAAGAAAAAATCCACGCTCCAAACTCCGAACTCGACACTGGAATAAGGCAAGTAAAAATCGTAATCCTAGGAGCTTCACAAGTTGGCAAAACATCCATAATTCGCCAGTTCGTTCAAAATACTTTCGCTGAAGAATATATTCCAACACGGGCAACAGAAGTGTACAGACCATCGTGCATGATAAACGACCATCTTTATCACGTTAAAATGGTCGACTGTCCACAAATCAACTCCTTCCCCGAAGATTCTATCGAGGAGTGGAGCGAGTTCCGTCCGGGCAAAGGCGTGCGGAACGCAAATGCCTACATCATGGTATTTGACCGAAGCTCTGAAGATAGTTTCAACTACCTCAGGACTTTAAGAGAACAAATGTTGGACTGTGAAAACGACCACGACGCCCCACTGTGGGTCGTATGCAACAAATGTGATAAAGCAGAGAAAGACAGTAACAAAAATGGCGGTTTGTCCAAAAGAGAAATCGCCAACATCGTGAAAAAGCAGTGGAAAAGCCCGTATCTAGAATGCTCGGCCAAAAATAACTGGCACATAGTACTTCTGTTTAAAGAAGTTGTGCGAAGCATAGATCTCATCGAATATGGGCATAAAGCAACTTTGATGCAAAACGCTTTAAGACGGAAGAAATGTGTGATCATGTAGACCAACATATTAGCAACAAACTTTACAAAATGATGAGAAATATTACAATGAAGTGCTTTCGGAATTCCGGAAGACTATATTGCATGTTGCAAGGGAAGAATATAGTAATCGGTCAAAATACTCTAATTTCAATCTTCTGAAAGCTAAAGCTTATAGCACAGTAGCGCAGGGTTTAATGTTGTCAGCATGGTGCTATATCTAATTTGTGGGCTTTAATGATGAAACCCCCTGCAAGCTGCAGCAGAAGCTTGGATTATGTTCTTATACAAAACTGCGGGATTCATGCATATAAATCGTTCATCGTACCGTTTCCAAAGGCCTGTAATAAGGTGTTTGATGGCTATATTACGGTTTCATTTGAGTTCAAATATGTGTGCATCGAAGCATTTTGCAGCTTTTGGGCTTGCAATCAAATACACTCATATACAGTAAGACAGTGGAACACAGAAAACCATGATGAAATTTAATTTCAACTCTCAAGAACATTCCTATATGCACTTGCCATTGAAGTTCACATCACAAATTCCCTTGGCTAGTGGAGAGAGACGAAACCGCTGGAAATATTTATTAGGCCTAGTATTCATTGTCTAGAGCCAATTCCAGAAGACCTGCTGTTCCTGCATTGACAAACATCTGCGTTATTTTGGTTCATATATCAGACAGGGCATTGGCCTCTGTGTTGTGAATATCAGGGACTCGTTAATAAATTATGGTTTTTATTGCCTCATATGATAGACGGGCCAACTTGTTTATTGCTCTCTGTCACCAGCATACGCAACCGGAACCAAGCGAGTGAACGCAGGGCTAAAGGGGAATCATTTTCTGATGGGCTCTGCAATTTGAGGTAGATTTTTGGGGTCAATTCGTTTTTACGAATTATATTGACAAGTTCTTGTAGCCTGTTGCTGATATCATTATTGTGTTATACGAAATCGCGAGAAAATGTCAACATTCCTTGCAACAATGAATCAATTGCAGGTTTCCAAATGACTGACTCAATGTGGGCTTAAAACACATTCTAACAAATCGATTCATTTGCCATACAATTCACATTCCACGGAACCCTGATGCTCAAGAAAAAAGGGAGACAAAATGAAATGAAAACTAACTGGGAAATTAAAAGAAGCAGAATATCGGACAGCTCATCTCAATAATCCACCTCTTCAGATTCCGCTAAATACAAAAACACAAGGAAATTGATATGGTGCATTGAGAATCAAGAGCATATCAGCAAGGTTGGAGATATGAATAGGGATACATTAAGAAATATATACAACAGATTTTAAGAATACAAAATAACATTCTAGAGAGACGAAAAAGAAATAGATATAATCCAGTTTTAAGCTTCCTGGTATATAACTCAAAGCCACGTCTGCTGCTAATTTCAGTGTCTGCCACACGAGTTATCGTCCCTGCTTGAGAACAATCCTTTGGACATGACTTGCCTCGATTAAATATTATTATTTACTCATATTAACTGCACTGAATGATGACACTATTAAGAAATACAAGTAGCTAGTACGCACGATACAACAATACATTTCACTGACAGTAATCGTATTAGTTTGATTCTAGACAAGATGGAATTATCTGTATACAAGCTTTTTTTTGGGGGGGGGTGAGGGTGCATGTTAGCATGGTAATAATCTTTGGCTAGTAATTAAATCTCCTTAATTGGATCTTCCAAATGACACCATGATAACATGTTATATAAAGATGTATTTTGCATTACTCCTAAACTCGCAGAATACAATATAATTCAAATGCAAAATGGTTTCACTTGAGTGGTGACATAAGGTATCTAGGTAGCACTCTTCATTGAAGCAATTTCAATCTCAGAAAAGTGGACTAGATTTGAGATAGACCAAAGCAAAAACAGTGGTAGTTACATACTAGTCTTTTAGATAGCTGTGCTGAATTTGGCCTCGCGCACATTAATCATGGTTCTTCAAAATATCCTAATGACAATTCTGTTACAGCATTCAATTATCAATACATTGTAAACTCACTGTCAAACACTGGCTGTTATGATTACACACGTATTGCAGAGGTAAACCTTGCTTCAAACATCGCAATTTGATTTCATAGCTAATCACATTAATCGCATTTTAATGGACGTATTTTGCTTCATATCACGCACATGCAATTACAGCATTGCATAGTGTGAGTACATGATATGTTTAACAATAACGACGAAAAAACCTTGTCTGTCATTTAGAACACATAACAGAACAACAGGATTATTAAGTCAGTTTACGTGTCCTAGCACTGGCGTATCCAGGATTTTGCTGTGAAGGAAGTGGGGCAAGTTGTTTAAGCCCGCTTCGCTTGGCAAATAAAACAGAGTAGACAATTTAAATGAAACACTAATGCGTGGGGCACAGAGATACATTATTTGGATTAAATTCTTTTTGCGTTCTTGGGGGAAGGGGTCTGGCGGCCCACTGTGCGACTGTTGGACTAAACGATCTATAAAAGTACATCGGTATTATATGCTCTGTTTACCAGTCTTGAAATTTAGAATTGACTTTTTTTGTCTTTTTGTAGGCCAATATTGCAAGGCTGTTCATGACATAATATTTAGCCAATACACATGTAACGAGTGATAGTACTTCATATTAGCAAAGGGGATACAGTGAGCAATATTGCGTTGGCTATGAATGCTAGCTTTTAGTTGCTACCTTTTTAATGTTAATTTACATAGAGTTAAATTTTTGTTCCATTGCACATTTGTAAGACTTCCAGGATTTTGATCTTTGAAAGAAATGTTCTTGCTGTAAAGCAGCACAGACATGGTTAATAAAACAACAATGAACGTGGTTTTTACAATATACATTTTATCGTTTTTGTCGTAATAGAGTTTTTAACGTCTCAATTTTCTCTACAAGGTACATGTACAACCAACTTTTCTAAATTAAAATAACAGCTGAACCTTCTACAAGACTAATACGTATATTCTTCGTTACAAGTAGGACACACCTGCCGCTGCATTAAGGTGTGCACGTATTTACATCAAGATCTAGAATAGTTTTAAGATATTGATAAATGCGTTTATAGTGTAAAATTTTACAATAAACATTTTTAACTTTCAATGTTGATGCTACAAACGTATTTCAAAACTAAATAACGGGAAAATAAAGTGTAACTTTTAAGTTTTAAATCCCTAAAGAGGGTTTTCTGACTAAGTGACACACTTCTACTGAGGGATATGTCAATAATGCAACTGCTTACAAAAATATTTCTTAAATGGTTTCTTTTCTACTTAAAACGCTTAAAAGTGTGAGATTTAAAATAACGACATTAAAAGAACACTATATTGTTAAAAACATTTGGAGCAACAGAAAAAATGGTGCAACACCATATATATATATATATATATATATATATATATATATATATATATATATATATATAAAATCATTCTGCAGCTACTGCACTTCTTTTTCAATCTTACTCCTTCAACATTTTAAATAAAGAGCGCATTCAGAAGAGCAGACTAACGGCTCCACAGATCAAATATAGACGACCTACTTGAATACTTGTTGCGTAATTCTCGCAGGATATCAATTCAGTGTCTAATCGTGAATTTTGAGGAAAGCCTTTTAGTAGGCTGCATTATTTGACTTTGGATGTGTTAGTCGGCTGTTCTGAATGTGCTCAAAGACATAAAAAGAACTTAACATTGTTAAAACATAACTATGGAGCATCAGAAAAATTGTACAACAATATATATATATATATATATATATATATATATATATATATATATATATATATATATATATATATATATATATTCTGTGGCTACTGCACTTCTTTTTCAATCCTATTCTTTCAATATTGACAAGCTACGTATTAATAATTGCCAACTTCAGTCTATATGATCACAGTTACGTATCACTTGCTTGGATACAGATTGGCTGACTTGATAATATTTGTTGATACATTGTAGATCTGTCCTATTTAAAAACAGTGACTTAACACCATTGCACTCTTTCTAAAAGCAAGCACCATTACCTTAAGAACAATTGCACATACACTGTTAACATTATGCTTGCAGGAATTTCATTCAGATAAATCAAAAGTGTATCTCTTGATCATGGGCAATCCAACCTTCAGGCTCACAAATGCTTCAGGTTTTTAATGTTACATTAGTCCAAACAATGTTTTTTCAGAAAATTGCATTTATATGCCATTTACTTTTTTTCTTTTTTTAGTAGATACCCTGCCACCACTTTAGTGTATTTGCTTGAAAATCAAAGAACCCTCATATCATCTAGGCTGCAAGCACTAGACTTAATATAGCAAATGTCTTTGTTTGTTTACAGAACATAGCTAATCAGTGGTTCTGCAAGAGAAATTATTATAGTTACATGTACTTGTGCATTATAATAAGTCTAGCAACCTTAACACTGAATTACAGTCTCAACTGTCAGCACCCTATAAACTTTTCATACACTTATTAGTACGTAGATATTATACCCATTCATATCACCTAGGGTGTTTAAACTGTTGTGTCACAAAACAATACATTTGTTTTTACATGGACACCAGAAACCTGAAAAACTTACTATCCTAATATGTAGATTAAGAGTTCCTAAATCCAAAGAGACAGCAAATCAATACAACTAATACCAAACATTGCACAATAGTCTTTATACACAAAGAAAAAACTGAAATCAAACCCTGTGCTACATTGCCTAACTTGACAGCATCACTTCTAGTCAGTGTCTAACAGTAATGAAATAACCATGGTTACCATATAGTTCTTTGATGTCACCCAGTGTCTGTGATAATCAACAAAATATCAGCCAGCACTGACCTCAGTTGACCTTGTCAAATCTGCTCCACTTTGCACAATCAGTAATATGGTAAAAATTGTTTCATTATTTTTGGATGTACCCAGATTGTCTTGTTATCTTAAATGACTGCCAGTACAGTACATCAGGTTACAAATAAGATCCCAATTGAACGCCCTTGAAAAGGAAGCTGACAAATAAATCAATAGCACTATTTGTATTGATTAGTGTGTGCACACTGTAGTGGGAGGCCATGTTAGGTACCAACATTATGAACAAAATGGGGAATAAATGCTCTGTACTGATCTTTCCTCATATAAGCTCTCAATTTTGTACATATAGATAACAGATAGATCTTGACAGTGAGTTTTGTGAGCTGATGAAGATTTTAGGTTGTGAAAATGCAGTAAAAAATAATTGGCACTGAATGTAGCTAATGGACCATCAAATGCAAGCACTTACAGCAAACTAATCATACAAAGAGGTCTATCAAGTATCTGTGATGAAACCAAATGACACAGTTCGAAAGATACCAAACAGAAAAATATTTATATTTTTCACACAGATTACAGCTGAAAGATAAGAATATCTTGAACATATATAAAAAAATTGAATTTAAATGTACACATGTATAGACATGTTTCCTGTAGCTTCTATGTTAATATATATATATGTCCTTATATAATTTGCTCTTTGTACAATCATGGGACTTATATGTGGTGCTTCAAATAAAACTTCTCTTTTTATCAATAATCATTAATCTGTTTGGATATATCAAATACAACATAATAACATTTTATACAGCACTTTATCAGTAGCTAATAATAACAATAACAATAATATTAATAAAGGTTTTCCTTATTGTACTGACATTTGGCTCATTCAACTATAAAACATAAAAGCCATTTTTAAAATATCATAAAAAATGACAACAATAAATTTGGATAATATTCCAATAGTAAAATGTCACCACTGAATCCCTGTTGACAAATTTAAAAGGAGCAAACTTCATATATAACCATACAGATCACATTTGTAGTAAGTGACTATGAGGAGGGACAGTTTTAAGATTCTGCACAGTGCCCAGACTCAAGTTTGTATCTGCTGTCGCCTGTGGAGAACAAGGTCATCAATGGCTGCAGCAAGGTCATGTTTGTTGACCTGACTATCAAACCCTGAACCTAAACAATGAGAAATGAATTTATTTGAAGTATATGCCAAAAAGATAGATAAGTTTTCATGTATCAACATTCCTATCACTCTTTCAAAATAGATCTCTAACATTCACTGATTAACCTTTTAGCTTTCGCAAAAAAATATCAATACATATTTATTAAAATATACTCCACAAAAAAATTTTAAAAGATGAGATGAAATTAAATTTTAACTTTTATAAAAATTATCTCTCTCATTTAAAAACTTTATAGAAGCTATTTGTTACTATTTCATATTCAATTTTAATTTAAAAATTATTTAGTTTTAAATTGTTCAGCAAATGAAGGCAATGCTTCAGTCTTTATACTACAAGACTTGAAACAAACATTTAGGTATCATTGTAATTCAAGTCACTCTGAACTGTTAACTTACCATTCCATTTGAACCTGTGCAACATTTCCTGTAGCTCAGATACTCCTTGGTTACATTCTATAGCAGCTGTCAGCAAGCTACACAATTGCAGATCAGTGTTATCTGTGGAGGAATGAAAGTTAAACTAACAATTTATTAGTTTCTCTTACTTTGTACAATGGCATGCTTCCTGATATACCATGTAAATGTCATGTTCTAGAGACCCCTGTGCTCACTATGTTATGTCAAAACATTTCATATCTATGCCAAACCTTACTATATTGGCCTGCTGGGCCTTCAATCCACCAGGCTCTGGGAACCCTCTGGTCCATAGCAGAAACTGCGACCAGTAAATGGGCAAATTTACCACATCTTCCAAGCCATGCTTCAGTTTTACTTGCATTTGACATGGAGTCAATGTCACACTACGTATCTATTAAACCTGAACCACTTTTGAAACAAAATACAAAAACTAATATTACTTACACCCACCTTCCTTATTCCCATTTCCATTCTGAGTCAGGCAGTATAGGATTACATCCTGTAACTTTTGAAGGCCAATATTTTCTATGTCTTCATAAGATGATTTTTCTGGTGGTTCTAGAGAATTTTTGCTTGCCCTGAAAATGAGTAAATTCTAGCCTGAATAATAATATTGAGTTGTTCAAACTAGCTGGAGAATTTTCAATATTCCATGCCAATTTATTAATATCAACATTCCAAAATCTCACTGAGCAACCTCATCCCAAATCCACAAACATTTTTTTTTTTGTGAAAAATCAACAGATGCTCATTCATGGGCCTACAAAGTCGCCATACTTTCTACAACACCATGGCCAACAGCATTCAATAATCTAAATCAGCAGACATGACTGAAGATGAACTCACAGATTGTGCAACCTCTTCTTCAATATAGGGTTGTTGGCAGTTTTCATTGGCTTGAGGGTAATTTGGAGATCTGGCTGCCTCATGTTTGTCAACTGTTGAGCATGCATTAGTCGGGCTTCTTCAAGAGAAACCTACAAGATGATAATATCATTTACCATGCTGCTTAAGGTCCTACCAGCATTTCAAATGCAAAATATTGTGGAAAATACCTATATGCATGTTATCAGTGTCTATTATATATGAGGAAGCTTCATGTTTTAATTCTACAGTATTTAAGTGTATTTATATACTGTATCACAGCAACAGTTATGTATTTAAATAAAATATGATGAACACTGTGAACAGATGAAGTTGTCAGATTATTTCGTTATCATAACTTAGACATATAGACACAGCTTTACACAGTTATTCTACTTCATCATAAAAAGCTTTATAATTGTTAAACAATATACCAATGTAACAACGATTAGAAATATATACATCTTCCATATATAACATCAACATGTTATATAAAAAATGATATCTAGTCTTTAGTTCAGTCAAGACTAATTCAATTCTGATTTCAAAACATGTTTGACGTTGTTAGTGTTCTCTTTACAAATTTGTATTCATAAGTATTATACAAATAAATATACTTTACAATTTCTGGGGAAAAAACATGTGCCCCTTCAGGGCTGCCACATTTAATTCTTTTTTTTTTTAATGTGCAGATACTCTTTTTAACCAATTTAGCAGCAAAAGAGTTACACCTGAATAACAATGAAATCTATGGTTAAACACATATCAGACTTAATTTGCATAATTGCCAACTCTGACTCTTTGTTATTCACATAAATAAAGACTTCTTTCCATCTAACCAAACGTAACCACAGCACATCAAGACCCTTGACAGCCAATCTCAAAGGTAAAATAAATGTGCCATAATCCCCGAGTCAGGTCCCATGAGACCAATAGATCATTGCACAATAATAGAGTAGGCAAAATAACCCCAAAATATTGTTCACTGATTTGATATACTCCCTGCAGCTTTGCCAGAGTTTTATGGATGGTTAAATCTTTTGTTAATGACTTCAAATTGTTCTTGAACTAATCAATAAAAGCTCAATCTATGTAGGCATCAGTCCCTACATCAAAGCACATAGATCTGATGAATGAATGGATACATAAAATCACTGCAGCTGCAGACACCTCATATCTGGATGCTTTGATGCTAAAGTACACAAGCACTTCCACATTAGAGATGAATAGAAATAAAGTATACTTTACATCACACACACACAAAAAAAAAAAGAAAAAAAAATTATCAAAACGGAAAACAATACTCATTTTGATAAATCCCCCTTGCTGCATGAATTTTAAACAAAATCTGATAAATTTTCCTAAAAGTATCATTCACCCACCTTGTCCATGAGTATTGCTGGAGACATCAGCATGGTCTCTGGTGCCTCATACTGAAGCCATACATGATGCTGTAGTTCCACTATGTTCATTCTCTTGGTTGGATCTACATCCAGTAACCTTAAAAATCAATACAAAAATTATTTACAGACGCTAGTACAAGGGATATACATGCAACTCTTTTGAGGATTTTCAGACATTTCAAAGGTTGATCTGAAAAGAGACAAAGTGTGAAACACATATACCTAGAATGGGAGAGGGGAGGCAGAATATCATTTTTGTTGTCTGATTGAGAAAAAAGATTTATTATAAAAAAGTGTTTAAGATTGCACTATAGGAAATCTGGTGCACACCTATTTCCTATTTATTTAGTTTCCAGTTTGCAGCATCAATGACTTGCTCAGTGGGACATGTATTTGCAATCATCGGAGTAAACTAATTCCTCTATTAATCTCATGTTTGAGGAACATAAGCTAATATTCAAGGTATAAAGAAAGATATCACATATCCAATCAGCAGTTTCTGCTTATGACCAGTCACAGTTATACTGAATTGTAATTATTCATTTAATGTCTTCCTCACATAACAAAATTACTACAATTGACTTTTTTATGCAACAGCAGTGTTTTAAAGACACGTGTATCTTCCCACACTTAATATTGTCAAACCACCATCTATATATCAAAGATGTAGCCTGATATGTGAGCAACAGCCTGTGGATAATGTCAGTAAAATTTGAGTCAGTATAAATTCATATTTTAGAAGTGATGAAATTTGGATAAAATTCTAAACACTTGCAGAGCACTCTAGACACAGGAAAGTACAAGAAGTTGAAAAGTGTATCTAGAGCTGCAGAATCTGGACATTAAAGCCAGTAAGCCAGCTGATTCATAAAATGAGATTTACTTCCAGACAACACCAAAGCTAATCAACAAGTGCAACTTGGCACAGGGTTGCCAGACAGGTTAATTGCCAATATTAAGACATCATGCATTGGTAAATCTATTAACATTGAAGCAATATTGATATCTGGTGTAAAATCACAAGTTATGATATAATGTGCATCTGCAAGGAGAAAAAGTGGGAAGAGAGCAAAAATCAATATCCCAACCTCAAAATAAGGAACAAAATGTTATTACAGGCATAAAATGTTCAAAATATCAAATTATATGCACAATCCCTAATTATTTTTTGCATTACATACTTTAATTAATAATAATAAAAATCCCACTGGGGTGGTAAGATCAAATGCAAATGAAAGAAATACTCCAATAATTTTTCTCTCAAGTGTAAATGAAGTAGTGTGCTAGAGGCGTTGAGATATAATATACACAGAATAAAAGTCCTGAGGTTTTGGAAGCAATCAATAACTATTCTCTATTACAGATATTGTGTCCTCACCTTCTAACCACATCTTTGGCTTCTACTGATATGTTTTTCCAATCTTCAGTAGGAAATGTGTATTCTCCAGCCATTATCTTTTTCTTCATGTTATTTGTCATTTGTCTGGAGGGCGTCTCTGAGTAAAAGGGTGGATAGCCACAAAGCATAATGTACACAATAACTCCTATACTCCACATGTCACAACTCTGGAAAATCCAAGACGTAATAACAAAAGCGTATTAATGACATCAACCATTCATCAGTACATAATGCACAGAATCAAAACACCAAATATTGTAAAAAACTAAAATAGTCTGAGAACAATGATTATAAAACACACAATTAAGCAGGCAGCAAAAATTCCAATTTCAGTATTATGCATCATGGAGAGCCCATATATTGTTTAACAGTCTTAATATAAATTGAAGTAGGTCTTTTTCACTGTTTCACTTTTAATACAGCAAAAGCATTTCAAGGTGGCAGCACTGTACAGTAGACCTTGGCTCAATATGCAATCCTATGGTATCAACAGTAACACAAAAGAACCAGACTGAAAGCTGGACTTAGGTTTAAGACCAGAATTCTAGTCTGCTTCAATTCTAAATAAAATTGCCACAGTCCACTAGAGCAGACTGACAGTTGGACTAAATCAACAGGCATTTGTTTCTCATAATGGAACAAGTGATATATTTCACTTTACTGGACTACTTCTGATATATCTGGGGACAAAGAAGATTGAAATAATATTTGTGTAAAAGTTGAGAATTATTTTAAGATGTACATTTTTTTTTTGCCAAACAAGCCTATGTCTAAAATCCTGTCACGGATGAAATAATGTTACAACAGCACAGCACATAATAGAATCTAAGATTACCAGTGGAACATGAAGTTAGTTTCAAAAGAATGTATAAATGGTATGGTGTAACACTGTCATGCGTTTTGTTTACCTTATCATATGTATAGGCAGGCATCCCTGGTACATGTCCCTGGAGATTCTTACGTGCCTGAGCCTCCAGAATCTAGAGGAAAATACATAATCAATTTTTGCAAACCACAGTTGCATATAAAAAAGGAAGTGAGATCTAGTATTTAGAACTACTGGAGGAGTATACTAGAAATGTTATGGTATATCTGCTGCATTCTAGAAACAATTCTTATGAGATTCACTGTGAGGTTCATTTTTGATTTGAACAACTGGACATTACAAAAACTGTAAGCCATCCAAAAATATGAAGTTGACATCATTTTTCCTATTTACCTGAGGAGCTACATAGTAAGGGGTAAACTGTGGTGTTTTTAAAGTTCCATCATCTATCTTTGCAAACCCAAAGTCTGATAGCTTGATGAGAGCATCCTGAAGTAAAGAAATATTTATTTAAGCACATCTCATTCTCTTTAAGAACTGTGGCCGATAGGGTGGATTAAAATTGATTTATGAAAACATCAACAAAATAAAAAAAACATTAAAATTAATAGATAAAATATCACATAGAAAATAAAACAGTTGATACAGTAACAAGGGTTTGGCCACAGAAAATGTACAAAAGATGACAATTTTCACAGAGCCTTTACCATTGCAGACCTAATTCTTTGGTACAACATATACATTCAACATATACATTCAACAGTTTTAATGGATGTTGATGCTTGAAGTTACCCTTTTAAATAACATTATGACTGATTGAGATTTATTTTTATTAATTTAAAAACCTCACCTCTGAGTTATCTTTGAATAATAGATTTTCTGGCTTCAGATCTCTGTGGGCTATGTTCAGAGAGTGGCAGCGGGCAACAGCAGCAGTTATCTGCAAGAAACCAATCATTGGAAATTTTCTGTACAAATTAACATAATTTTATATATTTTTTATGATTTAAAAATATATCTATGGTACTGATTTACATTTATATATTTTTTTAAATATTTATATATATTTTTACAGCACAAAAACAAGAAGTAAAAAAACTCAATATTCTATTTTATAAGTTACAAAACATACGTGCAAGCACATACACACACACATAAACACACACAATTTATTTAATATCCAAGAATCTTTAGTTTCATAACTTGTCAAGTCATTTAGTAAATATATAATTATATTCAAATAACATAAACATTGACTTAATTGTTAAATATGTATTATTGTTATGTGACAACATTTTAATGACTGCAGAGCATGTTTATGTAAGATAATGACCATTAAAATTTATGTAAGAAAAAAAAATGACTCAATATAATTGGCTTAGTCAATTTCTGAATGAAATCCCCTCAAAAATTACCTGTCTTGTATATTTGGCAGCTTCTCTCTCAGTGAAATGCTTCTTCTTTGTGATTCTGTCAAATAATTCCCCACCCTTCATTAACTCCATAACAATGAACAGACGGGGTCTGAAAAGCAAAGTATATAAAAGTTTTTGTATTTTGGAATATCAAACATGTTCAACAGTGACAACTCCTGGCAAATTAGTGTCAACACTAATATTGTCCTAAACTGCAGAGGCTTGTCAGTGAGGCACTATATATATGCATCTTACAAAAAGAAACTCTCAAAACAAATAAGTGAAAATTGTACCCAATATCAGCTTTGGGCCATCCTGGTTTTAATGTTTTAATATTTTAATGTTGTTTCACAAAGATACAAATCATCACCTTGGCAGTGGTTCTCCTGGAAACTGCACCTCATTGGCATAGACACTGTACACACCCACTATGTTAGGATGTCCGCTACACTGATACTGCAGGGTGCACTCAGTACGGGCCTTGGGGCGGTCTGCCAGGCACTTTAGTGCACAGCGCTCTTTTGTTTTCTTGTGGATACATGGTCTAAAAAAGAACAGTGCACACATTTCATATTAAATTGTTTTCTAGTTTTGTTAAAAAATACGTTTCTCACATGCATAAAGATGATTTAAGGAATACATTTAAAACTTGGGCCAATGCAGCTGAAAAATATTTCAAAAAGTTACACGTTTATTCTTCATGAGCAACTTCTAAAATGTTAACACAGGTCTAAGACAAAAAAGAGTTTAATCTGTTTTGATCCAAAGTATACCTATATTTTTGTTTGATGACCCTTTTCATGGAGCCATCCTTCTGTCAAATAGGTAAACATAGAATGTATACAATCTGAAACCTTCTTTGACTGGGTTCCCATACCTAGAATCATAGGGTCTGGGAATGGGCCCTTTCAGTATTATTACATAAGATCTATAACTTTTGTAACAAAAAAAAAAAAAAAAAAAAAAAAAAAAAAAAAAAAAAAAAAACTGACAAAAGTTATTCTCGTATATTGCTAGGTGGGGAGACCATGCCACAGTACCTGACAGGACCACTAATTCCAGTTCCAAGCTTCTGATTCCAAATCACATCATAGTCATCCAAGATGGAATTGGTCTGCAATAAAAACAATAATTATTAAAAAGTATTCTGTACACATTTGAAAATGTCCCAAAGTCACATTTATGTCTTAATACCCTGCAAAGCTTCTTTTCTTTCCACTTTTAGCCTAGGGTAAGGTAATAACCCTCAAACAAAAGTTTATCAGAAGCCTTACCGATGTTAATATTTCCGTCCAAGCTTTGGGATTAACAAGTAAATGAATCATCACAGAAGTTAATAAGTCGGTTATTTAAAATGTTGAATCTAATCACAGCAGGGATGGGTCAAGCAATGATTGTTGTAAGAAAATTCCTTTTTCCCACTAGGAAAATTAGATAATGCACAAAAACCCTGTACAGAATACCTTTTATAAGAGCATGGCATTATTTTTGTTCTAATACATTTTATTTTTTTAAATTTTATAAGATCAGCTTTTTCTCAACATAGGGGTTCATATCTGATGTTTACACATGTATATATAATATATGTAGAGATAATAAAACATGTCAAAAAATAAGACATTACTAAGGCAGCTTAGAAATGCTACATATTAAAACAAAATACAAAGTTGCTACATACATAACAACCAGTTCTACCGTTATGTTCTCAAGCTGAGTATTGATATATGTTCAACATCTGCAATTGTTTATGGGATAATACTATTAAATATGGGCATAACAACCATAAAGGACAGTTGTCTGTTTACAATTAGAATGTGTACTTGTGCACATACACCTATAAGGTGGATAAAAAAAATCTACTTAAACTTAAAAATTTGATAACTCAACAATTATCCCTTAACATTGAATAAAGTTTCTTTTGAAACTTCTCTTGATATGACTTCATCTCTGACACAAAAAAATTTGAAATGCATATAAAAAGTTTTAAAGTCATTCACTTCCTGATTATTTTATAATGTAGTCTTCTAAAATGCGATGTCATAACTAACGTAAAAATTTACAATGCCCTCTTATATTACACCAAATGCAATTGAAAGGGGTCATGAACTCCACAAATTGGGTCACATAAAAACTGAGTCATGATTTATTAAAATGTTCAGAATCATGTGTTTATGTGGAAAAGCTTATTCTAAATTCCTCTATTAATGCATGCTGTGGGTGTCAACAATGCTAGTTAGTGCAAAACACCCAAAGTATGAAAGAATTTAATGAAAAGATTCTTAACAATATCAATTTCAAAATGTTTCTGTTCATATTCATGAATATATATTTTTACATCTAACCAGATTTAATCTTCTACAGTTTTTTTTTTTCCACATCTGTAAATGAATTTTTCAAACATGCATCGTCAATGAAAGCTCAAAATGAACTCAACAAATTTCTAGTCACTAATCTATTTTTATATTTCCTAAAAATAAATATTAGTCACACACATCTGATACCATGTATAATTTCTTGGTAATAAGTGTGGCAGTACATGTAGCTTTTCTCCATCTTTTTTATTAATTCTATTTCACCATGTCAGTTTGACTCAAAAATTAGGCTTGTTAAACTGAGAAATGATTATACTTGTGCATGACATCCACAATAAGAATAATGAACTATTCAAAATATATTCATGGGAAGGATAGACATATTGCTTGGGTTGTCAATTACAATAATGATGTACTGATAAAGTAATCCCACAGATGCTTCATTAGCACAGTTATCTGAGTCTCTGTGCAGGTATGACAATGATGTTGTGTTCTCTGTACTCTGAAGGTGATTTCCATGGAAACTTAATAGGTTTTTTCACTACATGTAAGACCTTTAAAAGAAACCTGCAAAGATACAGTTGAATTCCTAGCATGGAGTTTCATGCGTAAGCAATCCAATAAATGTACAGTTTCTGGTATGTATTTGTGCTTAAACATGAAAGATGAAGGTGCACATATCTAACAGCATATCCACTGCAAAGTGGTGGGTCTTAAATCTTTTGCTTACCTCTCACCTCCTTACGTTTTACACCACTGAAAATTCAACCAGTTTTGCTGTTGACAGGACTGTGAATAAGATATAATATAATAGATAGGAAGCAAAATGCAAAATCATACACAATGAAAATTACTTGGTCCACTTGATCGTTCCAGAGTTTATATCAAGTTGTAAGATAATTCCTGCATACTACTTGCAATCAGAAGTCAGTTAATGGCAGTCTTCAGCAGGAGTATATCTTCATGGCGGCATATAAAGCATATTCAGCAGATTGGTATTATCTAATTCACAGCACCGTCCAGAGCAAGACTGGTGGGCTTCTCAAAATTGGGCAACTTGAGAAGATGAGAGGTAAGCAAAAGATTTGATAGCTCCTGAGATGCAACTGGGTCAATAGATGGTCATCATTTCACAGTTATGTGCACCTACATATATTTATTTCATACCTTAGCAAAAATAGTACAACAGAAACCATTAACAGGAGTGCTAAAACATGCACGTAACTCCATCCTATCAACTTCCCTCAGGGAAGTGATCTTTCTTCTTAAAGTTGAAGAATACCATCCCATTTCACTTGAACCCTAAGATGGGATTGAGCTACATATATATCCTTGTCAAGCAATCTCAAATATTGTTTGCAATTGATAATGGTGCTTGTTGTATGGCCGGGAAGGGGGGGGGGGTATTTTCTATATTCTTAACTTAAGGATATATTCACTTTGCATTCAAATTATGCACATCATGTTCAGTCATGAACATAAGTGAATCCCTGAACTAAAAGAAAATTTACTATGTCATAACATGCGTGTATAAGCAATTATTTTGATAAAAACACTCTTCACCCAAACTAGATCTTGGACATGGACTGACAAGAAACTTGTATTTCCAATGAGCTCTTTTAAATGTTTGCAGCAAATATATTAGCATGGTGAGGTAATTTTTCATCATTCAAAATAAATTCTGAACTCTTAACCTGCATTTAACCTGAAATGAAAGGTTAAACAAACAAACACTGTATTACTTGTTTGATAAAATTAATGCCGACTAGCACCGACTGTTGAAGCTTAAAACATATTTTTCTACAGCTTACATTTAAATTTAAACAATAAAAACAACTAAGGAGTAAAAGTATAATCCAAATATTTATCTAAGAATTACACTTCAAATAAGATGGGGTTTAAAGTGAGAAATCATTGAAAACATACCTTGATCTTCAAGTGCGTAGCCTTCACTTCCTCCATGATTACGAGGACTACAAACATTTTAGGGAGACATAATGAAAAAATACTCGAATTTTATTAATATTCATTTGGAAATCAAGCATTGTTTATTTACATTTTTTGGTTGGTTATTTATTGTTAAATTGAATTTAAAGAAATATATTCAATACATATCGTATGGCTATATGAAATAAAATACCGCATTTTATTAACCCTCTCCTCTGCTCTCCCGAAATGAACATTTTTACCCACAATTCCAAGAACAGCATGAAGACGGAAAGAAGGTGCACAGGGCCTGATGGCAGGGTGTAAACAAACATATTAAAGTATAGGGAAATCATTGCATAATTTTTTTTGCCACAGAATGGATACCAAAAATGCTTTCCTTCTTGGCAGCACAGCCGCTGCCGTTATGGCTGGTGTCTACATCTTATATGGTCCCTCAGAAAGAAAGTCGAAGCTGAAAAAAGGTAATGCACAACCTGAAAGAATCTGAGTGTGAGGCGATTTGGTGCATTTCAATCAATATGCTATAGTATAACATCTAATTTGGCCCATACCAATGTATGTGTAAATAAGATAAATAATAAAAGTAGCAACCAGTGGTGCACCCAAAAAATTATGAGATGAATTTTTGATGAACCCTGTTACCTGTACTAATTCCAGACACCTGTCCGGGGCTGAGGAACTTAGGCAATACCTGTTTCCTGAATGCTGTCCTGCAGGCCTTGGCACCATGCTACTACACTGTACAGTGGCTGGGGGACTTTGTGGACAAGAGGATTAACAAGGGTTACACACAGTGCATCGCTTTTGCGCTCATTAAAATACTGAAAGGTATAGGTTATTTTTAGCTGTTTTTTTCCCAAAGAATGTGATATTACAGTATATGTAGCATGGTATTAGAAAGCATGTTCCACTCAAAGATGTAAAGCAATTTATACAAAGTATGTTTAGTGTAACATGCAAAATATCTTTTTCCTGATAAGATTTTAACCCTTGTTAATATCAAACTTTGTCAACTACAACACAACCTTTATTTTATGCTGATATTTTTGCCTAATTTGTCTTTAGTTCTAAATAACCAAGGGGACACAGAACATACAAACAGTGCATTGGAAGTTGTGGAAAATTTGAGACTTAGGCGTTGGGTCATACCACCTACAGAAGAGCAGGTAAAGAATACTCATCTATATCTCCAAAGACATGTATATTGTGTTACATAACTAAACAAGGTTTAAAATTTTTTTCAGATATACACAATGTCATTTGTATCCACTCAGATAGTGTGCTAAACAATAGCTGAGATATATCAGAGCTATTTGCACTCCAATATTGTAGTGCCTGTTAAGTCAGGAAATCTCTTTTTCAAGGAAACTCTCCGACGAGGTGACCTGATACACACCATAATATTGGAGCACAATTAACTCTGATTTTGCTGCTGGTTTGAAGGAATTTTAATTAAGCCACTGTATTATGATCATATTTGTCTTGTACTAGCACGCTTTCATAAGTAACACATCTTGTATTTCCAATGAGCTCTTTTAAATGTTTGCAGCAAATATATTAGCATGACATCTTGTGTTAGTTGTATGAAACAATCTGTATGGAAGTGAAAGATAGGAGGGAGATGGAAATAAGTTCATTACCAGTTGCAGTTGGATCATTTTCTTCTTTTTTCTAGGACTCTCATGAGCTGTTCCATGTACTAACAGAAACATTGGAAGAAGAGAGTACCAAGTACCCAAGTGTTGTGTCTATCTTTGATGTCAGTAGCATTTATGTAAGTCTTAAGGCAGTGTAGAAGTAAGTGATTGTCAAGTGCTTACCTTGGATTTTACATTTGCACATAAACTGAATCTTTTTAAAGACATGTAAATAGTGTCATGAAACTCCTGATATTAATGATTATAAAACTTATATTCATAATAACATTATTTCAAATTTATGTTGTCATTTCAAATTGTAAATATTTGACCATTTTAAAACTTACCTGTACTTTTTGTATGTGACTACAAGGATTCTAATATAAAGTACCAACCAAAAGGCAGAGCAGCTACAAGATGCCAGGGCCTGCTACCCATTATCCCCTGCAGAGATTCTGAGCATCCATTTAGAGGACTCCTTGCTAGTCAGCTACAGTGCAAGTTATGCGGTTACAAGGTGAGGCATGTGGTATGAGTAGCACTTGTACCATATGTATGTCTCTGCTTTTTGGAAAAGTACTGAAAGATTTCTCTTCCAATTGCTGTGTAAGTTTCTTTAATATTTCAGATATAATTACTGAAAAGTTTCACCTCTTTGATGTGATAGATTTTTGTATAAAAAGATTTTAAAATTTGCTAACAGCTATTACAATGAGAACAGATGCAATCTTGGATATGTTTTCTTATTATTTTATTCCTTTAACTCGTGATGTTTAGTTTTAAAGCTATGTTTTTATGCCTGTCAAATAATTGTTTATGAATGTATATTAATTGCATGTTTGCTTTTCTTTCTATTTTCTTATCAGAATCCAGTGAGATATGATAAATTTGACAGCTTGTCTCTTAGCATTCCTCCTAACCAGTATGTCTGGGTAAGTACATATATTTATTAAGCCAAATAATTTATTTTTGAACCAAATTTGTACAGAGTACATGATTCTTAATTTTGTATCCTGAACAAAGTTCCTTTAACATAGTTCAAATGGTCGTTTTATTGAATATTTTTAGCTCTGTGAGCATTTTTACAGTACATTTTGGGCATCTTTGCCAAAATGTGTTAAAATTAATCATCTGAAAAATATTAATGAAAAATGACAGCATTAACATGTTAGCATTATGTCAACATCAACAAAATGTAAGGTTTATTTCCTACAGTATAATGATAAATCCTACAATTTCCGTGTTTTCAGGTACCTGTGACACTAGATCGCCTCCTTCGTCACTATGTGATGTCTGAGTATGTGCAAAATGTTGAGTGTCAGGGTTGTGCCAAGACATTACATGGCAACATATCACAATGTCACAATAGCAAACCACTCCCCAAAGCCACCTTTATGAAGAGACTTACTATTGGAAAAGTAAGATACTCCTTAAATAGTTAAATATGAAGATAAGTACTGTGACAGACTATAAATATTTTGATATCCATTAATTGTATTTAAGGTTATTCAAAAGCTAAAGGTAGTTCATTGTATTTTTAGAAGGTATAGGGAACACAGCATTCTGTGGGATATAGATTTAGAGCTTAAACAATTCATACTGTTCTTAATTGTTTGGTTGCTTATATTCCTCAAGTAAAAAGTTTGATGCTAAAATGGTTTATGTTGTTTCTTTATAGCTGCCCCAGAATCTATGTATCCACATACAGAGAACAATATGGCTGAACAATGGCATGCCTATGAAGAGAAATGATCATGTTGAATTCCCAGAGGTACTAGATATGAGTCCATATGTGTACCACAAGAGGAAGGCCCCAGACCTATCTGTAGGGTTGGCAAATGGGCTGTTTGGTCTGCAGGGTGGTAGCTTGTTCAATAACAGGTAACTTCTGTGATTAACTATGCTAATGTAAATAAAAAAGTTATGTCTATTGATTCAGTTAAACACCAACCAATTTATCTATGTGTCAGCATGTTTTTTTTTTTTTTTTAACAATTTCCAGCAAAATATTTTTTATATCTCATATTTTCTTAGATAATTTCATCTGAAGTGAAAGAAATGAAATATCACAAATGGATGATTATATATATATATATATATATATATATATATATATTTTTTTTTTTTCTTTATCTTTTAGACAGAAATTCAACTCAGCACCAAAACCAGCTGTGTCCAACATGAAGAAAAATATGGGAAACAATCCACTAATGACACCCATTACTCAGCAAACAAGCTGTGAACAGCAAACAAACCAAAGAAACTCCCCCCAGAGTGAAATGGCAAAAACTGAACTCCAGTTAAATGATACATGTTATACTGAAATAGCTGCCAGTTGTTACACTGAGTTCAGTGTAAAGCAACCGAAAGAAACTGATCTAAATAAGTCCAAGACAGAAGTGGATGTGAGTGTCAGTAGAGGGACATTGGAGGAGTGTGATCTCAATCAGAGTACAGATGGTGATGAAAGCTGTGAAACAGATAAGTCCGTGCATGAAAAATCCCTGCAAAGCGTTGTGAAACCTTCTGACAACCTTAATATAGTAGAGATAGTAGAAGATGAAAAAAGAAATACTGAGGCCAGAACAGAGATGGATATTGCTCAACCAAAGTCAGAAATTGCTTGGTCAAAGAAGGAAAATGCTCAATCACCTACTCTAAAAGAGAATTCAAAATTTTTGGGGTCCCAAGATAATATCAAATTCCATCTCCAGAGACAGGAAAGCAGTCCAGACAGCAAATACAGGCTAGTGGCAGTGGTGGTTCATTTAGGAGATGTGTTTTCTGGACATTTTGTTACATACAGACGAGCCCCATCTGGCTGTGGTCAGAGACATAATGAAAAATGGTTGTATACGTCAGACGAACATGTCTCTAGAGCATCTCTTCAGTCAGTACTGCAAGCAGAAGCTTATTTGTTGTTCTATGAAAGATTTTAAGTGCACATTTTCAATTTTATTTCATCATCTGTTTTAATTTGTCCTTATGCAGCTGGATAGTTTCCTCATATGGCATTTATTTACTCACCTTTTTAAACCACAATGGTGATAATGAAATTGTATGATAAATGAAGTGTCACGTTGGAGTGTTTCCTTATGATTAATCAATGTAATTTTTCTGCCGGCCCGTGATCTAGCCCATTTTTCGTATTTTTTAAATTGTTTGATATGTCGTATCTTAAGGAATCGTATGAACTTTCTCATGGGTATTTAAAACGATGTTAAAGATAAAGTACAGGGATATTTAAGGACAAGAGTTTTGACACTCATTTCTTTTATCTGTCATTCCAGCGTATTGATATTCCAGTGCCACGTTGGATGAAAGTATAATTTATGTGCAATGTATCAAACTTGTCAGGGTAATTTCTCTGAATTTAAATGAAACATAACGCGAAATGATATTATTATCATTGGCATATGTCATGTACGTCACAGAAAGTGATTATAAAGCTCTTCCTATTAGTATCCTAACACCAGGATTTTAGATGTCTGTAGATATGAGCCCTGTAATCCAACGCGTCCATCGGTGATGAATTCTTAATAAGACGCATATTAGGGGTCTCTCGGTGCTAAAAAAGAACACGATAAGACTACAATCATTTTGCTGTATCAGCTTTAAACGGGGAATCGCTCGAGTATTTTAAATATTTTTGTAAGCATATATTTGTAAGCCACGCCCAATCATTTTAAATTCTACTGTTACATCGTCGATGACCGAAAGTAAGTATTTGTTAAAGTACTTTGAATTAGAGCCTATAAACGCGTTGTACCAATATTGGCGTGTACTGAAGCATGGCATCAGAGCAGAGCAGAGTAGATTCCACATTTGGATGTGGTGGATACGTCAAACAGACAGCGTGCATACTTCCCACGGGTAAAACTTTCCCATAGTAATGTTTGAACTTGGCGAAGACTGGGTGGTTATCTCTCAGGCGTTGGTTAGCTCTGTGGAGACTGCACATGTGATAACAATTCACTCTAGCACATCAGCAAAGTCAAGCACGAACAGCTAGACAGATCGTCGATTCATAAGAACTTCATGCAAAGATAATGCGTGATTTTATCTAGATGAATTGCGGAATAACCGCCACCTGTTGTCAGCAGTATTTTTACACCGCCACCGCTTGGTGCTTCAGCCGCGTAAGAACGACGCAAATGTTGTGTTTCAGCATATATTTGAAAGTGTTAGTTCCAGTGTTAATTTAGGAGTGAATTCGGTCCGTGTAGAATCGTGCAGTGCCACCAGGCAGGGCGTTTGACGCGTGCCGGACAGAAAAAAAGCCAAATTTATTTTAAGTAGATTAAATTTAACTCCGCTCCACAGCTTGACATTTTCCTTGAAAATTGAGAAAAGGAGATGAATGTTTTGTGATATATTTTCGGTTATATTTGGTTATTTCTCTATGAAGGAGCGGACTGCTAAATATTTCATCAGGCATGTTAATCAAAAGTTTTTTTGTGATAAAACTGCCTTTAAAACTTCAATCTATTTCAGAAAAGAATTTCAGCTGCTGTGTTATGTTATAAGAATGAAGTAATTTTTCTTCGGTCAACAGCTTAATATTGAAATAGTTATTACCTCCAGTATTTCGATGTCTAGCAGAACATCTTCATCAGGGAATGAGACTACCCCTGACCTCTACCTCCCTTTCCTAAGTCAATAGGTGTGGGGAGGTGGGGCAATTATATCTCCTGAATAGAGGCTATTCACTTTTACTTCATTCTTCATTCTTTTAATCTATTTTTTGTGAATCTTGTAAACATAATAATGCATATGAAGAAATTCTTCTTCGGGACCTATTTTGAAGCAGACCAACAATATCTCGACCTCGCTCATTGAGCACTCGCTCAATATTTTCTTGCCATTCCTCGTCTAGTCAAATAAATTCGTTTTTCATTGAGTTTATCCGAAATGCCAGCAATTATACATTTGAAAGGGCAATAGCAATCATATCAAAATGTTCACAGGAGTTATTAACAGGTGGAATCGATTTTTTTCTGTATGTAAAATTCTTTCAAGAAGACTTATAATTTAGACTTAGTTGAAATTCTAATGTCTTTAAATAATAAATTGGCACTTTGCAATGGCGACTATTTATTGGCTGCCATGAGAAACCGCAGTAAGCAACGATAGGGATATTGCAGATTATCTTGGGATTAATGAAGATATGAAGATGAAGATAGTACTTGCGTCCAGATCATTGCCAGTGAAAATTAACTACGTCTCTTGCCCTTATGTCACGTGACCTCTACGGTAGCCTACCTGATACAGGTTATGGGACACCAGGTTGACACAACTAGTTCCCTAGCCTAAGACAAACATGCTAAAGATATGGATTTGAAGATTGGATTTAAATTCTTATCAAATGAGTACATTTTTCTACCTAACCCTGACATGCGTATTATGTGATTATCGACATCTGACATGTCACGTTCGCTGCCGGGAAATTGAGCGAGGAAAAATCACTGCTGGCATTAACGATTACATGGAGCAGGTTGTAAATTTCACTTTTACCGAAAGCTGGAAAGTGGCAGAGAAAATTGAAACTGGAAGTATTGAGTCCAGGGCGTGTTTATCTTTTGTTTTGTGAAGGTTTATTGGACAACTGTTGGGATGCTTAGTTTCATAATATGAGCAGAGGCCCGTGCGGTCTATTCGATGGAGTGTGTATGATTCAAGAAACACGACAAGTGCCTTTTACACTTAATAGACCTTGTGTTTTTGAAATCGAAAAAGATTAGAGACCCTTTGAAGTCGATTTATTACACAGATTATTTTGTGGTGATTTTGCTGGACCAAAGGTTGATGCGTTTTACTCATGTCCAGCACGCGGCCAGATTATGTTTATTTTTCGATTCACTGGTTCAGGGGGTATAGAACGAAACAAAATTACGATGCACAATTCTTCAAAGTGGAATTCGGTTCACAACGGTCAATATCAGCTCCAGTAATGAGTCGCAAGGGACTCTTGCGCACTGTTCTAGCATGAGAACTCGGAGCCTAACTATTCTGAGTCTCATTTTTGCAAAATTCCTGGAAGTAGCGACGACAGCAGTGCTGTTGAAACTTGGTGTACTATTTCCCTGGGAGTCTACCACCTCCACGCCGTTTTCGGGACAAACGTCAGCAGGGGCTGTCCTGGTGGCTAAAGAGAAGATCGAACGTAATTTTCCAGGACTTAAAAATGCTGGTTACAGTTTCGACTTTGTGTGGCGAGACACAAAGTGCGACTCGAGCGTGGCCCTGGGGGCGGCCGTGGAGTTGTACTTACAAGAACACGTCAGCGTTTTCATTGGACCGCCCTGTTCAAAAGGTGAGGGATAAGTAGTTTCTAATGATGCGTTCTCGGCACCTGTAGTGACCCGCGATTGTTCTCCTTGCCATTAATGTGGTTTGTGTGGTTAAGTTGTATTTTTTTAATTCTTATTTTGAAAACAGCAGAGAAGAAAGGGTGGTATAAGAGAAGGTTATGTTTGTGTTCGTTTGTTAACAGCCTAACTCAAAAAGTTACATATGGATTTTTATATATATTTTTAAAGATAGACCTTAAATACGCTAGTTTTCAATCGATCAGATGTTGGTGGTGATCCATGAATTTATTAATAATAAAGAGAACTGAGCCTGCGCTCTCTCAGTGCTTTACTAGTTAGAGTTAGATTTTTCTCACTTTATTTCTAAATAACGTTAGAAAATATGGAAGAAGGAAAGGGTAGTGTCAGTTTTCATTCTTCGTATTTACTCCTCCAATGGTTGATTAAACAAAACAAAGTCAAAAATAACTCATCGCAATGAAAGCATGCGAGTGCAACAGTGATAAAAACGATGCGTAACACGTCTGAATTTTGAACGGACCATTTCATTGAAATAAGTCCAAGTTTGTTGGCTGTTGTGGACTCATTATCAAATGGAGACTGTTGGGCATTGCATGGTAAGATGGGCAAATGGTTTGAGCTCAACTCTTGGCATTTTTCGACAGAACACAACATTTTAAACAATTTTCAGTTCAATGTGCCATCTGCATTTGTTGAATTTAGTGAGGGCCCCCATGCAAGGATTTGATCTTAGGTTTTATTTTAATGGACTGAGATTAATTACTCTAGATGTACGAAAAGGCTAGAATGACTGAAAATGATTGTAAACTGCGACGTCTTAGATGGCAAAGCAAGAAAAATAAAAAAGGGAGAAATGTGCTACAGTCTAGAAATGTTTTTCTCTTCATGATCTGCCTTGGTTTTCATTACAATTTACATTTCAATATTTTACACTGTAGCAAAACATTTGTTAGTTCAAAAATCAAATCATTTTATGCAAAATACTATTATATGTAATGGCATAAAGAAAACCTAGATTTTGACAAAAAATTTTGTGTGGAGTCTGAATATATGTTATGTTTATCCTTATAGGGATGACGCAGTGCCTAATGTCACAACAACAAACCAAGGAATAAATAAGATAAGATAAAACAAATTGTTTGACCTTCAAAAATGGTCTGTAAAAGAGCCTACAGTTATAAGGTGAATATCCCAGCGAACGAATAAGAAATATAAAATCTATTGAAATAAACTAAAAATCGAAAATACTCTTGAAAAGAGCTACTTAGTTTTTGATAGCACAGCTAAAAATCAAACAGTGATATCTGAGTATCCAAATAATTTAAACACCAACAAATGATTCATCAGTTGTGTATATAAATGTTTCTCAGATGACATTAAAACGGATGCTTCTTATCTGGCATGTAATCGAATCATGTTTTGTGACCAAAGAGATTGGCAGAGAGAAAGCTTTTACGGAGCCGAAAAAATTCCCCCCAACAATATTCAGTCTCTCAAAATAGCCTGAGTTAAATTTCAGTCCCAGCGCACATCAGAACAATGCCAGTGGTTAGTTCCCTGTTTTCAATGACAACTTTAACCCTGCGGAGCATTACACTTTTTTTGCTACTGTTTTTGCAGCCTCATTAAATGCCATTTCTTCAGACGTCTATAAACAGGGTTGTTATACATCAGGGCTGAGCTAATCTTAGCAAATACACGAAAATAAATTACAAAGCCATTGCCTTGGTATCTCGTATGGCCCTTTAGGATTATTTTCAGTCGACTGTGATTTCTATTCTAGAGGTCCATTGGTACGCGTTCGCTTATTTCCTCCAGCTTACGTTATCTTTATTATTTAGCTGATAGGCTGCTGAAACGCTAGCAATCAAATAGAAATCAGTATCTAAGCAGTTGACAACTTATTTGGTGGGTAAAGTGCAAAGATAAATTTTAGATGAATTGTAACCAAAGCAGTTTCACATTTGGTTGGCTGTTGTAAAACAATCAATTATTCATTGTTTTACTTGCGGTGAAAAGTCAAAATAAAAGTCGCGTGTGAAATGACCCGTTGTTCGCGGTTTGTTATCCCGCATGAAACTACTTACTCTTGGGACTGTCATGAACATACATGTCATAATAAAACGTCCACACTTTATGTATCTGAGCCTTAAAAGCATTTATTCACTTTCTGGAAAGAGAGAGTGATAGAGAGAAAGTGAGAGAGATATAGACAGTTTAAGAGACGTATCACACCATGTAAAATATTTACGATTTCAGCCACCAGGTCTGTAAGTTTACTAGCGTCTTACTGGAATCTCCCAGTGATATCGTGGGTCTCACCAGCCCCAGACCTCAGTTATAAGAAGACATACCCAACACTGTACAGAACCCTGCCTTCCACGGATAACATAGCTGCCTCCCTGACTACTGTATTGGACTATTACAAATGGAAAAAGATCGGTGAAGATCCAAATTATTTTTTTTATCTTGGAACCATGATGCACGTATCGTACTCAGTATTTACATGTGTCATGGGCCCAAATTTTTATGCGTAATTCGGTTAGAATCGCTGGGGCAAACGATCTGTTAAGTTTATGATTTTAGATTGTTATTAAGATGAAGTTGTTGAAAAATAATTTTTAAAAATGCTAGTGATAGTATGCATTTTCATCAATTAATCTTTTCTTTTTTGAACTGTGTTCTAAGAAGAAGTATGCGGATAATTTCCAGGTCTCCTGAAGGCAGACAACACGGACTGTAATGTTGTTGGTAACGATACAACAGAAATCATAACTTCGAGGCGGGATCTCCATCTTAACTATTTCATGTCATTCGCTGACTCACAAACGAGTGACTTCAAGTCTATTTTGGAGGAAATGAAAAAGAAATGTAGGAGTGAGTAAATTTGCTTTGATGTTTATAGTTTAAAACAAAATAAAAAGTACTACATCCGATAAATTGTTAAATTGACAAGATATTTCCCGCCCAACAACGTTGAATCAAACAGAGCTAGCGAACCACAGCACATTATTTCAAATCCACTAAACAATTCGATTTTTACGTGAAAGGCTGTACAAAGAAGGGTTTGTGTTCTCCGGACATTCAATCCGGTTCTAGTAGAAAAAAGGAAAAAAGGGGGATCGATTGAGCTTATGCAGCACTTAAAGTTATCTTATGACACCTGATCTCAATTCAATTAGTTAAACGTTGAGAGGCAGACCCATTCCTTTGTCAACGCTGTTGGATAATCGGGTTTTTCTTTTCTCTTCAAGTTGTTCTCATCTGCGTCCCCAACACTAAGCAGCTGGGCAAACTGCTCTTAGACGCTCATGACGCTGGGTTTACAAACGGCGAATACGTCTTCGTCAATTTTGAGATCCTGTCCAATATACCAACTGACAAAGAACCACCATGGATTTCAAATACAAAAACGAGGAGAGAGGATTTGAAAGATGCGTCACAATTGTTATTCACGTTGTCAGCAAGGAAACAGGCTGACGCCCAATATGAACAGTTTGAGAAGGACACCCGCACTCGGACGGCAACTCCACCTTTCAACTACACAATGTCTTCTTATCAAAAGGTGGGACAGAATTACTGTAACTGTAGATCATCAACAGCTATTCATTGTCTGGCCTTTTAAGATTAATCTATGTATGTTTTGATAGAATAATACGCAAAACGAGCTCCCAAATTTGGTTTTAATTTACAGTCATTCATTTTACCTTGTGACACAATTGCGTGAATAATGTGAATAATGATGATACTGTTTAGGGATATTAGTAGTAGTAAAATCAAGAGTGCCTTGGAAAAAGGAAAGAACATATATATGATTATAAAAAATTGCCATTTTGAAAGGACAAAGATGACAATTCTATTATCGGTGTTGTTCAAACGTATTTATGCAATTCAAAAAACGAAAGAAGAAAAAGGCCCAGAAAGATGGTCTATATATACTGCATAACTGTAATAAATTTTTTAAAAAAGAGCAACAGTGACAGCTTTTTTGAAATATCACTGAATAATACACTCAGTATTACTTTTATAACAATATATATATACATGTATTTATGTATGTATATGAAGGTGGACAGCTATGCAGGGTTCCTCCATGACGCAGTACTTCTCTATGCTCACATGGTGAACAGGGCGGTGACGTTAGGCCTCCTAGGAAACGACACGCTGGCAGTGCTTAACAGTACGAAATATCTTCAGGGATTCCAAGGTAAATGTGCCGTACAGACTGCCTGTTTATTTCATTTTAAATGTCATTTTCATACACAAACTTCCTTTCTTGTATTGTTTTATCATTTACTTCAACTCGGAAGTAGTTCTTTGCGAATATCTCTGACGCTTTCCCTAGAAATGACTTTTGAATCGGACTTTCATGGCGTACTGTTATAAGGGACTTACTTTTAATTATACAAAGCTTTAATTTTCGATATTTATACCCTAATCATTAGGGTAAGTTACAAACACGACGACAGCAGTACAAAAAGATCCGACCTCAGAACAATGCGTACAAAATGTGTTACTAATTGTTTTTGAAATACTTATTCAACTGCTTATGTTTTTGATAAAAGTGAACCTTAGCCGAAACATTTTTGTACTTTTGAAGCATGAGCTTACTGCTCAAGAGAACATTAGCCATTTAAATGACATAATGTATTAAATTTGATGTATTTGCTTTTTCGTATGCGCAACATTCATATCAATCACTTCAGGCGTGACCGGCCAGGTCAAAATGGACGGGAATGGAGACAGAATCCCAACCTTTTTTATAAAACACTATCAGAGAGGAAGTTGGCAGACTGTCGGCACACTATCCGGCACACCGCAGGTGTTTTCCCCAATTCTAAGTGTCCAATGGCCAGGAGACCGTGGAAGCCACCCTCCAGATACTCCAGAGTGCGGCTATCAGAACGAACTATGTGAAACTGGTAAGAGTAGGATATTTTGTCACAGCTATTACTTATTCACATTTTTGCTGATAATTCATTAAATACGGTTCGATAAGAAATCTGGAGTTGATGTGCAAAATAGCAAATTTGAATAAGTTTATTATTATCATCTATAATCACAAACATGAATGTTTAATAGGATATATCTTACAATATGACGAATTCATTGCAGACGTGGTTGCGATTGTGGTAGGTGTTCTGGTTGCAATTTTCGTGGTAATGGCCATCCTATTCCTGTTGCTGGTCTTCAGGTGAGTCGTTTGTGTATCGTTTTAATTAACTGTCCTTGTGATAAATATGCATGAAAATAGATATACACGACTTGCAACTTACAACAATGCTTCAAAATGTAATATAATTGCTACCGTTGTTGGCTTAGCATACAATGTATATTTATATCGGGCGCATCAAGGAGTTATAACAGACTCCTTGGGCGCATTAATATGATTGGTTTAATAAAAACAGAAACATTTCTTGGTCTTTCTTCATTTTAGGAAATATAAACAGTCGGAGAAACTCCGAGAGAGTAGTTGGCAAGTAGACTACAATGAGATTCACTTTCGCAAACAACGTGTGACGACCACTGGTATTGGTGGACGCCCGGGAACGCAGCAGTCTGCCAGACCAAGCACCACCAGCTCAGGGGAGAGACGCATGCATCCAAGGAAACGTTTGGTTCGCTCGGTGCGTCCTGTGGCGCTCTTGTAGTAGTTTGTTTGTCTCATCTGTCTAGAATTTTTAGTTTGATTGCATAGATGAGTATTTTCGTTCTTTTGTTAGTATGTTTTGCGATCGGTCGCTCCATTTTTACGTTCTTTCCTTCCTAGTTTATATTCTAATCTGTATATTCAGCTTTTAATCATTTTTGAGATTGAGCTTCAAACACAATATATTTCAGGAAACACGTGGGACGATAGGTCTTGGCTCTCTCTGTAGTCTTGACAAATCCCAACAAATCTTTGCACCCATTGGTCAATATAAGGTGAGCTTAAGATAATCAAACAGAAGTATTTCTGGGCAATTATTTCATCTTGAGATTGTACGCTGGGCCAGGGGTTCTAGAGAACGTTGTGTTCCCTTCTAAGGCACCAACTATTCATGTTTCGTACACGGCTGGTCATTACACGTATAAAATAAGCCACTTTTCAGAGCTGAAATGTAACTAATTGCTGCAAAAATTGTGCACACCAAACAATATAACAATATATTTATGCATTGAATTTTCATTACAGGGTCACCTCGTTGCAATAAAAGGAATGCGAAAAAAGGTTATCATAAACAAAGAAGCAATCAGAGAGTTTAAAATGGTAAGATTATAAAGGTTTTTCTATCTATTCATTTATTTATTTTTTTCTTCGTCTACTTATTATTATCTTATCTTAAAAAAAGGCGCTACTATACAGGGCAAAAGATTCCCGGTTTAATGAATTATTATCTTATCTTATTCCAATATTTATCCATTTGTTTTCTTTTCTCTGCTCTTTTCTTTTTATGNTATGTCAACGCTGTTGGATAATCGGGTTTTTCTTTTCTCTTTAAGTCGTTCTCATCTGCGTCCCCAACACTAAGCAGCTGGGCAAACTGCTCTTAGACGCTCATGACGCTGGGTTTACAAACGGCGAATACGTCTTCGTCAATTTTGAGATCCTGTCCAATATACCAACTGACAAAGAACCACCATGGATTTCAAATACAAAAACGAGGAGAGAGGATTTGAAAGATGCGTCACAATTGTTATTCACGTTGTCAGCAAGGAAACAGGCTGACGCCCAATATGAACAGTTTGAGAAGGACACCCGCACTCGGACGGCAACTCCACCTTTCAACTACACAATGTCTTCTTATCAAAAGGTGGGACAGAATTACTGTAACTGTAGATCATCAACAGCTATTCATTGTCTGGCCTTTTAAGATTAATCTATGTATGTTTTGATAGAATAATACGCAAAACGAGCTCCCAAATTTGGTTTTAATTTACAGTCATTCATTTTACCTTGTGACACAATTGCGTCGTTTCAGTGAATAATGATGATACTGTTTAGGGATATTAGTAGTAGTAAAATCAAGAGTGCCTTGGAAAAAGGAAAGAACATATATTTGATTATAAAAAATTGCCATTTTGAAAGGTCAATAGATGACAATTCTATTATCGGTGTTGTTCAAACGTTATTATTCAAAAAACGAAAGAAGAAAAAGGCCCAGAAAGATGGTCTATATATACTGCATAACTGTAATAAATTTTTTAAAAAAGAGCAACAGTGACAGCTTTTTTGAAATATCACTGAATAATACACTCAGTATTACTTTTATAACAATATATATACATGTATTTGTGTATGTATATGAAGGTGGACAGCTATGCAGGGTTCCTCCATGACGCAGTACTTCTCTATGCTCACATGGTGAACAGGGCGGTGACGTTAGGCCTCCTAGGAAACGACACGCTGGCAGTGCTTAACAGTACGAAATATCTTCAGGGATTCCAAGGTAAATGTGCCGTACAGACTGCCTGTTTATTTCATTTTAAATGTCATTTTCATACACAAACTTCCTTTCTTGTATTGTTTTATCATTTACTTCAACTCGGAAGTAGTTCTTTGCGAATATCTCTGACGCTTTCCCTAGAAATGACTTTTGAATCGGACTTTCATGGCGTACTTTTATAAGGGACTTACTTTTAATTTTACAAAGCTTTAATCTTCGATATTTATACCCTAATCATTAGGGTAAGTTACAAACACGACGACAGCAGTACAAAAAGATCCGACCTCAGAACAATGCGTACAAAATGTGTTACTAATTGTTTTTGAAATACTTATTCAACTGCTTATGTTTTTGATAAAAGTGAACCTTAGCCGAAACATTTTTGTACTTTTGAAGCATGAGCTTACTGCTCAAGAGAACATTAGCCATTTAAATGACATAATGTATTAAATTTGATGTATTTGCTTTTTCGTATGTGTTACATTCATATCAATCACTTCAGGCGTGACCGGCCTGGTCAAAATGGACGGGAATGGAGACAGAATCCCAACCTTTTTTCTAAAACACTATCAGAGAGGAAGTTGGCAGACTGTCGGCACACTATCCGGCACACCGCAGGTGTTTTCCCCAATTCTAAGTGTCCAATGGCCAGGAAACCGTGGAAGCCACCCTCCAGATACTCCAGAGTGCGGCTATCAGAACGAACTATGTGAAACTGGTAAGAGTAGGATATTTTGTCACAGCTATTACTTATTCACATTTTTGCTGATAATTCATTCAATACGGTGCGATAAGAAATCTGGAGTTGATATGCAAAATAGCGAATTTGAATAAGTTTATTTTATCATCTGGAAGCAAGCATGAATGTTTAATAGAATCTATCTTACAATATGACGAATTCATTGCAGACGTGGTTGCGATTGTGGTAGGTGTTCTGGTTGCAATTTTCGTGGTAATGGCCATCCTATTCCTGTTGCTGGTCTTCAGGTGAGTCGTTTGTGTATCGTTTTAATTAACTGTCCTTTTGGTAAATATGCATGAAAATAGAAATACACAACTTGTACCTTACAACAATGCTTCAAAATGTAATATAATTGCTACCGTTGTTGGCTTAGCATACAATGTATATTTATATCGGGCACATTAATATGATTGGTTTAATAACATCAGAAACATTTCTTGGTCTTTCTTTATTTCAGGAAATATAAACAGTCAGAGAAACTCCGAGAGAGTAGTTGGCAAGTTGACTACAATGAGATTCACTTTCGCAAACAACGTGTGACGACCACTGGTATTGGTGGACGCCCGGGAACGCAGCAGTCTGCCAGACCAAGCACCACCAGCTCAGGGGAGAGACGCATGCATCCAAGGAAACGCTTGGTTCGCTCGGTGCGTCCTGTGGCGCTCTTTTAGTAGTTTGTTTGTCTCATCTGTCTAGATTTTTTAGTTTGATTGCATAGATGAGTATTTTCGTTCTTTTGTTAGTATGTTTTGCGATCGGTCGCTCTATTTTTACGTTCGTTCCTTCATAGCTTATATTCTTATCTATATTTAGCTTTAAATCATTTTTGAGATTGAATTTCAAACACAATATATTTCAGGAAACACGTGGGACGATAGGTCTTGGCTCTCTCTGTAGTCTTGACAAAACCCAACAAATCTTTGCACCCATTGGTCAATATAAGGTGAGCTTAAGATAATCAAACAGAAGTATTTCTGGGCAATTATTTCATTCTTGAGATTGTACTCTGGGCTAGAGGTTCTAGAGAACGTTGTATTTCCTTCTAAGGCACCAATCATACATGTTTCGTACACGGCTGGTCATTACACGTATTATATAAACCACTTTTTCAGAGCTGAAATGTAATTAAATGTTGCAAAATTGTGTACACCAAACAAAATAACAAATACAAATGCACTGAATTTTCATTACAGGGTCACCTCGTTGCAATAAAAGGAATGCGAAAAAAGGTTATCATAAACAAAGAAGCAATCAGAGAGTTTAAAATGGTAAGAATATAGAGGTTTTTCTATCTATTCATTTATTTATTCATTTCTTCGTCTACTTCTTATTATCTTATCTTTAAAAAAGCGCTACTATACAGGGCAAAAGATTCCCGGTTTAATGAATTATTATCTTATCTTATTCCAATATTTATCCATTTATTTTCTTTTCTCTGCTCTTTTCTTTTTATATTTGCAAATAAGGCTTCGTTCACATGGAAAGTCTATTTTCTAAAAATCTATTTTATATTCGCGGTATATCTTGTAATCACGGTCTGTGCCCTGAATATCCCGCGGCGTAATTACTAATTCCACGAGAATTAATTACAGCTTTAATTTGTATAAGTAACTGGCTCGCGCTGCCAGTAATTACGCCGCGGAATATTCAGGGCACAGACCGTGATCATAAGATACCGCGAATAGAAAATAGATTTTTAGAAAATAGACATTCCATGTGAACGAAGCCTAAGCCTCGTAAAAATATACGGCCATAACACAAAATAGGTTATTCCACGTCAAGTATTTGGAAAAAACACACAGATAATGTTAAAACCAATTTTTTAAACGTGATTTTAGCTTCGTGACCTGCAGCACGAGAACTTAAACCCCTTTATTGGTGCGTGTGTGGAGCCGCCAAACCCGTGCATCCTTACCCAGTACTGCACCAAGGGCAGTTTGCAGGACGTCATAGAAAACGACGACATAAAGCTGGACTTTATGTTCAAAATGTCGTTTGCTACAGACTTAGCAAAGGTAAGACGAGACTTTAGTGCAATGGCAGATTTAGGGGGGGGGGTCGGGGGGGGGGGTCGGCTTCACATCCGTGCCCCCCCCCTCAAATAATCCTGGATCCGCCCCTGCTTCAGTGTACATACTGTTTACATTATACTTATTTTTGAGCCTACAATTAAAAAAAATCATATCCATAAGTTGTCCAGAATGCATAATTTCAACAAAATAGTTGTAACTTGTAGCAATTTTTAGATATTCTTTTATTACCATTTTATGATGACATGCTCAAGAAAAATAAAGAAAGATTAATGTACCTCTTACTCTCTTGAAAATAGATATGTATAACTTGTAATGATTGTTCAAAATGCTTTAATGTTTTGTTTTATATAAATATACTCTAGGGGTTGGAGTTCTTACACAAAGTCCCCACTCGCTCACATGGTAACCTTAAATCCAGTAACTGCGTTATAGACAGCAGGTGGGTCCTAAAGGTGACGGATTACGGTGCACTCCAGGTGTATAGAGAAGACAGCCAAGATATGGGAGAACACGAGTATTTTACACGTAAGACCTCCATAAATTATTATTATTATATGTAACGTGAAGCGATTTAAATTCAGGGGATTAACGATTGTGTCTCAAATATTAACATGAATTCAATTTGTGATGCCCCTTGATTACTTGTATAGCTTGTCCAGTGAAGCATAATTTTATGGCATAGCCGTACCTCTCGAAAAGCATATATCAGTTGCTTTTAATGTTATTCACACAATTCGATAAAGACATGAAAACAGAAGTCGTAAACTAACGAAAATAGTAAGGAAATATTATAAGTTGGAATTAGTATATTCTTGCTGCTTGTTAGGATTGAACGAAACTTTACGTTGAATGTCATACGAACTGAACTTTCGTCTATAGGTTTTATTTCCACGACTTATACACTCTCAATTCACATGCTTTGTGATACCTTCCTGAATAGGAAACGTGAAAAATAGATTAGAGTCTAAAAATTACAGGTTACCAATCCACCAGTGAATCTGTGAATCTGTTCCGCATGTACATGTCTTCGTGCTTTAGGTCTCCTGTGGACAGCGCCAGAGCTGCTGCGAATGGAGGACAGACCAGCGAAGGGTACCCAAAAAGGAGATGTCTATAGTTTTGCCATCATCTTCCAGGAGATTATGATGAGAACTGGTCCTTACTATTTCAATGATTTGTCACCTAAAGGTAAGTTTCTTCTTCATATTCCATTCTTTTTTCACGTTTGAAACAAAAAATGGTAAATTTGTGCCTTTGAAAATAATAGGTATACAAGATTAAAGTAGAAATTTTTTATTAAAAAGGGATACGATAAGTTTTTGGAATAAAGATCGATTTTGTACATTGTAAAGAAAAATATGCTCTTTTGCCATATGTTCGGAGCAAAACAAATGACGAAGCAGAAAAGCAGAGAAGCAAGAGACTCTAACCAAAGAATTCTATATGTTATCATGAATGTTTCATAAGATGTGATAACGGCAGTTATGGCCGGAGAGGAACCCCCGTACCGTCCCGAGGTAGTCCACGATATGGAGATGAGACCCGAGACACATAAGCTAATGGAGATGTGCTGGAGTGAGGAACCAGAGGCAAGGCCAGATTTCCGCATCGTCAGGAAGAAATTAGTGGCATTAAATGGCGGAAAGTAAGGGAACTGTGATCTGAGTTATCTGAATTGAATACTAAGTCTACTATTATATACTAAAAAAAGTTTCAAATAGTTGGAAAATAATCAGTGTTCGATAGTTTTAAACGGTTATTTTGAAGTAGTTCCTTAGGGATTGTCATTTTAAAGCTTGACAACGGTTTCGTTTGAAGGCGTGTGAACATAATGGACAACATGATGAACATGATGGAATCATATGCCAATAATCTCGAGGACCTTGTGGCAGAGAGAACGGAGGAATTGGAATTGGAGAAAGAAAAAACAGATATGCTGCTCTTCAGGATGCTACCCCCGTACGTAACCTTGTTTGCACCATCACGTTGATTTGTAGAAGGTTTGCTCTTTTGAAAAATACCATAAAGGACGCCTGAAAACGTTAAAAAACACACGAAAGGGGAAGAGAAAGGAACTTATGAAAACCATACAGTCAAAGATGTATGTATACATGTTGCAAAAATACAGTTTGAATGCAGTACAAGATCTTAGCAATGCTTATGCCTTGATACTGGTCTAAAACGTAAAATGCAAGGCAGTGAATGAAATTGGTTTCTATGTTATTCCTTGTATATAAATTTCAAACAATGTGTTCTGTTTTCTTGTTGTAGATCAGTGGCAGAGGCCTTAAAAAGAGGGGAGCCTGTAGAGCCAGAAACCTTTGACGGAGTTTCTATCTTCTTCTCAGATATCGTAGGATTTACTACTATTGCTGCTAAGAGCAATCCGTTACAGGTATTAGATACAAAGAATAACTCTGCATTTCTTTTTTTCTGCAAAAAAAATGAATGATTGCTTTTCGATTTTATCTAGAAAATACAAATACTGTGTACAGTCACTAGTGTAATATATTTATGCTATTTGTGAAGTTTACCAATGTTTGTTACAGGTCGTTGACCTTCTGAATGATCTGTACACCTGCTTTGACTCTATAATTGAGACGCACGATGTTTACAAGGTATATTTTTGCAATATGTTGGTTTTTCTTTGCATACTTTATTAGATTTTCTTTCTTTTCTGTCTGAGGCGCAGCTTAGCAGGTTTATTATATAAGCCGTAAATTTAATTGACGTTTTGCAAACCGAGAGCAATCCAGGCTAAAGTTTAATAAGGCCCGGACCTTAAGCTTGTTTCATTTCGACCAAAGTTGCTTCTTTAAAATATTTGACCATTTTTTCATCACTCACAGTTATTATTATTATTATTATTATTATTATTATTATTATTATTGTGACATGATTCAGTGAAAAAATATATATGAGAATGTTTACAACATCAGGTTGAGACTATTGGTGACGCGTATATGTGCGTAAGCGGACTACCTCAGAGAAACGGCCCCAGACACGCTGGTGAAATAGCCAATCTTGCTTTAGATCTCCTCAGTGCTGTTCTGAACTTTAAGATTCGCCATCTTCCCGAGGAACAGTTACAGCTCAGAGTTGGTCTCCATACGGGTACTTGTGTGGCGGGTGTGGTGGGCACGGCAATGCCAAGGTACTGTCTTTTTGGTGACACGGTCAATATGGCTTCCAGGATGGAATCTACGGGTAAAGGTAAGAGAAAATTTAAGGGGTTTTCATATACTAGTTAATTGGTATTTAGAAGTGACATCTTATCAGGGAAAATTATTCTAAAGAGCAATAAAATATCATGTTTATGTAATGCCTATTATTAGACAGGAGCTGTTTTGTCAAAGTATGCCACAGGGTACCCTGTACCAGGGATGAAGATTAATTTTGTACACTTTTCTCCAAAAGTCTAGAAAAGTGTCATGAATTAACCAGGGACATATTTGTTAATATCTTGTAAAAAATCTATATGTGGCCCTGGTGGAGGGTAGCCACAGGGTATAAAGCTATGAAATGTTTGAAATGCATTAACTTTATCATTTCAGCTTTGTGTATTCATATGAGCAGCGCCATGAACGAAGCACTTATAAATTTAGACTGGGATTTCGAGACTGCAGAGCGAGGTGTAATTGAAGTGAAGGTATTCCGACACTTAACCACTTCTAATTAATTAAGCTTCTTTTGTGTGTATAACTGTTGCTTTCAAATTCAGAAATAACAGTTGCCATCATTTGTGGGTACTGCTCACGGTGACATATATTCTTGCAGGGCAAAGGTTTGCAAACGACCTACTGGTTACTTGGAAAGAAAGGTTTTAACAAGCCATTGCCGCCCCGAGATTCAGTCGGGTGAGTATATTCTTAGTCTTGACAAAAGATCTTAAAGTGTTTTACAACTTTGTTAATATGCAAAGGCTGAGTGCTTTTAATACATGTGCGTGTGCTGTTCGATTTTATTGAATTTGGGTTTGAATTCAAAAAGGCTACATTGAACCAGTGGCGGATTTGAGGTGGTGTCGGGGGAGGGGGGTCCTGACCCCTCCCCCCTTCGATTTCTGAAAGAAAAACTCACCAATGGTCCCCTCTTGAAATTAGAATTTTGACTAGCGAAATCATAGTTCTAAACCGTACTAAATGGCACCAAATGGCTCCTAAAATACCAAATTTTTTCGGGGCCCTTTAGTGGGTCCCGAACCCCAAGCCAACGGGTAGGGGGGGCGAGGGTCGGCTTCTCATCCGCGTCCTGTCATTCTTAAAAAACGGTCCCCCTTCAAATAATCCTGGATCCACCCCTGTATTGAACACTGGGTAGAATTTAGTGTCACACCATTTCGCTTTTTCTATTTTAGATCTGAGAGCACAATGAGCAGCATGGTTGACCTTAACTCCGCCAACAGTTCACCGGAATATGACGAACAGCCCCGAAAACTGTCATCTGGCACGCGCAGTGCGCTGTCTGTGAGCGATAACGCAGAGCTAAAATCTCTCGCAGACATCAGTCTTCACGGGATCGGGCTATCAACTGAAAACTTGAACGACATTTCTTCGGAGCCACACAAACTTAAAACCATGCAGTTTGAGAAATGTAAAATGAACCCTGACAAAGGGACTCCTCCATTGTCTGCAAGACGGAGGTCTTCGACAGTAGCACCACCTGTACCAACTGGAAATAAACCTATGCCGAAACCTATTCGGAAAACCGAGAACACAGAAAATGGTATAGCTGTGAAGCCCGTTCGCGGAAAGCCGAAAGTAGATTTCATTTTTGATCTCCCAGAAATAAAGATAAATTGAGTGAGACACTCACAAGAAAAACATGAAAATTCTAGCTTTCACAGTCTTCCATTGCTTTTATTGTTTGCTGACCTGGATGTGCAACTTAAACGTTGAAAAGGTACTAGCGTTATAGGTGTGCGTTTGTTCAGATATATTTGTGATATTTTGAGCGTTTTAACGACAGGCGTCAACGATACTCAGGTATTTGGTTCGTTGTTAGCCTAAGAGAATGTCTATTCCTTCGTTATTTTACCGTTTTTAAGTTATAAGTTAAGCAAAAGTGATTAAATAAGAGAAGTAGGAGTGGACATTGTTGCTCATGTCTTAGCTATGATAAATGTGTAGAAAGACATTTCCACCTTAAACGTCCACTCAGTGTTTTTAGATCTCAGGAACCTACCTCATTGGGACAACTGACACAATATGTGTTTGGTGTGATGAAAATAAATACACACATATCATCGAAACAGAGACTGATTTTAATTTTAATTTAAAAATATCATATATAAGAGCCATAGAGTTCCCTTTCTCTGTAAACGTCAACTGCATCTTCAGAGCCGTAAATTCTGCTAATACCAAAGAAAGAAAAAAAAGGACGTTAAAAACGTTAAGATTTCCTATTTTAATTCAAATTAAACTATATATCCTAGTTTTTGCAAACCGATGCTGGATATACAAACTTAAATTCATTACAGTAATATTTGTCGTATGTAAAAATGAAACTCCCATTAAAGATTAGCGAGCGACAATAAGGACAAGTTTTGAAACCACAGTGTAAACGCTCTAACAGCCTACATAGGGCTTTAGGTTGGTTCTTGTCTACTGTGTGCTATTTTTAAAAAACGACTGCAATGGGGATGAATTTGGATAAAGGATCCGTGTAAAAGTCACCTTGAGTGTGAGAGGTCACTGGAAAGTCGCCTCCCTACAAGCTACAAACGGCAGAGACATACTGACANATTTAAATAACATTCTTGTTATGGCCCCCCTGCAGTGCCACCACTAGCAAAGAATGACTGTTTTATATTTGCAAATGAGCCTCGTAAAAATACACGGATATAACACAAAATAGGTTATTCCACGTCAAGTATTTGGAAAAACACACAGATAAAGTTAAAACCAATTTTTTTTTAAACGTGATTTTAGCTTCGTGACCTGCAGCACGAGAACTTAAACCCCTTTATTGGTGCGTGTGTGGAGCCGCCAAACCCGTGCATCCTTACCCAGTACTGCACCAAGGGAAGTTTGCAGGACGTCATAGAAAACGACGACATAAAGCTGGACTTTATGTTCAAAATGTCATTCGCTACAGACTTAGCAAAGGTAATACGAGACTTCAGTGCAGTGGCAGATTTAGAGGGGGGGGGGGTCGGCTTCACATCCGTGCCCCCTTCAAATAATCCTGGATCCGCCCCTGCTTCAGTGTACATACTGTTCACATTATACTTATTTTTGAGCCTACAATTAAAAAAATCATATCCATAAGTTGTCCAGAATGCATAATTTCAACAAAATAGTTGTAACTTTTAGCAATTTTTAGATATTCTCTTATTTCCATTTTATGATGACATGCTCAAGAAAAATAAAGAAAGATTATGGTACCTCTTGCTCTCTTGAAAATAGATATGTATAACTTGTAATGATTGATCAAAATGATTTAATGCTTTGTTTTGTATAAATATACTTTAGGGGTTGGAGTTTTTACACAAAGTCCCCACTCGTTCACATGGTAACCTTAAATCCAGTAACTGCGTTATAGACAGCAGGTGGGTCCTAAAGGTGACAGATTACGGCGCACTCCAGGTGTATAGAGAAGACAGCCAAGATATGGGAGAACACGAGTATTTTACACGTAAGACCTCATTCAGGGCGATGATCTCCATAAATTATTATTATTATTATATGTAACGTGAGGCGATTTTAAATTCAGGGGATTCAATTTTTGATGCCCCTTGATTACTTGTATAGCTTGTCCAGTGAAGCATAATTTTATGGCATAGTCGTACCTCTCGAAAAGCGTATATCAGTTGCTTTTAATGTTATTCACACAATTCGATTAAGACATGAAAACAGAAGGCGTAAACTAACGAAAATAGTAACGAAATATTATAATGAAGTTGGAATTAGTATATTCTTGCTGCCTGTTAGGATTGAATGAAACTTTACGTTGAACTTTCGTCTCTAGGTTTTATTTCCACGACTTATACACGCGCAGTTCACATGCTTTGTGATACTTTCCTGAATAGGAAACGTGGAAAATAGATCGAAGTCTAAGAAATTACAGGTTTCTTTACCAATCCACCAGTGAATCTGTTCCGCACGTGCATGTCTTCTTGCTTCAGGACTCCTGTGGACAGCGCCAGAGCTGCTGCGAATGGAGGACAGACCAGCGAAGGGTACCCAAAAAGGAGATGTCTATAGTTTTGCCATCATCTTCCAGGAGATTATGATGAGAACTGGTCCTTACTATTTCAATGATTTGTCACCTAAAGGTAAGTTTCTTCTTCATATTCCGTTTTTTTTTTTCACGTTTGGAACAAAAGAATGGTTTTGTGCCTTTGAAAATAAAAGGTATACAAGATCAAAGTAATAATTTTTGATTAAAAAGGGATACAATAATTTTTTGGAATAAAGATGGATTTTGTACATTGTAAAGAAAAAATGCTCTTTTGCCATATGTTCGGAGCAAAACAAATGACGAAGCAGAAAAGCAGAGAAGCAAGAGACTCTAACCAAAGAATTCTATATGTTATCATGAATGTTTCATAAGATGTGATAACGGCAGTTATGGCCGGAGAGGAACCCCCGTACCGTCCCGAGGTAGTCCACGATATGGAGATGAGACCCGAGACACATAAGCTAATGGAGATGTGCTGGAGTGAGGAACCAGAGGCAAGGCCAGATTTCCGCATCGTCAGGAAGAAATTGGTGGCATTAAATGGCGGAAAGTAAGGGAACTGTGATCTGAGTTATCTGAATTGAATACTAAGTCTACTATTATATACTAAAAAAAGTTTCAAATAGTTGGAAAATAATCAGTGTTCGATATTTTTAAACGGTTCTTTTGAAGTAGTTCCTTAGAGATTGTTATTTTAAAGCTTGACAACGGTTTCGTTTGAAGGCGTGTGAACATAATGGACAACATGATGAACATGATGGAATCATATGCCAATAATCTCGAGGACCTTGTGGCAGAGAGAACGGAGGAATTGGAATTGGAGAAAGAAAAAACAGATATGCTGCTCTTCAGGATGCTACCTCCGTACGTAACCTTGTTTGCACCATCACGTTGATTTGTAGTTTGCTCTTTTGAAAAATACCATAAAGGACGCCTGAAAACGTTAAAAAACACACGAAAGGAGAAGAGAAAGGAACTTATGAAAACCATACAGTCAAAGGTGTATGTATACATGTTGCAAAAATACAGTTTGAATGCAGTACAAGATCTTAGCAATGCTTATGCCTTGATACTGGTCTAAAACGTAAAGTGCAAGGCAGTGAATGAAATTGGTTTTTATGTTATTCCTTGTACATAAATTCCAAATAATTGTTCTGTTTTCTTGTTGTAGATCAGTGGCAGAGGCCTTAAAAAGAGGGGAGCCTGTGGAGCCAGAAACCTTTGACGGAGTTTCTATCTTCTTCTCAGATATCGTAGGATTTACTACTATTGCTGCGAAGAGCAATCCGTTACAGGTATTACGTACATATAACTCTGCATTTCTTTTTTTCTGCCCAAAAATGTATGGATGCTTTTCGATTTTATCTAGAAAATACAAATAATATGTACAGTCACTAGTGTAATATACTTATGTTATTTGTGAAGTTTACCCATGTTTGTTACAGGTCGTTGACCTTCTGAATGATCTGTACACCTGCTTTGACTCTATAATTGAGACGCACGATGTCTACAAGGTATATTTCTGCAATATGTTTGTTTTTCTTTGCATACTATATTAGATTTTCTTTCTTTTCTGCCTGAGGCATAGCTTAGCAGGTTTATAAGCCGTAATTTTAATTGTCGTCTACTTCTGACGTTTTGCAAACCGAGAGCAATTCAGGTTAAGGTTTAATAAGGCCCGGACCTCGAGCTTGTTTCATTTCGACCAAAGTTGCTTCTTTAAAAGATTTCAACATTTTTTCACCACTCACAGTTATTATTATTATTATTATTATTATTATTGAGACATAATTCAGTGAAAATATATATGAGAATGTTTACACCATCAGGTTGAGACTATTGGTGACGCGTATATGTGCGTAAGCGGACTACCTCAGAGAAACGGCCCCAGACACGCTGGTGAAATAGCCAATCTTGCTTTAGATCTCCTCAGTGCTGTTCTGAACTTTAAGATTCGCCATCTTCCCGAGGAACAGTTACAGCTCAGAGTTGGTCTCCATACGGGTACTTGTGTGGCGGGTGTGGTGGGCACGGCAATGCCAAGGTACTGTCTTTTTGGTGACACGGTCAATATGGCTTCCAGGATGGAATCTACGGGTAAAGGTAAGAGAAAATTAAAACCGTTTACATATACCAGTTATTTGGTATTTAGAAGTGACATTTTAACAGGGGAAATTATTCTAAAGAGCAATAAAATATCATGTTTATGGTATGCCTATTAGACAGGAGCAGTTTTTTCAAAGTATGCCACAGGGTACCTTGTACCAGGGATGAAGCTTAATTTTGTGCACTTTTCTCCAAAAGTCTAGCAAAGTATCATGAATTAACCAGGGACATATCTGTTAATATCTTGTAAAAAATCTATCTGTGGCCCTGGTGGAGGGTAGCCACAGGGTATAAAGCATGTTTGAAATGCATTAACTTTATCATTTCAGCTTTGTGTATTCATATGAGCAGCGCCATGAACGAAGCTCTTATAAATTTAGACTGGGATTTCGAGACTGCAGAGCGAGGTGTAATTGAAGTGAAGGTATTCCGACACTTAACCACACTTCTAATAAATTAAGCTTCTTTTGTGTGTATAACTGTTGCTTTCAAATTCAGAAATAACAGTTGCCATCATTTGTGGGTACTGTTCACGGTGACATATATTCTTGCAGGGCAAAGGTTTGCAAACGACCTACTGGTTACTTGGAAAGAAAGGTTTTAACAAGCCATTGCCGCCCCGAGATTCAGTCGGGTGAGTATATTCTTAGTCTTGACAAAAGATCTTAAAGTGTTTTACAACTTTGTTAATATGCAAAGGCTGACTTCTTTTAATACATGTGCGTGTGCTGTTCGATTTTATTGAATTTGGGTTTGAATACAAAAGGGCTACATTGAACCAGTGGCGGATTTGGGGTGGTGTCGGGGGGAAGGGGGTCCTGACCCCCCCTTCGATTTCTGAAAGAAAAACTCACCAATGGTCCCCTCTTGAAATTAGAATTTTGACTAGCGAAATCATAATTCTAAACCGTACTAAATGGCACCGTTGGCCCCCTAAAATACCAAAAATTTTCGGGGCCCTTTAGTGGGTCCCGAACCCCAAACCAACTGGTAGGGGGGGGCGAGGGTCGGCTTCTCATCCGCGTCCTGTCATTCTTAAAAAACGGACCCCCTTCAAATAATCCTGGATCCACCCCTGTATTGAACACTGGGTAGAATTTAGTGTCACACCATTTCGCTTTTACTATTTCAGATCTGAGAGCACAATGAGCAGCATGGTTGACCTTAACTCCGCCAACAGTTCACCGGAATATGACGAACAGCCCCGAAAACTGTCATCTGGCACGCGCAGTGCGCTGTCTGTGAGCGACAACGCAGAGCTAAAATCTCTCGCAGACATCAGTCTTCACGGGATCGGGCTATCAACTGAAAACTTGAACGACATTTCTTCGGAGCCACACAAACTTAAAACCATGCAGTTTGAGAAATGTAAAATGAACCCTGACAAAGGGACTCCTCCATTGTCTGCAAGACGGAGGTCTTCGACAGTAGCACCACCTGTACCGACTGGAAATAAACCTATGCCGAAACCTATTCGGAAAACCGAGAACACAGAAAATGGTATAGCTGTGAAGCCCGTTCGCGGAAAGCCGAAAGTAGATTTCATTTTTGATCTCCCAGAAATAAAGATAAATTGAATAAGACACTCACAAGAAAAACATTAAAATTCTAGCTTTCACAGTCTTCCATTGCTTTTATTGCTTTCTGACCTGGATGTGCAACTTAAACGTTGAAAAGGTACTAGCGTTATAGGTGTGCGTTTGTTCAGATATATTTGTGATATTTTGAGCGTTTTAACGACAGGCGTCAACGATACTCAGGTATTTGGTTCGTTGTTAGCCTAAGAGAATGTCTATTCCTTCGTTATTTTACCGTTTTTAAGTTATAAGTTAAGCAAAAGTGATTAAATAAGAGAAGTAGGAGTGGACATTGTTGGTATGATCTATGTCTCAGCTATGACAAATGTTTAAAAAGACATGTCGACCTTAAACGTCCACTCAGTGTTTTTAGATCTCAGGAACCTACCTCAATGGGACAACTGACACAATATATGTTTGGTGTGATGAAAATAAATACAAACATATCATCGAAACAGAGACTGATTTTAATTTTAATTTAAAAATATCATATATAAGAGCCATAGAGTTCCCTTTCTCTGTAAACATCAACTGCATCTTCAGAGCCGTAAACTCTGCTAAAACCAAAGAAAAAAAAGGACATTAAAAACGTTAAGATTTCCTATTTTAATTCAAATTAAACTATATATCCGAGTTTTTGCAAACCGATGCTGGATATACAAACTTAAATTCATTACAGTAATATTTGTCGTATGTAAAAATGAAACTCCCATTAAAGATTAGCGAGCGACAATAAGGACAAGTTTTGAAACCATAGTGTAAACGCTCTAACAGCCTACATAGGGCTTTAGGTTGGTTCTTGTCTACTGTGTTCTATATTTAAAAAATGACAGGAATGGGGATGAATTTGGATAAAGGATCCGTGTAAAAGTCACCTTGAGTGTGAGAGGTCACTGGAAAGTCGCCTCCCTACAAACTACAAACGTCAGAGACATACTGCCACTGGGGTGATGAGTTTCCGGTGACCTCCGAGACTGATGGTGGAGACAGCTACGTTATCTGTAGCATTCAGAAGGAAATGAGAAGGAAAGAGGTTAAACAACCTGTTAAAATCTCCACTATCGCATCCATCTACTCCATTTTCGCTGCGACCGGGGCTCTGAGAGTCGTTATTTGGGATTAAAGTATTAGTGTCAGGCCAGCTAGCTATAATTTAAGTGTAGAATATGTTTACTCGGGAATTTATATAACATTGTCAAAGCTGAAAGCACGGAGACAATACCAGCCCATTCTGTTATTATGTTAGGGCATTGTATCCTAATGGCAGTTAAGTGACGATAGTTTGGGACTGAACCAGACCCTCTCGAATAGCTTAATTCATTTGATTGACATCCATCAAACCTTATAAAAAGAAAATCTAGATGAAGCTGGGGAGTCGTCCGTTACAAAAAAGTTCAACCCATTAAAGCAGTTCAATGCCACACAAGATGAAGTAATGCTTAGAATAGATCACATGGAACTTTACACGCTATCAGTTTCCCCGGGAGTCAAGATCCCCGTGGATTATCTGTGTTATCGACAATAAAAAGCAAGGTGAATGTACCGTGAGACATCGGCTTTTTCACAAGGTGTGGGTAAGGTGCTGCTTAGGAAGCACAGAGGCCTACCTCCCTCGTTGGTGTAACATAATGCAACGTATTCTTTGTCTATTTTCATACGGTGGTGATGAATCAGTAGGCTTTCCCTCTGGTGACTGAAGTGGTTGTTCCTGTGTAATGTGACCTCCTCTTACACCGGGCCTGCCACAAGATTAGACTGTGGTGGGATCAGCACAGAGACGGTTCAGCTGGAAGAAGAGCTTTGATTCACCACTAACTACTATACAACCTAGGGTAATCACTGCAGTTAGGCAACCCACCTGTTGAGGCCAGACAGAAGTGGTCCCGGGCCAGGTGTGGGGTCATCCGCGTGATGTTGTACAGAGTTTTTCTCAGATTAAAAATAATATCACTTTTAGTATAGTCTGAGTTCTATCAAATTCAGTCTAGAGGATGGATATCGTATCTGTAGTATATATCAATGTCTGCATTTTCATTGCTGCTTCAGGGATAGGATACAGTAATGCTCAAAGGTAAGAATTACGTTCTATCACTGTTAGAAACTGTGGTTTTCATAATATTTATCTAGCACAAATCATATTCGTTATAACTTAATAATTGTGTAGAAAGTCACGTATAACGACGGGTCGGCGTGAAGAAGACGTGCAATTTATAGAATATTGCAAACTTTTTTCTTTATGCTTTCTATTCAAGTTTTCTCAAACCCCGGAATTTACTATACGCACAATTGCTACCGAAACCTGACTACAGCTGAGAAAATGCCAGACACCAAAAGGTTACTCTGCATTGTTGTTCTTTTTCGCTGACAGAAATATGACATTGTTTTCATTAGATAAAGTAGATACTCACATGTTTCAAAATAGTTTTTAAGCAGTTAACATTCTATTTTAGCAAAGTAAACATGAAATATAAGTCGTGCGTCACATTGGAAAAAATTCCTTTTTTTCACAGACGACATTCAAAAGGTCATTGTTTTCAATTCATAGTGCCCCATTTATTACCAAAGGAAAGCGATAATTGATAAATGGAATAAAAACTAAGTATTAAAACAACTGTAATAATGCAAACAAAGTTTTCTCATTTTTCAAAATCCATACAATCAATTCATTAATCAATTAAGAAGGTTATTTTCGCAAACGACGTATGACCTCATTGGGTGTCATTTTTCTTTTTTTCTTTGTTAAAATCAAATGAAAGAATACTTTATTGGAAAACAAATATAAAATCTGAAGCCTCTTCTACCAAAAAACAAAGACGTTTTTATTGAAATTTGGAGTAAAGGGTTCTTTCGACAAAAAACAGGAACCCAGACAGGAAATACAGAAATGTTTTGTAACATTCCACCCTATTACATCCGAAGAAAATACAGTATATACATAGGTCTTATCAGCTATCCTGGTATTTTGTGAATTTCATTTTGTGATATAAAATGTACTCTGTAGTTTAAAATACTTTACTTCAGACTCAATAACCATATTGCCTATAGAGTTAAGGCCCAGGGTATAACCAATGGTGTATCGGGAGTAGGTGGGGTGTTATAAGAAGGGACAAAAGAGCCCTTCAAACTGGACTACCGTATAATATCCAATGGCGTCCTAACCGTCGTTACCAGATAACCAGACTGAAGCACAGTTTTCAATACAACTGAATACCAGTCTAGATATTTGGTGGCGCGACGCCGACTTATACGCATGTCCGGTTCAGACAATCCTTGTCTAAGCGCAGGTCACAGCTAATATTTCCACATATTGGCACATTTCACCCAAACCCAAATACAACTATGACCCCATTTCCAGAGATTAGATCGATCTACTTTAGATCGACCTAACTCCCTGGGGGTTCACGCTAAATAGCTGTCAGCCGAGCGGACACGAAAGTTAATTACCCCCTTACAGCTTGTAGTAGGCGGGACGGACATTTAAGCCGGATTATCTGACAATAATCTAGTGAGACTCCCCGCGGGGATAGATCGATCTAAAAGCTCTGGGAATCCAGCCTATAACGTTGAAAAAATTATGATTATCTCCTGTATAGAGGAGTTAATTGTTTTTGAGCGAGTTTGCTTGTCATTGATTTAATCGTTTTATATATATATATACATATATATATATATATATATATATATATATATATATATATATATATATATAAAACGGAGAAATTACTTCTACTTCTATGCCGAAAAATACGTTACCATATAGGGCTCTTTACATAATGTAAAGACGTGGTAAAAATTAAAAATTGAATTAGAATTGAGACATTCGTGGGTTTTTGTTCTAGACAGATATACTGTATGTTAAATATAATTTTGAATTCATTCAATTATATTTTTGGGCACTTCAGCATGTGAAATGCGCCTCTATATTGGGTTTGGGTGATATGCTTTAAGAAGTTTTTTCTCTATTTTTATTCTAGAAACTGGTGTCCCCAAACCGTGACAAGATTAGCTCCATGTACAAAAATGTTTCGTATTCCAGTTTATAATAGATGTCTGTACGGCACAAATTGGTGTAGACCTACATCGTATAGGTAAAATACTGGAAATATAAGATTCAAATATTATTTTATTGAAAACATATGCCTTTAAATGGATTAATTTGATGAGACATTTACGAAATGACAGGAACTATTTAATATTTGTAATTGCTAATGCTTAATTGAGCCTATGGTAAAAAATTCGAACTGGTTTGTGTGTTTGTGCGGGAGCTTGTATGATAAAGATGTACATGGTATATTCCAGACTGATATATCGCATGACGTATCAAGTAAAGGCACATACAAAGTGGAGATGTTGTCCTGGCTTCAGAGGCAGAGATTGTGGAGAAGGTCTCTCTTTTATTTCATTTCTTAAACATTTTTGCTTGAAATAGTTAGATTTAACGTAGTAATATTAAAATCCATAAGCCCATATATCAAAGTGCTTTCCATTACGATATTAAAAGAAACATGCGCTTCAATGTAATGTCTAATGTAATGCTATAATATTTAATTATAGAATTTTTTTTCATTGCAGTGTGCTTTTCCTGCTCGGTCGTTGATGATATTAAGGACAGGATTTCCAGAATGGAATCTAAAGTAAGTCTGGAGTTTACATTCACTTATATTACTAACAGACATCATCATACACAAATGAATAAATATACTCTGCAAAACTGAGACAAAAAGCTTTATGTAAAAATATTCTTAATAATAAATACACGTCATCTACAGATATCATATTACTACAAATGTGATGTCTGGGCTAATAACACGTCTTATTTCGTTCTGCCTTCAAACGGGTAACCTTTCATTCAGGTTTTGAATGGAACTGGTACACCATATAACCAATCCTGCAACTGTCCACCTGGACCAAGGGGTCATCATGGACCTGAAGGAAAACAAGGACCCAGGGGTCAACCTGGTATCAAAGGGGAAAAAGGAATGAAGGGAGAACCTGGAATACCTCCTCGTGCTGTTTTATCTCCTGCGCCAAGTAATTTCTCTCACGCTAAAATATATTAGTTAAAATAGGTGAAGGACATAAATTCACATTTTAATTGAATGGGAAGGTTTGTTTACGGTAGATGTCAAGAGATATTAAAAGAAAAGAATAGAATCGTTTGAATTATGCAGAAGAAGACAAATCTATAAGCTTTTCTAAGACGTTACAAGTAAAACTGAGAACCACTTCATGTCGCACAGCATTTTTGATTTTTGATTTTGTATTGGGCAGAGTAGGGCTGTTACAACATGTACTGAGTCAAAACTTGTAGTAGTAGGAGATTAAATTTCATGAATATCATTGAATATTTTTGAGTAATTTGAATCATTTGTTCGGAACATTTCTTTAACCATAATTTTTTTAATCAAATGCATATTTGTCAGTAGGCCTAGTTAAACACTATACCATTATTTTGCAGAACCTAGTGTTTTCCCCGATTTAACACAATACTCAGACTTGAGTGGAAGATCAAATCCCCCGCAATTTCCCATCGGACCCCCAGGGGTTCCAGGAATACGGGGACTTAAAGGTGATCGCGGAGAACCAGGGATACAAGGACCAAGAGGAGATAGAGGAAAACAAGGGGAATCTGGTAATTGCAGTGAAATACCCAGCAAACACGTCACGTTCGGATCACGTGGCTAGCACGTTGCTATGACCATAGAAGTAGCTACTTCTATGCTATGACGTTATAATGTGGTAGCAACGTGATAGCCACGTGATCCGAACGTGAGTGTTTGCTGGGTAGTCTTTTCGTTGTCCTTTATGTAAAGATTGTAAAAAAATCTTTTCTAAACAGTCTAAACCATATTTTACCTATGAGGCATGCATTCCCAGCCCTGGCCCCACCCCAACATCTTTGATGGCATCCACGACTTCCAAAAAAGTTGCTCGCATTGTGTTTTATAATTTTCAGGTTTGAAAGGGGAAAAGGGGGATAGGGGCGCTCAGGGTATGAAAGGTGAACGTGGTTTACCTGGACCAACAGGAGCACCAGGTAATATTAATATTTGTGAGAAGCTGTCAATCTTTACATTTTAACCAACTCTTGCCTAAGCTTCTAATTGACAAATAAATATTATCTGCCTCGCTCATTTGTGTGTGTGTGTGTGTGTGTGTGTGTGTGTGTGTGCTCGCGCATCCTTTTTGCATACACCTTTTGTTTTATTCAATCTTTTGGTAGGTAAAACGGAAGAAACATCAGACAGAAGAGGTCTCATGGTAAATATTCTTTGAATTATATCGCTTATACCGCATGAAGGCCATACCTTATAGGCCTACCATGTTGCAACCAAGGAGTTATAACAGAACTCCTTGGTTGCAACTGAACAATCAAAATTTTTCATTGAAGGTGATGTTTTGTCTACATAAAAACATTTCAGAGTAAAACTTTAATTATCTCTGTTAAGAATGATGTTATCTTCCCCCTTTTCTTATATTTCCCTCAATTCATATAATTTTAATAATCACGTCATATAACTTGTTGCAGGAACTTCAGCGCTCAATGCAAAGAATTTCCGAAGAATTTTCAAGATTTCGTACAGAAATAGCAGACGAACTGACTCAGCTCAAACTGCGAATGAATCTCGTTGAAACTATCTTACTCCAAATTCCAGGTACTTCCACTTACATACGTCTTTTTTTTAGCGTAACTATTGGTAAGATATAATTTTGTCTAACAATGTTACAGTGGTGTGAACCCATGGATTATGCAGTGAAATATCGTTATTTTACGAAACGCATACTGATAGGTAACCCTACCAGTTAAAGCTGTTTAGAGACATCACTGATCTACAATACATTCCTATAATGCTAGCAGTAAACCCTCATATATTTCTCATTTTACTTGCACTAATATAGGATACCTACGCATCAGCTAATAGCATGATAAAAAAGAAACCATGCATGCGCGCCACTAGTATTTCTGTCAGAAATTTGCCACAATGAGCATTCTTACTAAACAAAATCGTTTATTGTGAAATCTAGTAAAATCCAGCACCGACATTTCTTTTTATTTGTATTTTTCTAATCATTGCATTAATCCAAATTTGTCCATTTAATTAAAGTACCCATTAAAAAACTCAGTAGGATTCCCTACTTTTTCAAATTTCAGAGGTCAGAGATTCATTAAAACAGAAATCCATGACACCAATGGTTGTTCCCGCGCCTACCTTCATACCGCAGACGACCTCCAGTCCTTTGTCGCAAAATACAGATGAAAAGCCGAGGATACCCGAAGGACAGATCAGCTTTTGAACTTATTGACTTAGGTCTTAGACTCCAGATCCTGATGTTGAAAGAATTAAAAATAGCTTAAGTTCAACTTAAACATTAATACCATTTTTAATCACTTTCATAGTTCCAGCCATTTTTCATATTCGTGATAAAGAGAAGTGAAATGTAAAAAGCATATTAAAGACATAATGCTGCAAAATACTCCGCAAAACGGATTGTTGATTACTACTTCGATGCTTTTCCTTATCATTCATTCAAAATACTAGATCAAGATAATTTTTATTATCATTTCTCGACATTATACATCTCGCCTGATATCGAAATATTTTTACAATATACTGTATAAATCTTAAATGCATTAAGCATATTTAACAATAAAAAGACTTGCTTCATTTTGATAAAATATGACCCTTATACAAATTATAGTATGTAATATATCTCTTTAGCAACGACATCGGCGATACATGTACGACTTCGCAAATGCGGTGTTGTAAGTGACCCATTCGTATGCTTATGGAACAAAGCTTTTACAGATAGAACTATATATTTCCAGTATTTTCAAAAAAAAAAAAAAAAAGGTCTGTCTGAGTTTTTATCGTTAAAATTTATCAAAATAACGTGAAAGACTTTTATATCTAGTGGACAAAAAGTCAGCCATAAATTCTTAGTGTCCAGATTTTTTTCTCCAACACACTGTATATTATCGTCTACTCACATCAGCATGCTGTGTTACACCGCTTTCACAACTTTTCCTTCGTTAACATTTCATGAGCATAATATCTGTCCCTGTATTCAATATTGCTTGGGACAATTGCGTTACATAAGTAGATTACCAACTAATATTTATAAACTGCTGAGATAACTTTGGATTAATAAAAAGATTTTGTTCATAAATGAAATGTGGTATCAAACTAGTTTTTCATCAACAGTCAAATGAATTGATTCCCAGAAATTATTCAAGTGAGTTGATTGAAAGGAAAATTATATCGGAAAGTGAAAATGTCAGAAACAAAGGCTAACACGATTTATTTTGTATGTCAATTTTTAGGATTTGAAGAAAAATGCGCTTGTCTGAAGTTTATGCCTCCTGCCTTGTATCTACCACGCCCTTCTATGTTTTTAACATCTGGAGTGAACATTAACAACGGTCTTGATTGCGATTGAGACGACGGGAAGTCACAACGTAGCACAATGAAACACACCAACGCTTCGGAAGACGAGGTACGGATAAGCATGTGGACGGATCCCTTACCTCAGAGCTAGAACTATAATGAAATGCAATCAATGCCCCCAACTACCACCGCAACCAACGTCAATAGCGCTTTGTAGGAGTAAAAGGGAAAATGTTGACAATAAGTATTTACGGAAACAACTTTTCACACACACACACACACACACACGCACCAAGCTTATCTTCACTGTGATCAAGTGCATGAAGCTTCAGTCTGTCAAATCATTGAGTTATTTAATCAGGTAAAGCAGGGTGGGGTAAATTTTTTTAACAGTTAACTCATTGGACAGCTTTGTGGGCGGATTTTGTGTTCAAAATTGGGTCTTGGTTTGATGCCTTGCTGATCTCTCGGGCAAGCTATAGAGATGCGGCACAGAACGATAGGAAAGACTAAAAGAGGATATCCAAATATCCAGTGGCACAATTAGGTCTTCGCGAGTTTCTGTGATATTTGACTGAATACTTAAAATATAATATAATAAAATGAAATAAGAATAATGCTGCTTGAAAGAGAACCGAGTTTTTTTTTTTACAAATTCGTAAAAAAAAAAAAAAAANAAAAAAAAAAAAAAAAAAAAAAAAAAAAAAAAAAAAAAAAAATCTCGGGCAACGGCTTTATTTTCAAAAACGCTCGATCATGCACATGGGACTTACCAACAGATTTAAATAGACCAAAATTTGACAACGTTTATATTACCGGGAAATTTTAGCAATTTCCCCTTTATCACTGATATGAGGCACGTTTACTGATTAGCTTTTCCTGTGTTACATATTTTTATTACCCTCAGTATTCATTCAGTATCAATTTTTTTGGTAAATTTGTGTATTAATATGTATTAATATGTATTAATTCAAAATTATAAATAAAAACTAAAAAAACAACTCGATGAATTTGGAAGTAATAAATGGCTTTGTGGACGTGGACGTGTAATGCCGTTATTTTAATAGAACGGTAAGACCTCACCTGTTTGTTGTCCTCATACAGGAAATATATCCTGAACAACTTATCTATTCATTATATGCATACATTTAACCGTCACTCCAAGTCATGTATTCCTTAAGGATAGTGGCAAGCATTAGTTTTAACTCCGACAGGGCAGATGCCGTAGATTTCACAATAAACAGAAAATATCTGCGACTGCCTGCCGTACATATGTAGTAAAGGGGACCCTTAAAGGGAAAGGAATCGCATTTGAATATCGATATCGGAGATTCTCAAAAGAAATCGCTAAAATTCCAGATGCTGTGTAAACAGTGACAAAAGCAGCATCATGACTTGAGTTACGTTGCACAGGTACAGCTACACGTTACATGGTTCCTCAACGCTTGATTACGCGCAGAATGACAGGCGGAAGTTTAGGAAACATTGCTTATGGCAAAGTCCTCACCCATTATGATCAAGTCGTCATTGGAGCAACCTGTTTGTCAGCCTTCGTGATAATTATATGCTTGGTTGTTATCTGTGCATTGAAAGGAAAATGTTCGAAATCACCAGGACAAGGTGGTGTTCAGTTCACTTTGGAGGATGAACGGAATGAAGAGCTTGGAAGTTGGAACACAACAACCTCTATGTCTCCACCTGCGTATGAAGATGTTGCAGAAAACCAGTCAGACTTGCTGAATCTCAGTGGGGCTATTCTTGTGACATTAAAAAGAGGCAATGCTCGGGACGCTAGCTTCCATTCACTGCCGCCGACTTATTCGGATGTTTTTAAAGAGAGCCACATGTAATGAATATTCGTCTGTGACGAGAACAGTTTTGATGCGAGCTAGTTATTTCTGTTTGTACAGTGGGCTTTACTCGCCTGTATAATGAATCTGTTGGTTTTCATAGGAAAGCAATAATGGGTAGCTATATTGATTTGATTTTCATTTTGATCACTCTTCAACTTGTATTGCAGCGTGGTGGGTCATATTCTTTTCCCCTAATTTTGGTCTATTACCGTATTCTTATCGGAAATGCCCTTTTCTTTTATGTTTAAGGCTATTAAAGGTACTCGAATACGTGCTTTTTGTACAACAAAAATGCCATTAACAAATTTTCTTGGCGTACTTGACGATGTCTTAGTACCTACCGAATATTTCTCTACCTAGCTTCAAACATTCCAAACATTCTTTGCAATTATGGTTTACACAAACAGGCGATATTTTTACACGGGAAATAATAGCATTGTTCTGAAAGGATGTAGCTTCTCACGGGGACATAGGCACAGACCATCTTCAATGAAAAGAGGACAAAAGACCATACCATGCCTAACGCATATCTTTTTATAACTGGAAGTCAAGGTAAATTATAAGTAAGGCTTGGCACTTGGCAAGCGGTATTCTGATTTAACTGTGAATGATTCTTGGAAGTACATTTATCAGGTCTATATCATATCTTGGATGATCATAACAATTGTATTGTGGTAAAAGAAAAATCACGTTCGTTTGGTATGACAAAAAGATGTACTTACACGAGAAATGCCTAACACTTTTTTGCCCCTGTGAATATCTTGAAATAACTTTTTGATAATATAAATGGATTTATGGTGATGATTAGCGCCACTTTGATAATAATATGTCAGCAGTAGCCCGTTAGATAAATACTTGGAAAATCTTAAAATAGGTAAGAAATGCCCAACGTTATATCAATAGACTACTGCGGCAGATGATGAAAATATTCGATGATAAAGCAAAGAACAATTTCAACATTACCGACCACTGTCTGACAAAACCACATCGGTGATTACTGACCACTCTCTGACCACTGTCTCATAAGTCACATCACTGACCACTGTTGCACCAACGCATTGTTGACCACTGTCGCACCAACCACATCACTGACCATTGCCTCTGGCCTCATAATATGGTACTTTTCATCTCACCAACTACATCACTGAACACTGCCTCACCAACCACACCTATCCCTACATATCATCCAATCAATTCGAAAACAGGGTCTGCATCACACTTAATGATGGGAATAGTTAATCTTTTATAAATGCCAATCCAATCAGAGGATTTATTTAAGTAACAACTAATTTCTTCGGTCTGGTTTAAGGCATGTATGACAGGACCGTCTCAGCACAGAACACACCTTAAAACAAACAACGGCTAAATGCAACTGCTCCAATTATTATATAGAGAGAAACTAAAAGATATTTTGTTCTTAATAAATAACTTTTAATAAAATTATTTAAATATATATATGTGACTCAATGGGAAGCCTTCTATGAAATAATTAAACACATTGTAAGCACCATATGGTATTCTTTTGTATTACATACATTAAAGACTGCAATATTTTTCCAATTTTTTTATCATAATACATAAAATATTGTAAGATGACAAGCTGACAATAAGGCTTGTCTGGTCATCAAGGACAAGTTTATGGAATCTCTGGGCAAGTAAAAATGACAAACGTTTGCCCGACTGGATATATATATTTTTTCTACATAGGTGCCAGGCTTTTTCTTCACCCAATTGCGTTAAAAAGTGCAAAAATCTTTGAAGGCATTAATTTATTCATTTAGGTTTTTTGGAGGGGGGGGGTGAATTTGAGCAAACCTTTTCCTTTGAAAGTAAGTTTGGGATAGCACTTGCCTGAAGAACATATTTAAAGCCCAAAACCTTATTGTCAATCCCTAAGAACCATATGTAAGCAAGAAAAAACTGAGGTTTGCATTTTAACTAACCAAGTGCTGATCTGGATATCTTGGGTTTTCAATCACCCCTTTTCCAAATTTTAACTCCAAGAAATCCTTCACATTATTAGGTGCAGAAGCATTTATCCCTGCAAATAAAATTTTAGTCAGTGGTTTTAAAAAATGTTCTGGAAACTCTGTATCCTGCCTGTGAGAAGCAAACCAAGTGTCTTTTGTCATTATGCCATTTTTGGGGTAAAAAGGAAATATATCTATATGAAGATGATTAACTTCGCTGTACTGCACCCGCATAAAATCCCCCTCTCTGGCCTTCTCCCACACAAACCCTTTATCATCTACATAAGGTCCAGAGAGCACATCATGCAGGTATTTACATTTGTCAATATCTTCCTTGTATATACCTATATCAGTATCATAATCCCAGGGTATTATGTCTCCATGCCTGGCAGCTCCCAATAAACTGCCGCCTTCCAACCAGTACCTCACACCAGCTTTATCAAATATCGAGACAACATGTTTTAAAATCTCTCTTAAATTTTTCAAGCAGCAAGGTGGAGTCCATCTTTTTGCATAGATATACTCTGGCATGTCATTGATCACTGTTCCAAAACACCTGGGTGTATCTTTACTGCAGCCATACCACTCTGTTTTCCAGTCTGGTTGAATTACTTGTTTTATTCCAAAACTTTTATACATAAGTTTCAGTCTTTCTTTGTGGTGCTTCTTATGTTTCCACAAATTATGTCCATCTTTAAAATGGAGTTTTAAAGAAAGAACAAAAATACTAGAGTCATGGAGCACCTTCCATCCATGCAGAGATGTTTGAATAAACAGAGATTCTGGGAATGGTCTGGTAAATGGATGAGATAAGTTAAAGAAATCTTGAGTCTTCATCAAGAGTAACTGCTGTCCCTTATACCCTGTGCACAATTTTTCATTCCCAAAGCTGTATTTCAAGCTCCACTTTAAAACATCAAAATCAATATTCAAACATTGTACGCTTTCCTGTTTTATTCCTCCACTAACTATCTTCATCCTAGAATCAGAGGCCGATTCTAGGATTTGAATCATCTGAAGAAAAGAATATTTTGGGATAGAAACCACACCATCAGGCACAAATAAAACATATTCACTTCTTATGAGTCTTTCTGGTTTGAAAAGACTAGAAGGATTCTCAGGGTATGCATTCAGTACAGTATAATGGACACGATTGCTCTTGGGTAAATTCAAAGGAGGATACACAGGATTATCAGCAACAACAAGAATATCCATGTTTGCTGACCAGTCCAGCAGACCTGCCACCATTTCTGAAACTGTATTGTCAAAGTCCTCAAATTCTCTGATAATAATAGTAAATGACTTATCAAAGGTCCTTTTTTGGTGTTCGGGAGTTTGAGATAATTCCTCTTTTGCCTTGCTGTTTGCACAATTAAGTAGACTTGACAAGTACCAAAGCCCAAAGATGTTAGTGATGAGTGCACTGGTAATTAAAATTTGGTGTTTTTTTATCCTCATTGTTTTTTTTCTCTTCACAAATCCCTGAAAAATAAACATAATCCTGATGATTTAGTAGTAACGTATCTCAAATTTTAATATTATATCTCAAATTTAAAATTCTTTTCTATTCTTAAATAAACATTCATGTCATTGGACTAGGATAACAGACCGTTTACTACACAATGTATTAGTCATCAAAAGATACGAGTGCATTCAAGGTTAACTTGCAGTCGAATTTACAAACATTGCACTGTTCGACTACCTAGGCTAGGAGATTTTGAGATTTTGGGTGCTTACCATGAGATCAGTGCACCTTTTCAGTCGCTATCAAAACAATACCTGAATTTGAAACAGAATGACTTACTTTCGACCTCTTTTTGTGGGGGATATTTCCTCATTAATAGACAATCAATTGCATTTTTGCCACTTACGAAGTAGCTGGGATGCGCTAGTAATGGGCGCCGCCATTTTTTTTTGCTCTTTCAAGAACGGCGCCGATATGACAAAACTTAGTTCGCTTGCAAGATAAGACCTGGCATTTATTAATTTTTTATAACATAGGTTGGAGGGAAGGGTCGGCCAAGAATCAGTAATGAAATGATATAGAGGGCAAAGATATATTTTATTTAATGATAATGGTTTATTTTTATAAGTAAAACAAACATGTAAATCATACAAAACACTGACTTATTTATTATTCCAATAGCAAAATGCATAAGTACCCGGTATATAATATATTAAATAAAAAGTAACTGCACAGACATTTGATCATTATAATCCATACATATTTTAAGTAAGTCACAACCTGGTGGCTAATTACGTTACTCCCCAATCGGCCTATTCACCAGGCATTTCACCATCCTGGCAATCAAATACAATGGTGTACACAACTGTGTGAAACATTAGTACCAAATATTAAATCACACAGTCTCTGGTGTAATGAAACCGTAAACTACAGGTAAAACAAGTGTATGGTGGATAATACTGACGTGTTACCAGTATGTTACTTCCATGTGTCTGTCAATTTCTTCTGACACAGTTTAACCAATTAATTTTGCCAATACCAATGTCCCCAGCAGTTCTAGGATAAAATTGAGTTCTTTTCTTCCTCCTATGATATAATTATTCACGATAAGATGGTATCTTTAAAATATACCTCATTTATTTTCTGTAGTACACCTAAGATTTCTTCCATAAACAGAGTGACATATTGCTTTCAAAAGCTCCCACATGGACTTTTCTCACATTTATCGCAAAAAATCAATATGGAATAATTGCATCGTGATGGTAATGAAAAATTGTAATAAATACTTGGTGCACCTACAGTACATGCAATCAATTACTGCACAAAAGAAACTAAGTTTCTGTTTAAGAAATTTGGCATAAATGAAGTTTGAATTGCAGTGAGCATTATGATATCGAAGTATATTGCAACATTTCTTTTTAACATGTTAACACAAAAAACTAAGCAATTAAATCTAAGCATAAGTTTTCTCTTTATGTCTTCTGAAAACCATTAACCAGGTAAACAAACAGCCAGCTTAGTAATTGTTTTGTTTTATCTCTGTTGCAATAATTAGAATGGCTATCCCCTAATTCCTCAGGTTGTCAAAATAACTTATCAATAAACAAGTCCCTCTGGTGTATTAATTTTAAGTATAGAAAAATTTTCATTTTCCAGGGAATTTCAATACTTTCTCTTGATCACCAGATCCAAACATTATCCTGTTCACTGAATTACAATCCATAAACCCATTTTTGCAGTTTTAATAGACTAGTTTTTGGAGTAATTCTCTTTATTATTTTGCTGTATGACGGTCTAATATTCATTGTGTGTCTTAACGCAGAGCATGCATTTCCTTGAAATCTCCCACAATTTATGGACATTGAAACATAAGTGTCTTAATCCTGTGATGACAGATTCCATTATCGGTACGGCAAATGTTAGTAAAATTATACAATACTCATCTGTCAGAGCCAAGTATGAGTGATCAAGAAAGACTATCATATCATGTTGGTTGCCAGGAGTAATAATCATGACTCACCTTGAATAAATATTAAGAAGGTAGTTCACATATGGCAACAGGTAATTATCGTTATGCTGGAAAATAGTTGCAAATAGCTCCAATGTCTAAATAATACATACAAATAATTTTTCACTTCTTTTATTCCTGACCAGTTTTTTTTTTCAAATCTACTATAACTATTCAGAATATGTAACTTTAAATACTCATTTCTGTCTCAAAGAATTTATCTGTTAAGTTTAGTTTTTTGCCACAGTATCCAACAAAATTCAACTTCAATACTGTTAAGTTGCAAGTCCAAAATGATGGTATTGTCCACTGTTTATTTCTGGCAAGTCACTGTAGAAATCTACAAATGATAAATACAGTAACACTCCTTTGCTGTATGTATTCAAAATAGTTCTGCATTTCAGAATAATTATGGCAATAAATTTACTGCATAATTCATGGGTTTGAAAATTTACTGATTAGATCTCATAAGTAGTGATGCTACCTTAACCTTTTTGTTCTGTGATGATAACTAAGATAAATATGTCAGCCTAAGCCCTTTTATTGAAAAATTTTGAAAATAACTTATTTTGATTCTGTCTCCAGATTTCAGTGCATATTCCTAGTATTCAAAATGAAAGACGTGAAAAATATATATTTGTATACTGTAATCCATGATTTTAAATATACTAAACTTTTTTTTCAATTGTTCTGTAAATTAATATTTGAGATAAAATAATTATCATATTTTAAATGAGATATTTTCCTTCAGAAAAATATATATACTACAGGTATAACATGACTGTGTTACTGAAAAAATACAAGTCCCTGCAATGCATACAGATTGTAAACAGGAGACTGGGAACTTGGTGCATCAGTATAGTGTTCAACAGAATTTCAATCCAAATCAATTACATCTTCCAAGGGAAAGAAATCTTCAGTGACAGTAACCAGATACATCTTACCCAGAGCTGTGGAGACACATCTGTCAATCACAAATTCAATTTCTTTTTGTGAATTTCCCAATGACTCTTTTAAAGACAGTGAAGATTTGAATATTTAATAAATTACCTATAACAAAAGAAATTGTGCTCCAGATTTGCATATGCACTTTTTGATCTTATTAGTCAAAATTTAGTGATTTAAAAACTTGATATCTTGAAAAAGGTGATTTTGTCCACACAACATCAGTTTGTCAGGTTAAATGTAGGTTTTTTTGAAGAAGCTCCTTAGCCTAGAATGACTGTCACAAGCCAAAACTTCATAAACAGGAAATTTGCAAATAATTCCTAGCTGTCAAATCCTCAGCTATTAGTCTTCACCTGACATTTAAATGAAATACATGCATTAAGGATTTGTATTGTGAACTAAATTTATGTTTCCATACATCTTGGTAATCTAGCTTTAGTGGTAACAAAAGATGGTAAAGCCACCACAAAAACCATATGTAGATGCTTCAGCCTGCATAAAATATCCCCTTGCTTGGTATCACTTTCATAAAACCTTACAACTGACAGCCTGGATTCCAACAATTGCTTAATTCAATAAAGGTCCTGTCACTTGAGTATTCATTTCTTTCTATATTTGTAACCTTAAAGAATTCACAATAAGTCATATGCCAATAGAGGATGAATCATCTCCAAGTCCCAAACATAAGCCAATGCATGTCCTGAAGTGGCTCAAATAGTTCCATCTTCCATCATTTTGTGGAGATCATTCACAACTTGTCCCAAGGAATCCCTGTACACACTGTCCATTCTAAACACAGTTTCCAGAAACTCTGGGTCTGAGAAGAAGTCAAAGACATGATTTAAACGAGTATGAGATTTATCTGTGAGGTGGCGTCTAATCAACTGAGTCAACATTGCATGGCATTCTCTGAGATTCCTTGAAAGAAAATTTTTATCAAATGAGAATTCAACCTCGAAGAAACTCATCACAGTCATTGCACAAGTGTGAAACTTTTTCTTAAATCTCTCAGCAAGTGCTAGCTCTTCAGCATCAAATTGATCATTCCTGTACAAAATCCCTATCTTAATAACAATTTTGATAATGTCCTTGAGAAGTTTTTCTCCTTCTTTTTTGCTTTTGGTGTAATCCTTGAGTATAAAGAATAACTGGTCTAGCATATGGCCCGTGGTGTCATCTATGAACACTTTGGCTATCTTCTTACTAGCCAGCTTCCCCATTAGCTTCTTCTGTGCTCTCAGGCCAAGGCCCTTGGAGTTAAACCCCGCACCTGGTACAGTCTGGTCTGACACTAAATAAAATAAAAATAATAAAATTGTTTACTCTCTCTCTCTCCCTCTCTTTCTCTCTGAGTATATGTGTGTGTGTGTTGGGAAGAGGGGCATGCATACTTATCTTTTTACTTTTATGGTAAAACTCGAAAATTTAGTGGGTCTCTTGTTGGAAGACAATTCACCGCCAACAATTTTTTTTCACTTTGAAAATTTTGTAAAACTTGAAAATGGGCTTCTCGTTTTTTTTTTGTTTTTTTTTTTTTTGAAAAGTTTGCCACCTTACATGGTCTTGTAGGATTCACACATATTAAAATATCAATTTATTTTCAAATGACAAAATGTTAAAATTTACTTTCTTTTTAGTAAGTCGTCATGATACTACAATTGCTTTTATATAAAAAACTGAAAGATGTCAAATCTTGGTCTTACATCTAAAATGAATGCCCGCATGTTTTTGACACTTTTTTCAACTTTGTTTTTGGGTGAATGATTTTGCTTTACTTCTTACGTTACTACTGAATGGAGGTGAGTAACTGCACAGTTATCATAGTTTATTCTGTTGGCACTATATCCCAAGAAAGTACAAATAGTCTTTTTTTCAGCTGTTAAATATTTCTTTTATCACAGGAATGCTAACTAGTATCTTTTTTACTTTGCAATAAAGTTAACATGCAAAATGCACTCAATATTCTATCACACTGTAAACTACATCACATTGAAATAACAATGTTAAAATCACCAGTGATCAAAATTCCATCTGTCTAAACTACAAAATCTCAGGAGTCGCCCATTTGATTTCTGATATTGCTCTGATTGGCGACTTTTTGTCTGGGGAGTCCCATTTAACTGCCTTCAAACTTATAGTGCATGAAGTACCATGCAGACACATACATGTATGTATACACTATAATTATGATGATTATGAGGTACACACTACTTTTTGCACCACATCTAGTGTCCATCATCATAGCATATTCTGCACTTTAAAAACCTGAAATGACAGTGCAATAATATAGCACAACTTGAAAATATGCCCAAAACTATTTAAGATTTCTGTTGTTGGAGTTTTTGAAATAAATTTTGAGACCGGGCAAAATAGAATATCTAGCTTTAAAACAGATGCCTCTGAAGTGAGACAAAAAAGGGAATATGAAAACATCTACCTGATCTTGGAAGATCTCAATATAATGTTATATAGAAGTGCTTGCATGTTGATGAAGAAGAATTCATGTTTATCAAATGCCATGACTAAATCTGAGCATGCCTTTTAATAACTGCATGAGGCACAACCCATAGCATCAATAACTTTTATGCTTCATGTGTTTCAAATTTATTGAATTTGTGTCTTTTGTAATCCTCCCATACACGCCATTCTAATCCAATGTAATTCTTTGTGTTTAGCAAATTTAAACTGCATTGTTAAACAGGGCCTTTTTGTAGTCAGTGGTTAAAATGTAAAAAATTCTTAGTGCTAAAAAGATTATGATGTAATGTAAATAAAATTGGATCTCATACTTATGATCCAGTATGAAATTCAATTTCCTTTCCACCACGATCTCAGTTTAAAACAACTGGATGAATCAAAACAATCACTTTGATTTCTTAATACTACCAAGAATAAGTTACAATACTAAACAAACAAAAAAGCAGAAAACATTAACTTCAAAGATTCATGTAGAATTTTTAATTGCTAAAAAGAAACTGTTTAAAAGAAATGTATCTGCATTTCAACATTCTCAACATAATTTGGGTCAAAAACAAAACTTACTCCTGTCCTACTTTCTCCACAAAGAATCCACAAATATTGTTGTACTGCCAGTTGAAGTTAGACCAGTCTATCAAGATGCAATCATCACATAATACATCTGGGAGTTACGGCTGAAATGAGATCAACTCAAACAATTAGAGTGTTTATGCAAAAATCACATATGTGATATATAATTTTTGAAACTAAAACCACAGCACAAAAGTATGCAACTCCAAAAATGTTTCAAATAAAACAATAAGTAGTGAAAATCTATGAGCATGAGCACACAAGCAAATAGGTCTCTTAAAAGTGATGCCCTTCATTACTTGCATACTAATGACACTAACCTGATCCCTTAACAATATGTCTAAAATGTTGCTAGATTTAGTGTTATATCCACCCTGATTATCTCAGACTCTAAGCAGCCTAGTTATTAATCTACAATGCCAGCTATAATCAATAGCTTAGGAAATGCAGGATGAACATCATCACCGTCCTACCAGTTCAATCCAGGCTCACTGCAAGCTTATTTTCCATAGAGATGATGGCGAGACAGCCAGGTACATTGACTGTAATAACACGAACCATTTTCAAACTCATTAGTGTGCAGTGTCATGAAAATTGATAAAGGAGTAAAACCACAAACCAATTTAGGCCACTTATGCTGCACAGTTAAGTAAACAGATGAATTTAGCTGGGTTTGTCTGGGGCAGTATAAAAGCAAAAAAATTCATAATAAATTTCATTCCAATTAAGGACACCATCTGTGGCCTATTTGCATGAAAATAATAAATAAACTAGAAAAGCACTCAGAGAGTGAAGACCTCCACCAAGGCAAGCCAATTCTCACGATTATTAATTATTAATCAACGTAGATATGGAGCCAAGAGTAGATTTTCATCTTAATAATTTAAAAAAAATTGTTTTGACAGTAGGACTCAATCTTGGACTGCTTGCATGTTAGGTTCCTACTCTAGCCATTGAGTCCATGGACCCTCTGCCAATAAGAAAACTTAAAATGTTTACCATTAAAAAGAGTCTAGACTCTCGTGTAGCTTCAACACAGTGCATGAGTGACAGGATGAGCAGAGGTAATGGTGCATGCATGACAGGACAGACAGAGGAGATGGACGCAAACATAGACTGTAAAATGCAGCATTTCACTGGTATAAACAGGTATCATGCTAATTTGTATCATTCCCAAAAATTTAATCTTTTTTTTTGGTCCATTTGAGACCTATCCTGAAAATTTCATGAAAATCAGTCCCTAAATTTTTGCATAATGCAGTTACCAGACAAAAACAACCAAAAACAAACAAACAAACAAACAAACTAATGGCAAGCAAAACTTTCTCCTCAGAGGCGATAAATTACACATATTTTCCTAGTACCACTGATAGTTTTTTACTACTTTTGCATCATCATTCTTTTGAATACCTAATTCAAAAGTATGCTATAAAATACTTTTTGGAACTTATTTCTTTACTTTTCAAATAGTTTAAAAATTAAAAGTATAACAACTGTTCATTTTGGCCAAAAAATGAATATTCCTGGGGTAAACGACAATTTTCCCATACTAACCAATGGTTAATGAATCCATTTCTACATTAAAAGTTAGTTCCGTTTTTTTTTTTCTAAAAGATTTTTTTTTGTTATAATCTCTTAAGAGATTATTACAGAGTATAGTTACCTACGGAGGTCACGTGGTCCAATGACAAGCACAAACTTCACAAAAATTATAATAACTGCTGTTTTTGTGGTAAAATAGAATATATCATATATCTATGAGTTGTTTACAATGTATTAATTGTGAAATATAGATCTCACACGAAGATTTGTTATCCCTTTAACAGACTTTACGAAAGGCGTCGGACCGTCGGACATGCCTGGCAAATTTCGTCTCGGTCCGATAAAAAATCCTGTATCGTCGGACCTTATGTCCGGCGAGTTTTCAAACTGATTGGGAATGTGTAAATATAAGGAATACGTTTCTTTTCTTTTCTGGACGATATATTTTACTTCATTCAAAAAGAGAGACGGGGTGAAAATCTCGGGGAGTTCACAGCTAATTATACATAATTTATTAACCTCAGTTTCACTCACAAATATTATTTTGTGACTGGCTGAGGTTGGGGGATTCCTGAATGATGTAATGTACAGTCTCGTTTTCGGTTTCGTAATACCCCTACACAACAAAATGGCCGCAACACGTGCTCGTGCTATTTGCGTTTTTACAGACTTGATCCTCTGTTTCTTCAATATCAGTCGTACACAGTACTCATGGATAAGCCTTTTGCTTAGAAATGACGTTGTTGAACTTTAAACACTTCGTTGGTGCAAAGCATGGCAAAAATGAAAACGAAGTGAGGAAGAGAAACGGACGTTTAATAAAATTGGAAAGAAGGTAGGCCCTAGCGAACTTATGATCTGTAGGAGAGGAAAATAGTGTGTGCCGAGTGTCAGGAGTACTATTTTGATCAATAGCAACATAAATGTTACAGCTTTATTACGGGTTCTTAAATTATGGAACATATGTACGAATTTGCATGTACCGTTCACAACGAGTTGGAGAAAGTGCACATGAACTTGATGAAAGCTCACAGTTTGAGTTTCTTTTTATAAAAAAAAAAGAAATAAAATGAAGAAGGAACTTAGACTCGTACCGGACATTCCCTGTCAAAGCTTCAATTGGATGAAAGAGACTGCCTTACTGTGCTGATTCAAAATGCATATGTTATTGCCAAAAACAATGTGTGAAATGGTTGTCTGATTAACAGACATTTTTATGGACATACATTTGATGACTAGCTACACATTCTTCATACTTGTATTGTTTTTAGTCCTTGTGTCATTCCACAGCGTCTTTTTCATTAAATAAAAAACAACTTGTTATGCAAGTAATTTTTTGCCTATTTTTTTTTCTTTCTTATTTTACTTTTTTACAAATAAACATATATCAAAAATTTAATATTTGATTTAATGTCAATGATTTAAAATGTTGGAAAATACACATGAAAAGATGAATAATGGTTCATATTTCTATTATTTTACTTCGGTCTGACAGATTTTGTTTCGGTCTGACAGAATTTTCAAGCTTGTCAGACCGAATGTCTGACAGATTTTTTGGCCTTTCGTAAAGTCTGCTTTAACTTCCATATTTCTTATTTTGACATACAATCATGCCTAGACCAAACTCATCAATAATATCTCTTCATTGTGAAAGATCACAGAGAGCTATGGCATCAGTATCAATTACTAAACTGTCCATGAACGAATGACTACAGATTGCATGGTTGACCTACAGTGACTCATATCAGCTACGTATATATACAGATTTTCTATAGCTGAAAACAAATTTAGTAGGTTTTTCCCTCCATTTTATGGCAACTAATTTGTTAATTACCCAATCTTGTATAAGGTTGACAAGTTTTGTCTTAGATTAATCCATTGAATAAATTACATAACCTTACATCCAGATTAATACTTGAATCATATATTACTTGATTTATATAACATGATATTATTTAGTTATTCCATAAAAGGTGGTGAAAAAGGCCTATAAAAATCTGAGGCACTGGTTTCACTCACATGCATCTAACTTAACAGTCATGTGCCTTTAAAGGTAATCTATAGATACAAGATTGTCTTAGCCAAAATTAATTTTCCTTTGGGTAAAAAAGCAATTTCCTCCTACTCACGGAACTTTCCTTGACCTGCACTTGGATTTTTTTTCCATTTTTAATTTTAAAGAGCATATCAAACACTTTTCTAGTGAATAAAACAGAAAAAAATACACAAATACCACTTTCACAACATCAAACACTCCAAATAGACAAGATCTATTTCAGATTCAATTCCATACTCACGTCCAGTCAGCAGAAATAAGGAACTAAAAATTGCATTCACATCCGGCATCCCTTCTTTTCCATCTTTTCACATTAACATCCTGCATCCTTTCCAATCTTTGAGTGGTGTGTGTCACATGACTAAGATACTAGCCAGAGAACTGCTTTACAGAGTACATTATGATTTACACTGCATGTTACATACATGTACCTCGGCTGTGCAAAATGTGTTGCTCAAATCTATCGTGTATTGCTACTTTTCACTGCAATCAAACTGCACAACAGAGAAACATCTAGCACAATCCATAACACCATTTTCAACGCTAAATATGATCTCAATCAGTCGAAATAAATATTTAAAAGATACATTTACAACTTCTCATTATGAACTACTATCTATCAGTGAAAGCCAAGTGAGGAGGTGTATTATATGCCACATGAGACTAGTCAATATGGCAGTTACTGCAAAGAGGGATAAAAAAATGAAGGGAGCCTGATACTGCAAGAAGCAGGAGTAATAACAAAGAGGCTACAGGCCTATGTCTAAAGTTAAAAACAGAGGAAAATGCAAGAAATGTGAGACCTTGCACTGAGGTAATGTTGAGAGAAGCGACGACCACAGTGGTGTAGTCTGTCTCCTGTAGCAGTCAGAACATTAGTTATTGTAAAAGGTATGAGCACTGTGAAAGAATTGCATGTGCGAATCATGTCCAAAAACAATCAAACATAAAACTGAACACAAAAATGGCAAAAAAACAACAAAATTTCCTTTTTGATGCCAAATTACTTGATCGGAAAAGGGTATGAAAGATGTAACAATTACTTTAATTACCTTGTAACTAAAATCGCCACTACTTGATTGGAAAAAAAAAGTAAAATATTAAACTAAAATTGCCTTTACTTGATTGGAAAAGGGTTATAATGGCACTGTAATTATAAACTTCTTTACTTGATTGGCAGGGCATAGTAAAAGGCTTACAGTAAAGTATCTCCAATTTTTCGGCTGAAGCATAAAGAGGTCATAAACCCATAGGGTCTGACCTTTCCAATGGGCTTTACACGACGGAAAAGTTCAACTAAAAGCAATAATTAACCTGCATGCAATCTGCTGAAGCACCGTAAAACATACATAAGTCAATCAATTCACATATACATATTGACTACTTTTCTTTGCATCTAATTGTTGTGAAACTTTTATGAAGCTTTGCAGGTGTGGAGTAGTACCTAAAGTTCAGCTGGTCAATTAATCAACATTTCTGGTTAAGCAATATAAAGAATTGCCACAGAATTTCTGACATGCACACACTTTTGATATCTAACAACACTAATATAAAACAACATTAAACTCCGACAAAGGCTCAGGAATACTATATTTTTGTACAATAGGAATTAAAATACATCTGTCAATATATATAACGTTGTAAGTTGAAGCAGCCAAAATTGATTAAAGTGGCATATCAATATTTTTTTACTATATACATATATTAGGTATTAATTCGTGATATTAAGAATTGGGGGATTAAAACATGATCCTATTCACGTATAGAATATACGTCTAAACTGAACCTGAAAGTTATGAACTCTTCAAAGTATCTCTGAAGCTCGACAAATTTGTGAAGGGTTTTGACACTATTTGGGAACAACTCAATGACAACATTTTGAACTTCTTCAGAAAAGTTAATAGTAAAAAAGAAATACAGGTACAACTAACGGTATGAATAATTCGACTTTTTTTATAGACTTATTAGTCGAAGGATAGGCTAGTTTGTTACAACTTACACGTTCGTCGGATATTCGAGCCATTGTTTAAACTTTCCCCCCAAATTCTAAAATTGACCAAACACCTACACAAATACAGTCAATTTTCTCATCAACGTCTAAACACACTTGATACACACCGTAATTACCTTTAATCCCTCTTAAGCAGAGTGTGCCAGACGCCCAACAAGCTACTGCAAAGTTCGGGAAAACTTTTGTTGTTCCCGTGACGTCATAAGCGTCTTTATAGATGGCAGCTATTCACAGGTGCTCCAAGACAACCCACTCTCTTGGTCTGTTCATCATTCAAACATTCATTGCGGAGAGCAGCGACTATGAGTTCCTTAATAGAATTTTTAAATGGAAGTGAATATTAAAGAGATACATTTGATTGTATGTCATAAATTGTAATGGAAAATCTTCTAAGTAGGTGAGTTGAACCGGTGTCATTAAACTTTCTCTAACTTTTGTATGTAAAACGATCGAGTGCTAGAGTGCAGTAACATAACTTCAAAAGAAAGAATCCTGACAAAAATGTTGATTGTTATGTTAATAATTTCTTTTTCTTTTCCAGCCCTCCCAAACCTTCCAGAACTGTACATTTAGTGCAAGGCTGCATCCCTGTTTATATGCCCCCTCGGCCACTTAATGCTCAGACTGTTGCTGTGCAAGAAAGACCTCTTAAAAGTTCTGGTATTGTGATAATAATACACATGTACCTCAGAATCACAAACAGTTAAAATTATATAGCAACAGTCTTAATGTAATCCACTGACTGACTTTTTAGTTATTGCTTAATTTTTATTGAACAAGTTTGGAATATGTTGGCTTCTCCTAGAAATGAAAAAAAAAAAAATGCTACTGTATTATACTAGCAGGCCAGTAACCAGTGGGGGTTTTACCAGCTGCTCTTTTTGCCAGGAAAAAGTTCGTTTGGGTAAAATTTGTTCTAGGCACATGAAGATTTCATGGTAAAAAGTCTACTTTTTCAGAAAAAAAAAGAAAAAGAAGCCTCCCTCTACCTTCTGCTACAATATTGCTGGCTATGGACATACACTGTAGGGGGTGTCTCAATAGTCTGAAGGTTTATTGGTACAAAAAGTCGTAACATTTTCGCCATTTTTTTAATCAAAGGTTCATTGGTCCAAAGGTTCTATATAGTAAACATTCGGACCAATGAACCTTTGGACTATTGAACCTTCAGACTATTGCTACGTACGGCCCGCACTGTAGTATTGGTTGTTGCTGAATGTTCATTGAATTTATACAGTTAAAGGGCAGTCTGTTTCAAAAAAATTCAAATTTAAACTATTCTTCATATGTTTGTGAGTGATTTCTTCTTTCTTTTTCTTTGAAGGTACATGTATCCAGTCTTCTGTTAAAAAGTCACCGGTTTCTTTAAACAATGCTAAACAGACTAGCCTTCACACTAGCCATTTGCTGCGCTATTCTCCAGCAGCTTATCTCCCAAATCAAGACATTAATGATACAGGTAAGTGTCCCACTGTGACTTAATACCTTAAGGAATCTCACCCAATTCAAATGTCTCCTCTAAGGTATCTACCGTACCCTGCTCAGTGGCTTAGCACTACTCAGACATAAAATATTTTGTGTCCGACCTTACCAGCAGAGGAGGATAATTGTGTGGTTGGATGTTATCACTCAGCTGGGCATCTGGAGTAGATCTGAGGCCATGTGTACTCAACATGTAAGTGTGAAATTGCCCCTACTGACAAAGGGTATGTCTGGCCAGAAACCCATTCCTGTTGACCATCTCAGTTCCTGCAGGGTGCGCTACAATTTTGTAACAGACTACTGTCGGACCCTGTGGTCAGAAAATACTTCATTGTGGTCATTATCATGGCATTGCCATCATAATGGATTTGTTTAAAGCATGCAAAGTTTTTTTCTTGAAATGGATCAATATTTATGTTTTTCTAAAGTTCCCTCATTCATTCACAACTGCATGGTCCATCAGCTGTATGTTGTGACAGTGCAAACGTGTCGTGTAGATTTTTTTGTAACAATTTGCTTTAACTAGCCTACCAATAAAGATCAAAGTCACTTAAGTTTATTATTATTATTATTTTTTTTTGTGCTTCTTGTTTTTTTTTCACCATACAAAATCATACAAAATGAATCATTTTTTATCCATGTATGATCATAACTCTTTGTTCAGTTTGACAATAGAAGTAGAGTTCTATGGTTTGACATAGTGAAAATCTCATCACATATACAAATTCAGCTTTGTGTTACACTCTGCATAACTAGCCTACTGGTAAAAGTCAGAACTGCCATCTTATTTTTTACCTGGTTCCTTGAGGTTATTCAGTCGCACTTAAGAGTAAGATCAGCCTATCTTCATTGTAAATGCTACTTAATTGAAGAAAGTGAACAGAAAATATGGCATTGTCTAGAGATATGACTGAAAATAAAGGTGAACAAATGAATGAGGACACTTCATCTTATGGGTTGAGTTCTTTACATTTTTATTAGTTATAAATGGAAATATATAAAAATACATAATATTACATTTAGACATCAATATACTGGGCCACTCAATCAAGTTCATTACAGTGCTACACCAAAGCAGTCCAGCTGCTTCTACTGTATGGGTGAAAGTTTTCAGGATTTACATATTTTTATGTGCTTGATTTCAGGATTTTCAGTCTTCATTTTGATTCTTTTTTTATCATATGGTCTAAGTACAATGAGCAATTCAGGATTTTCAGTTTTTACAGCTTTCACCCATGTTCTACTGTATATAATCAACAATTCTGTCTGAAAAAAATAGGTATTATAGTAAGAGAAACAACAAAATCGAGAAACTTTTCCATCCATGTCCTGGACTATTGCATATAGTCCTTGTCTGCTGTTATATATTTGCTGAGCAAATTTTTAAGCATGGCAAGCACTCCTCATCTCATTAGTAAAATTCTGGATCTGCAAGTGATAGTGAAATACAAAAGTACAGTATGACTGTGCAGTAAGGTGATCATCCTCATCCTGATAAAAAAGATTTGATAAATACATAAATGTCCTCTGGGATATTATAATTTTCATTCTTGGATAAATAAATGTCTGTATTGTTACATAACATGCATTGGGTACTTTTACATTAAATTTGTAATATCAAACATTTATGGATGAATAAGTGTCCGTATTGTCACATTTCATTCAAAGAGTACTTTTTACTTTTAAAATTAATTTTGTAATATCATATGATTAAAAAAATGACTTCATAATCTACTTGGAAATGATGGATTCATAATTTTCTGTTATTAGTCCTTAAGTCTAGTTAATGTTGATTTTGTAAGGAGACTGTACTAGTTGTCTTATTTTGGCAGTATGGTTTTTCTGAAATCTTGAATATGATTTCTTGGGTCAAGTTCCATATGGCATTGGCTTTTACAACTTTACTTTTTCCTCACTGGGTATTGCGTAAACTACGTTGTCATAGGCAAAAGTTTCTTTCTCTTTAGCTGGCTTTTCATTGACTGCATTCTGATAAATAGCATTATCATAGGCTCCATTGAATTTGATTGTACCTACAACTGGGGAGGATCTGCAGTTTCTGAGGAAGTGAAAAAAAAAGATAATACATGTAGTAAAGAATTTTCACAAACTGTTGGTTACTTGAATGAGAGTCAAATGGCTAACAGTTGTAGTAAAAAAATAAAAAAAAATCATTCATCTGTAGCTTAATGAGGTACTGGGCACATTCATATCAAAATAAAATTAGGAAAGCTTTATTATCATGTCATTATTTTTTTATAAGCAAAGGTTTCTTGTTTTAAGAAGTTCATGATTATTTTACAATTCACAATTGAAGTCCCGTATTCATCAAGAATGGCAAAATAACCTTATTCTTATATTTTCTTTTTACATGGTCCAATATGGTTGCTTACCTGTACAAGAAAAATGCACCAACAACCATCATTACAAGAAATGCTGCAGCCAAAACGCCCACCAAAATAAGAACTGAAATAAGAATTGGGATTTATAAATGGCTGGATAATAATTTATTTCCTGGAAATGTTGCAGCACTTAATTGATCTGAATAGTCAGATGAAGTATTTATCAAAAAAAAAAATCTTCACTTATAATGAATTATTAAGAAATGTTAACTTGGTTTATTTTGCTGTATTACTTATGCATCTGTCCTCCAATACCCCATTTTAATCTCGAATTAAAAAAATTGCCCTCTTACTGTGTTCGTGTTTCAGCCCTGGTCTTTCAAGCTTTTCAGTTTCCTTCATTGTCTTCTCCCCATCTGTTTGCTTCTCATTGCCTGCAACCTGCACTTTAGGGTTGGTAGGAACCTCCTCTGGTGGTATTGGTGGGATCTTAGGGCCTTGGGTTGGGTTTGGCAGCTTTTCTGGACCACTTGTGGGGACTGGTTTTATTAGGATAGGCCCACTGGTGGGGACTGGTCTTGTTGGGATAGGCCCTCTGGTGGAGGCTGGTGTTGTTGGGATAGGCCCTCTGGTGGGGGATGGTGATGTTGGGATAGGCCCTCTGGTGGGGACTGGTGTTGTTGGGGTAGGCCCTCTGGTGGGGGCTAGTGTTGTTGGGATAGGCATTCTGGTGGAGACTGGTCTTGTTGGGATAGGCCCTCTGGTGGAGACTGGTCCTCTTGTTGGAACTGATGTTGTTGTTGTTGTCCAGGCGTCTGTCCAAGGCCCTCCACTGACCACATGGTTGTCTTGACATTGTACATTTAGCCAGGTACGACGCTTGATTATATTATGGTGACTTCCACGGCTGCCATGGTGACCATGACTACGTCTTGAGCGATGATGGTCATCATCATCATCATCATCATCATCATCGTGGTCATCATCATCATCATCATCATCATCATGGTCGTTATCCTCGTCATTGTCATCATGCATGTCAAAGTCTTCATCATCATTATCTCCAGAAACTGAAATGTTAGAGCATATTGAATTGTGAGTCTTTTGGAAAGCCTTTTGTATAAAATTAGGATCTTTTATGATAGAATTGGAAGTAAGACATCTTAATTTGGTCAGCTTGGTTATGAAAATCATTTGCTTTTTTTTTTCATTTACAGTACTAAAGAATTTTCCCTTACTTGATTTAAGACTTACCCCATTGATAAGCAGATAGCTTGATCCAGAATCTGCTATTACTGTTCGGTACACTGTCATACTCCAATGACAAATGATGGGCATCACTAAACTGTGTTATGTAATTGGTCAGGTTAGTACAGGCAGCATGGTATGTGGAGGTTTGAAGGTAGTTCAAGCCATGCCATGAAACTATTTTAGTCTCATTTATGGTCAGCTTAGCCAGGTATCTGCACACTGCCCTGTGTCTGGAGTAGAAGTGAATGGAGCCCCCCATGCTGACATCGACTGCCTCCAAGAGGATGACACTGTTGGCAGGCGGGGTAACCTTACAGGAGCAGTTGTGAACTTGAACTGATGGTGATGGATATCTACTGCTGGTGAGGTTGATGGGCAGGGTGCTGTTGATGTTTATACTGCTGCACATTGGTGTGCTGATAGTTTTGGCTAAAATATAATGGATATTTGAGATTATTATGTTTCTGTAATATTGTATATGGAGTTGACAACATGTATCAGTGATCAGATATGTTGACATTTAATCATGATGTAATGGTAGTTAAGGGAAGGTGTGGATATTTGTGTAAGGTAAAAGACAAGCAGTGTTGTAAAAAAAAAAATTGATGTAAGATAATGAATAACTGTAAACAAGATGATTTTAGAAACAGATGCATTCTTACTGGGTTCACAATCATAACCCACTTCAAGGTGGTTGTAGTTGATTGTGTTAGTTGATCCCCTGCGCATGTCATTGGTTGTGATAGTCAAGTTGCATGCCTGTCTGCCAGAGCAACTTGTAGCCAATTTTTGTTGTAATGCTGGGGACACATAACATCTTGCCATACACAACCATCCACGGCAGTTGTGGTTTGGACATTCTGTAGAGGCTGACATTTTCATGTTTCTCAGGCGAATAATTGTGTTGGAGGAACAGTGTAGTGCCAGGTTTTGACCTGTGCATGTGGTCACAGTATGTGCCGGAGAGCTCTGGTCCAACTGCCATGTCAGGTGGGTGCTTTCAGTGCCTAATATAAATACAAATGTGTCCTTGGATTGGTAATGTTCAAATATCTGGCAAATATATGATTTACACATACATAAATTTTTCAGTTATTTGATAAGTACTTGAATGCTGACAAATTTTGAATATAAGTCAGTTTTTTAATTACTATATCAACAAACATTTTTTTTTATTTTCCAAAGAGGAAAAATAAAAGCTGTAAAAATATTGTCTTTTCCTTACTGTTTTGAAAAATGATAAAACTTTTATTAAAGCAAACTTTGACCATATTTTAAAAAATGTAAAAATAGTGACTTCTATGCACTGAAATGTTTTATTTGTCTTACAACATACTTTCCTTCTTAATTTGTTTTCTTTCCTTCTTAATTTCTTTTCTTTCCTTGACCATCAATGCATTGTATGTCATAATGTCAATTTTATGAGTAATTTTTCTTACAGACATTCGAAGGTTAGAGGGGTTTTGGATATTGACTAAAAACTAATTTAAAATTTCAGATTTCAGAAAAATATCATGCAGATCTGTAATATAAAAAAATCATAAACTGGGAAAAATACTATCAGGTGTAAGATATATATGCGTCATATGTCGTGACGATATTCTAGCTAATACTTCTATACAAATTACTCAACCAAGCTCACAGTTCTTTAGATATGCTAATATTCACCTGTTATTGTTATAAAAAAGGGGAACAGGTTCTTTTGTGATTTTTGCCAGTTTTGTAAGGCTGAAGCATTGAGTGTTATTTGCTGAGTCACTCTTAAGTGAGAAACATATTTTATTTAGTTTGATGCTATAAATGTTCAATTCCTCCCTTTTTAGCAGGTGACGGCAAATCACCTGAGCTGTGTATTTTATTGTAAAAATTGCCTAAGGTAAAAGTATCTGTGGAAAACTGGATTGTCTTGTACTTGAAGGTTGTTGCTGTTGATGCCCCAGCACTGGTGTGATGTATTGTTTGTGCCACAGAAAACGACCATCATTTCTCTTGTTTGACAAATAACCAAATGTTGAAATATTAATACTTGCTACTGTTGGAATTAAATCAGCCTCAGGTGATGTATTGTTCATGCCACAGAAGACGACCATCATAATTTTTGTTGTTTGACAAATAACTTAATGTTGAAATATTCATACTTGCTACTGTAGGAATTAAATCACCATAAGGTGAACCCTGAATCACAAGTTTTTTAAGCATTTAACCTGCTTGCAAATTATTTATTTGTAATTATGTCTGACTTTGACAATAATAATAATATTGGTCTTTCTATTTGATTTTAAAGGAGGAGTCAGTATTTTTATGTATAGAAACTGCAGTTCCTGTCACGGATGCTGCCTGGTACATCAATCCCTATAACTGCCTAACCATATTTTTTCCTATTAATTTTCTTAGTGCCTTTGTTTGGTAAAAAAAAAGATCCCTTACAAAAAATCAGCATATAGGTTTTACAAAAGTGATTGATTTTTTTTTTTTGCATGTATTTTGGTGACAAACTATATGTTTGCTACGTTTTACTTCAAACTTGTTTAGTGGCTTTGTTTAGTGAAAAGGCAGGCTTATTTCCAAAACCAGCACAATCTAAACCAGTCTATTTTCACATAAAATTGTTATTATTGTTGCAATGGTTTTTTGGTTTATGGTGTCTATATGCTTTTCCAGCTTTGCTGTCAAGTTAAACATTTACTTAATAATATTGAGATCAAGTGAGATCAATTCATGCAAATCATAAACGACCTAATTTTCAAAACATAATCCTCATAACATTTGATATGTTATTCATCTAATATCACAAAAAATGTTAAAAGTGAAAACTTTTAGAGGCCAGGATTGAAATTCAGTATTTTTGAAAAACAGTTGTCGTACTATATGTACATCGTGAGAATGTCTCTAACCACAAACAGTGTAATAAAAAAAAAATCCTTTGCTGTGGCCATCTAAGTTAAATGCCTTAAGACTGGTGTTGACTGGCCCTTATGTTACAACCAAGACTGTTATGAAATTGTCCCATAATTTGACCCTCTGTTGTATTGTGAATTTTTTTTCTTTTATAGATTTTGATAAATGTTTTGGGTCTTACCAAGCTGTTATAGATTTGATAAATTTTCTTTGTTTTTATTTTATATTTTTAGTGCTATTTGTCTAAAAAAAAAACACTGATGTACTGTCCAGCATCTTAATACATTAGGTAAATACTACTAAAAAACAACAGTACCAGAGCAGGAAGATCTTAAATATAAAATCCTTCCTTTAAAGTATAATAACTCTTAATTGAATTTGACAACTAAAGTCACTTTTAACAAATACTTTACCTGTCCAAAGAATCACCAAAATGATGAGCGTATGAAGTGCCTCCATTTTCGTGCAGTTTCGGCGCACTGCGCACTCTGCAAAACCTGCAGACCTAACTGGTTTGTCTCCCAGCAGTATCCTGGATCTGTTCTGACTTATGATTGGTTTTAAAGTGAGGACTTGACAAACACCACATCACGTGAACACAATTTGTATGGCATTCTTGTATATGGTTTAGCGCTCTCAATTGATCCAAATCTTATATTCACACAAAGGGCTGTTGCTGGTCACACACCCAGACAGGTGACCTAGGGAACCTAGGTACGGGTGTACCATGCTAGGTATTCAAGAGACTTGTTTTGATGGGAATTAATTATGAAACCATACACGTGAGATAGATCCCTGGCATTGTGGAAGTCTGCTGGGGATGCAACAATTAATAAATAATTAAAACCTCAATATTGTTTGAAAGATCTATTTTATGAACTCCATGAAGGAGGTTACTAGTATATGTTTGTCTTCGTTTCTTTGTTAGTAAACAGCTTTACTCAAAAAGTTATGGATGGATGTAGCTTTTCCATTTAGGAAGCCCAGCTAGAGTATCCTGCTTAATATTTGTCTTTCTTTCAGTGGAAAGGCCCCCTTTTTTGACAGAAGCACTTTTCTTTTTAAATGAGAGATGATCTCTCCATGTTCTTTTGTGATTGTTATCCTGTAGAGTTATAGGTTTACAATGAAAAGATGTATAACAATAATAGTGCCTTAGTCATCACTTATTTTTAGCATGCTTTTGTGAGAAAGCTATTGGGTAGGGCAGTTGCTATACCCTGGTAGTAGAATATAGATCGATCGACTTGTTGTGCAAGCGCACGATCATTTAAGGAAATATGACAAATGAAAATTACCTCATTTCAGCTGATGATTTCGAGTAAAATGTCCCACCTGATATTCTCATTTTTAAACATCAGATTTAAATTTAGTGTTTTTAGTGGAAATAAAAAAGGGGAGATCCCTAACATTCCCACCAATCACTTAGCTTACATTGAAAAAGAAAGGATTAAATGAATAAACATCATAAATTAAAGATAAAAAATTGAATTCATACAATCAAATATTTCATCCCACTTTGCATTAATTCTGCCTCCCCCCCCAAAAGAAAAATAATAAATCAATAAATAAATAAATAAATAAATAATAAAACAATGAATGAATGAATATATAAGATTTAGCAATTTTAATTGTAATAGGCGATGATGGATTTTTTTCAAACAAGAAATGAATAGATAAACCAGATTTTTAAAAGATTAAAAGTAAAGATTATGACTCTGTCACACTGGACTCACAGCTGCTTGGAGAACAAAGTTTGGCCCACCCTCACAAATACTACAGTATGTAACAAAGGATAAGACTGTAATATCTTAAGTTCATTAATACTGATGTACAAGTATGGATTTGATGACAACGACAAATACTGTCCCAGCTCTAAGAGGGATGACAGTGGTACAAATTTATTCTCCAAGAAATTACAAGTTGGAAACTGGTATAACAAGGGCTTTAATGAGACCTGAGCTGAAATTTATCTTTTCAGGTTCCACATCCAGTGTAGAGCAGAGTAGTCCAACAGGTGGCAGCAGCAGCAGTCTCCACCAGGTGGTGAGTGAGGTGATCACTGTGCAGAGAGCTCACTCGGAGGATATCAGGAAACATCAACATATACTTGCCGAATTACAGGTATATTGCAATCATCCCTGGAGTAGGTACATTAACAGAATAGACTATTAAACAATCCGGTTTGTTTTTGTCAGTTATTTCCTTTAGGAAAATTAATTTGGACAATAATGCCTTATTCTGAATTTGAATTTTAAAAAGTATTCATCAAAGTCAAATGTTATCAGTGTGTTGGTTGTCACTTGGTGGTTTCAAATAAAATTAAATTGTTCTTTTTTAGGAAAAGCTTACAAAGGGTAATAAAGGTTTCTTGTTATTACAGACTCTAAAGGGGTCTCATTGATTTATTTATTTTTATTATTTTGTATAATTATGTTAATAATTTTGATTTAACACTTCAAGTTTTGAGTTGTGCTTAACATTAAGGTAATTTACGTACAGTTGTTATAATTATTGTTTTTCCGCTCCATTTAATTTGATTTAACATTTCAAGATATCATGATTTGGTATTAACCTGTTTTTATCTATAAGACACTTTGTTTTTTTCTTATAATTTATAAATGTTTTATCTAAGAAGTGCTTAGAGTCAATGTTTAACACTATGAATTGTGAATAGTAAGTACAGATATGCAACCTTCAATTTATAGATTTTCTGTTGAGTATATTAAATGATCACAAGCAGTTTTTTTTTCATTGGTGCCAAGGTTTAAGAAATTCACATTATTATTTGATATTTTTATTCAGCAAGAGAGAAAGTGCATGGATTGACCCTGGAGTTAAACAGTTTGAAAAGAAAGCAGTGTGTTGCTGCAGATGACTTTGTCCAGAAGGCTGGCAATTGTAGGCAACTTGAAGGAGGTACAATATCCCATATACTAATTTTAATCCCATATCACCTTATAAATCAACTAATTTAACATGATATGATTAAAATTTAAAAAAAAAACAACATTTAAAACAAGTGCATGAATAATAAACTAACCTAATGAGCTGACCTTAATTTTTGTGACAGTAAATGTACAAAAATGTCTTTAAATCTGTAGTTTCCACAATTTTTCACGTTTTAGAAATAGAAGATGCTATTGCAGAAAAGCAGGACCTGACAGCATCTATTATTGATGCTCAAACGAAACTGGGTAAAGAAACGAGGTGAGTTTTAGTGATGTAGCCCTTGACCATAGATATTTGTACACAGGATGGATCCTTTTTAGAAAATGTGCTCACAAGTTAATATCAGGTGAAGGAAAAGAACCATTATGTTTTTTTTATCATACAAAGCTTTGTTTTCCTTTCTTTTATTTTAAATAGTATATTATGGTATTATTTGACATGATTGTCTATATGATTGTCTCATTTTAGTTTGTTGAAAGAATACACGGGAAAGATGAAAGAATTTGAGTCTAAAGTTGACGTGTTGGAATCAAAATATGGATACAGAAAGGAATTGGAGGAATTAAAGAAAAATGTACAAGAGTTAGAAAATCAAAGTATGTGATTAAGAAATTTTTATAGTCTTAATGCCCAGTACTTTTGTAGTATTTTTTGCTATAGTGTAAATAGACAGTTTAACTTATTTATGTTTTGAATGGACATTTCTCAAGAAGGAGTGCATTACTTAATATATTGATATGGCTAGATTGTTGTGTCCTAATGAAGATAATTGGTTAGAAAAACCATGGGTATAACCATCATTTTAACTGGTTGTTTATTCTCAGAGCTTACCTTGGAGAAAAATCCAGACAAGGCCAGACACTTACTAGAAGGTAAATGTGAGAGTGATCTCAAACAGGAGCTTCAGAAGTTAGATGATGAAAAGAGACAATTAAGGGGGCAGCTGCTTGACAAAGAAAAACAGGTGAATATCCTTTGTTTTAAAAAATGTCTGAATGTATTGTTTTAAATTATAATGCACTTGTAGGCACTCATATCTCAAAAGCTCACCATTAAAATGTAGCTACAAGGTCTTGAATTGTGATAGATGCAAGGTTAATTTCTGTGTTATTATAAAACTAAGTAAAGTATGTATCTATATAGGGAAGTTTTGTAATTAATGTCACCCCTGGTTTTAAGTCTGTCGAAAAATCCTCTCAGAAACATCTATGCATCTTGTTTCCAGTTAGAAATATTATAAAGTGTTTTTTAAAGTGTGTTTTTAGAAGGGGTTCTGAAACTTGACTGCAGACAACAGGAAGAAGCATTGTTTCATTGTATTTATTTATTTATTTATTTATTTGTTATTTGTTTTCCAAATATAGTCTGATAATTTAATTTTCCAACAGGTGAAAGCGCTTAATCTCCAGCAAGAGAAAACTAAACAGGAGACACAAGTGTTACGTGTAAGTTTCAGATATTTTCCTTTCCATAGCAGCTTAAGCTCATGTTTCAAACACACATCTGTGAATGCCCACCAAATCAAAAAGGTAAATTCAGAAGGCAAGTAATTAAAGAAGTAACATGAAATATTACTTTCATGATTGTCCATGGTAGCAACCTTTCCAGTCATACTTGACTATTTACAAGGACCATCAGAACAGTTAAAATTTTCTCTTCTTGACTCTTGTTATTATTTCCTCTAAAAGACTCAGTATTTAAAAAAAAATTTAAATAATGCAAAGTGCTTTTGAAATTGCTTGCAGTGATCATTTTTTGATTTTGAGTAATCCTATCAACCTTAAATGATCTTGTTTACAACATTATTAGTTTTTTTGTTGTTCTAGAAGCGGAATGCAGCTCAGATGACCCGGCTAAAGAGACAGTTGAAAGAGGTGACTAGTAGGAACAGACAGTGGAATGAACAGGCTTCTCAGCTGGAAAAAGGCATTGCAGAGCTCAAGAAAAAGCTGCAGGATGATCACTGAATTTGCATACACTGAATATACAAACAAGATAAGAAGAAAAATAAATAAAATTAATAAATAGAAAATTACCAGTTTTGAATGTGTTATATAACAGATTTCACTTAGACTAATAAAATGATTTTAGTCTCTTTATTATAAGCACTCTATAACTGTTCAGCCAGCAGGATGTACAGTGGATTTGCATACACAAAAATTGACTGTATAACACAACTGGCATGGGATACACTACCAGTACAATGCTATAGTGGAGACTGTGACTCCAACAACTTCTTATTGAAGGTGTCCTGGTACTTTTTTTCTTTGGGATAATATTGTGAATAAAATCCATTCATTGTTGCTCTTTATGTCTTTAATTATAATAAAAATTGGTGATGCTTTATTTTCACTTTTTTAATTTAATACACATAGGTCCATTCTTTCAGTTATTCTTGAAATATGATTTGAAGATATACAATGCTGCTTTTAGAGACTACATTGTACATGTATATAACAAAAATGTGTGTAGGTGATGATCCTATCAATACCTCTGGTTAATAGAATTTAAAGGTACATGTACATTCCATGAAACTTACACACCAAAATGGATTTTCCTGGGAAAATAAGCAATTTTCTCGTACTCACCAATCATTTATCTATCTCTCTGTGCACTTGATTCAACCCTTGATAAAATTTACAAAGGTTGATTTTAGCTTAAAATGACTGGTCAGTCATTATAACAATGACCATTTTCCTACAAGCTCCAATGGAAATAGAAACATCATGTAGGCTCCAGGGAAAATTTTAAAGGGGTTAAAACCTTTTTAATGTGTATTTTAAGTATTATAAGAAGCTGTGAATGGCCAATATAGGCATTTTTGGGGATTTTCAAATCCATGGACTGTACCTGGATGAATTTTTTTTCTCAACTGGCGAATGTTTTCTTTCCATAGAAAAATTGCATAGAAAACAACAAAACAACCAATGAATTAATACTAAAGTGAAAGCATTTTTTCATCTTCTAAAGCAGTTGAAAACTGATATGCGAAGGATTCCTTTGATATTTTGGAGAAAAATTAAGATTGACGATATTGGTGTTGCTCGTGTCTTGATTCGACGATCTTCAGTGGTGGAGTACCATTTCGAACTGGGAAGTGAATTTTTACATGTAGTCTCTTCAAACTTTCTCAATCAAAATGTCAAAGAAGGAATTGCCTTCGTTTGATGAACTTCAAATGTGGAGTGTCATTAATGTTGCAGATTGGCTAAAAGAGGTGAGGGTTTATTTTTTATTCACATACCTGCCTCTATTTACTTTGATATCAGTTCGGTAATCCAATCTATGACTGAGTGTGAAATGAAACAAATTGGATGCTCGATGACTAAGTAGCTAAGACGTCTTATACATCTAACATTTGAGGAAGAGAAAGTGCATATAAAACACGTGCCGAAAAGACAATGAAAAAAATCATGTACTAGTAACATGTACACGTTAGGAATGGAGCAGGTCTCTAGGTACTTTACTATCTTTAGCACCCCCTCCCAACCAACCCTATAATTTTTTGATTTCCGAGATTTTTCTAAATAATATGGTGAATTTTACCAAAATCTCTGCTCTTCATATAAATAAGGTTGTCAATGCGCTAACTAATTTGTTGAAACTTAAGCCCATATTATTATTATAGCTGTGACCATCGCAGGGGTTGGCTGTATTCTCATTGGCGAAAGAGCTTGAAAGAGCTTAAAGAGGTTTGATTGTATATTTTAAAATTAATTTATTTGAAAAGCAAAAACAATGATGAAAGTCACCACATTGAATTGTGAAAATGAAAGGCTTTTACTAGGATACTGCAAAAATACCCATAATTTTATCAACAGAAAATTGTAAGTATATTTTCTCTAACTGAATAGTTTGTAAAAGCTATAGATGAAATCAGAATTTTAATGCAGTATTAGTCATTAAAATTGTATGTTTATATCAGTATCACAACAATAATGAACCCAGTGCACTGAGGCTAAGGTCAGAGCTGCAGTCTGTGTGTGATTAATTTACATAGCAAATATTTCAGGGAGACCACAGGGTATACTTATAGTGGACCACAAACATGGTGCAAGTTTATTTTCAGCACATTTCCATGTATGTCATCATGTCTCATGAATTATTTATATCAGTAGTAGCAGTAGCCATAGCATATGAGTTCTTGCAATGCATCTGCCTAGTATTCATACAAACATGCGTCTGTGCTAAATTGTGAGTAGGAACAATGACTTTTCAAGTAATTATATGTTTTCAAGGATAAAGAGGTCATTGCCACATAAATTATTTTTAAAATTTCAGGCTGGATTTGAAGACTGTGTAAACCCATTCATGGATGCAAATGTGGATGGTGTGAAACTCTCAGTAAGTTTTCTGATAAAGTGTCCAAAGAAATATCCTTATTTTCATTTAGCAAAAAATAAAAAATTAATAAGTAATAATAATAAATAAAAACAATTAAATAATAATTATGTAATAATAAGAAGAAAATTAGTAACACTAGGATTAAAATTATGAATTATTTACTCCTCTTTCATTTCAACATGAATTAGATTGAATTTTTGAATAAATTCTGGTGAATCAATTTAGAGAGTAAAACAAATCACCTAGCTAGCTTATGCCATCTTAATTTTGCATGTGTTTTAGGCTTTTAAATATCTATATCATCTATGACATGCTTACTAGTACTTTCTATTGCAGCAATTATCAGAACAAGATCTTTTATACATGGGAAAAGTTCCCCTTGCTCAAAGACGGTAAGTGTGATTATGCATGTCACTGTTGTTTCTTCAAAAAAATGCACTTGCTTGTTATATAGATATGAACTTACTTTAACAAATTAATATGTTAGAATAACAAGCTTAGGGAATATGGATTTTAATATTCTCTATTTAATAATAATAATTTATTCAGCTAGTAATGTTACACAATATTTAGAGTTTATACTGACATGAGTGACATTTCATTATCAGACTGTTTTGCACTCCATCATATTCAAAGGGGCCTATTTCTGCATCATTTCTATAGATATAATCTAATCACTTTAAAATGTTTGCAATAATATCACCTCACTTCTAAATAGCAAGGATGACTTCTTCCAAGAAAAAATATATGTTTACATGCATTACCCTTTATTTACATCAGATAGCCTATTGGGGGTTAAGTATAACCTGTAAATTGCCTCCCATTGATACCATCTATAGGAAACTGACATGCATGACATGGTGGTCTCACTAGCAGACACCTACCAATATCTAGTCTGAATCACAGTTTAACTTTGAGTTAAGGCATGGATTTAGAGGAAGAAAATCTTGTTGTGTTTAAAGAATTTACAATTTTAGATTGATGTATAAATTTATCAGAGACTGAATGGCATTTTTCCATTTTTTTACACTGAATAACCCCACTACTTACTATTTTTGTTATTTAATATTATCATTATAGGGGGATCTCTCTCTCTCTCTCTCTCTCTCTCTCTCTC